TTCGGAAGTCACCACTGAAGGCGCAGACGGTAACCTGGCATATCTAGTTTTGTTCCGGCATGGTCGCGCGCGCCCTATATACGCGAAGAGCCATTTCGATCTTGAAACAGCGTTCGTTCTTCAAGTGAGGGGAAGATTTGAGGATTCTAGACTAAGAGAGGTAGTATCTAAGAATTTTATAACGGCAAGAATTTTACCCAACGGCAAGAATTTTACCCAACGGCAAGAGACACCTCGTCTTCAGTTCTCCAAACTGCCATGTCGTCGCTACCGCCACGTAGGCGAGATCTAAGATGTCTCTCGCATTACTCGTGGTCAATACGTATTTTGAGATCTTAGTATAATACACGCGGATACTAGTACGCGCAGTCGACATATTCTACGAGCAACAAGTCTCTAGCAAGTAGCACACACGACTCGTGTTGGATATAACCAACGCGTACCACTCAACACGGTCCTTGATAGTTCGCCTTTAGCTCGCTTCGCGCCGTGCGCCTCGAAGGCATTAGCAACACCATCTGTAGCACCGAAAACTCCCTAGAGAACTCCATCGGTTCGGCTCTAATGGACTCGAGAACCCTGCGTTCGAGCGGCGCTAGCCCTATAAGAATACCATCCCGAGATCGCCCTCCCTTCCGTATCGTGTCACCTTATGGCCGGTGTATTCCATTCCACGCCGCCGTTCTAATCACCGCGCTTACTGTCGCCGCGAGTATAAGGTTCGCGGCTGCCCTGACGTCCGCAAAAGATGGTGAGTGTGCTCACTCGCCCGGTCGGAGGCTGTTGATTTTGCGTGGTGCTCCTGCTCGCACGCCCAAGGACACCTGGTGGTTACACTTGCCAATGCTTGCTGGTGGTTGCGCGTCCCGTTCCCATAATTCCCCCTTGCTCCTCATTCCTCATCTCCCCTATCCCCCTCTCACCTTCTCCCGCTCGCCCTCCACCCTCCACCACTCTCCCTCTCTCTCCTCCTCCTGCTCACCCGCCAGTCGATGCGCTAGGGGACATCTACAGCGGCTTTAATCGCTCCGCGGCGCTGCAGACGTGGACGTGGGGCGATCCGTGCGGCAGCGACGGAAGCGACAACGCGGGTAGTCCGTGGTTTGGAATCACGTGCGACGTGTCGGCCGACCCGCAACGAGTGATTGAAATGTACGTCGCCCTAGCTGCTGCTCTTTGCCGCCGCTCATGCCGCTGCTTCGGCCGCCCGCCGCCGCTGCCCCTCGGCTAAACACCGTCAGGAGCGGGTATTGGAAAAATTGGCGAGTAGCGGGAAAGGTTGGCGGGTATCGGGCAAGGATGGCGGGTAGCGGGCAAGGATGGCGGGTAGCGGGCAAGAATCGTGGCTGGTAGCGGGGAATGGCGGGTAGCGGGGAATGGTGGGTAGCGGGCAAGATTGGCGGGCAGCAGGCAAGAACGGAGAGACAAATCAGTTGAAATGGCTCTTCGTTCTTACCTTCGCATCGCTCGCATTTTCATCGTTCCCTGCCTCCTTCCATTCGCCTCCCATGCCTCCTTCGCAGCAATCTATCCGACTCCGACATCAGCGGGTACATCTTTTGAGGCGACTCAAAAGTTCTCATTGCTCGCTTGCCTTCCATACTCCTCCCACCGTGCCTCCTTCGCAGCAATCTATCCGACTCCGGCATCAGCGGGTACATCTCCGGTTCCGTCAGCGCGCTCAGCAGGCTGCGATCCTTGTAAGATTCCCTTCCCATCCCTGCCGCGTCACGTCGTGCCATGCCATGCCATGCCATGCCATGCCATGCCATGCCATGCCATGCCGTGCCGTGCCATGCCATGCCATGCCATGCCATGCCGTGCCATGCCATGCCGTGCCATGCCATGCCATGCCATGCCATGCCATGCCATGCCGTGCCGTGCCATGCCATGCCGTGCCATGCCATGCCATTCCATGCGGTGACATGCCATTTCATTCTGAAGCACACTCACGGGTACATCTCCGGGTCCGTCAGCGCGCTCAGCAGGCTGCGATCCTTGTGAGTCACTCTCACTCTCCATCTCATTCCCGTTCCGTGCCCATGCCATGCCATGCCGTACACGCATGCAGCGGCCATGCACTGCCCTTTCATCAATTCTGAAGCACATTCACGGGTACATCTCGCGGTCCGTCAGCTAGCTTAGCAGGCTGAGGTTCTTGTGCCATGCCCTCCATGCCATGCCCATGCCATGCCATGCCCATGTCTAACCACGTCATGCCACGTCATGCCACGTCATTTCGTGCAATGTCAATCAGCCCTGACGCCGCCCTCTCCACTTCCCAACCCCACCCACTCTCCGCTACTCACCTTGTCGCAACCTCCAGTTTCCTGATCTCCCTGCCCCCTCATTTCCCTCTCCCTCCCTTACCCCCTCCTGCGCTAATCCCCCCTCCTGTCCCCCGTTCCACCATCCCTTCCTCCCCCGCCCCGCGCGTGTCCCACCCCACGCGTGCCCCTGCGCGCGGATGCCTCCTCTGCCAGCGTGGTGCGCAACAACGCCATCAAGGGCGGCATACCCGCGGACCTCTCCGCGCTCACTGAGCTGCACACCCTGTAAGCCATTGCTCTGTTCCCCCCACACTACACCCTCTAAGACAGCGCACCCTGTAAGCCATTGCTATGCCCCAACCCCCTCGCTCCCCATCGCTCCTGCTGCTTTCCATTGCTTATCTCCACTGCTCCCATCGCTCTCCGTTGCTCTCCATTGCTCCCCATTGCTCGTTTCTGGTGCCCCTCCCCATACCCCTCCCGTTCCCCCTCCCCATCCCCCCTCCCGTTCCCCCTCCCAATTTTCCCTCCCCCATTTCCCTTCCCCTTTTGCTCTCCCATAATCCGCAGCGACCTGAGCAACAACCCGCTGGAAAACACCATCCCGCCGGAAATCGCTCGTCTCTCCGCCCTTTCCTCACTGTATGCGCGCACACACCGCCCACCCGTCTCATCTCTCCCCACCCCCTCCCCACCTTGCACCATACTCCGCCTTTCTCATGCGCGCCACTAGCGCCACTGGCGCCAATTTTGCGCCATTAGTGCCGCCATCCCACATACTCGTTGGCACACCACTGCATCTCACTCCCTCCCCACCTCCCTCCCCACCTCTCTCCCCACCTCTCTCCCCACCTCTCTCCCCACCTCTCTCCCCACCTCTCTCCCCACCTCTCTCCCCACCTCTCTCCCCACCTCTCTCCCCCCCTCCCACCCCACCTCTCTCCCCACATCTCTCCCCATCTCTCTCCCCATATCTCTCTCCACCTCTCTCCCCACCTCTCTCCCCACCTCTCTCCCCACCTCTCCCCATCTCTCTCCCCACCTCTCTCCCCATCTCTCTCCCCCCACCTCCCTTCCTCACTCCCTCCCCATGTCTCTCTTCCTTATGCCTCCCTTCCCCATGCCCCCCCCATCCATTTCTCCCTATCCCGTGCCCCTCCCCATCCCCTGCTCTCGCATCGCAGGGACGTGTCGAGCTGCAAGCTGGAGGGCGACCTACCGCGCCTGATCAACGCCCCTCACCACCACACCCCCCCATCCCACCCATACCCTCTCCTTGCCTCTCCCCTTCCCTCCCTGTTCTCTCGTGTGCCAGAGACGTGTCGAGCTGCAAGCTGGAGGGCGACCTACCGCGCCTGATCAACGCCCCTCACCACCACACCCCCCCATCCCACCCATACCCTCTCCTTGCCTCTCCCCTTCCCTCCCTGTTCTCTCGTGTGCCAGAGACGTGTCGAGCTGCGAGTTGGAGGGCGACCTACCGCGCCTGATCAACGCCCCTCACCACCACACCCCCCCATCCCACCCACCCATGCACTCTCCTTGCCTCTCCCCTTCCCTCCCTGTTCTCTCGTGTGCCAGAGACGTGTCGAGCTGCGAGTTGGAGGGCGACCTACCGCGCCTGTTCAGGCTCTCGTCGCTCGTTGCACTGTGAGCTGCTCTACCGTGCTCTGCAATGCGGTGCTGTGCAATGCGGTGCTGTGCAATGCGGTGCTGTGCAATGCGGTGCTGTGCGATGCGGTGCTGTGCAGTGCGGTGCTGTGCTCCGCAGTGTGGTGCTGTGCTGTGCGCTTCTCTGCTGTGCGGAGCCGTGCTGTGTTGTGCCCTGGCATGACATATCATATCATGCCATGCCATGCCATGCACGCGGTGTAACATGCCATGCACGCGGTGTAACATGCCATGCTATCCCATCACGCGCTGTGAGCTCATTCCATGCCATGCCATGCCATGCCTCAACGTGTACCTACACATGTGCGCGTGTGAATGTGTGCATGTGTGTATGTGTGCATGTGTGTATGTGTGCATGTGTGTATGTGTGCATGTGTGTATGTGTGCATGTGTGTATGTGTGCATGTGTGCATGTGTGCATGTGTGCATGTGTGTGCATGTGTGTATGTATGTATGTATGTGGGTATGTGTGTATGTGCGTATGTGTGTATGTGCATATGTGTGTATGTGTGCATGTATGCATGTGTGTATGTATGTGTGCATGTGTGCATGTGTGCATGTGCATGTGTGTATGTGTGCATGTGTGCATGTGTGTGTGTGCATGTGTGTGTGTGCATGTGTGTGTGTGCATGTGTGATCCCAGGGACCTGAGCAACAACTCCCTCACAGGCTACATCGACCCTGCCATCGCTCGCCTGCCCCTCCTCTCCGACCTGTATGGATCCCTCCCCACCACGCACCACCCACCACCACTACTGCAACCTCCCCGCCACGCTCCACCTACCACCACTACCACCCCCTGCTCACCACGCACCACCCACCCACCCACCCACCCACTGCTTTTGAGACTTCCTGAAAGCCACCTGAGCTCATCAACGCTCCCCTCTCCTGCATTATCCTACAGCTTACCGTTGCTGGTGTATCTGACTGCACTCACTCCATATGCCCCACCCGTGCACCAACCCGTGAACGCCACGTGTGCAACCCACGTGTGCTACCTACGTGTGTAACCCACGTGCATGTGTGCAACCCACGTGTGCAACCCACGTGTGCAGAGACATGTCGTACAACAACCTCACAGGAGCGCTTCCTGACGCTCTCAGCTCCGCTACCTCCCTCACCTCCTTGTAAGCACCTCCCTTCGTTGTAAGCCCACCGCCCCTTCGCCACCTTATAAGCACATTGCCCTCCCTTCGTTGTAAGCACACCGCCTCAAATCCTTGCACGCGTCCTCTTGCCATTCCCTCCCTTGTGTCATCCACTTCCGTCCCTGGCCTGGCCTCTTCGTCCTTGTGCTCCTCTTGCCCTTCTGGCCCTCCCTACCGCATCCAAGCTCTCTGAAGAAAGGAGTGTTTTGACACGTCTCAAAACACTCCTTCTGCTCCTCTTGCCCTTCTGACCCTCCCTTCCGCATCCAAGCTCTCTTTTATCGTCCCCAAATCTCTCACATCCACCCCATTCCGTCCCATCTCCCCCCATCTTCCCCATCCCCCTCCCCCTCTCCTCCCCGTCCTTCCCCCCCATTCAGCGCGGTGGCCTTCAACCAGCTGTCAGGCAACCTCCCCCCTGCCCTCCGGCACTCTCCCCGCCCTCTCCTTCCTTGACATCCGCGGCAACGCCTTCTCAGACTACCTCCCCCTCTCCTACTCCAATATAGAGAAGTTCCTCTACGATGGCCCCCTCCCCTCATCTCATCTCCTTTCTCCCCCTTCCTCTGTCCCCATCCCCCTCCCCCCCCCCCCCCCTTCCCCCCCTTCCTCCCCCCATCTCCCCCATTTCTCCCCATCTCCCCCCCATCCCCAACCCCCCATATCAGCGCGGTGGCGTTCAATCAACTGTCAGGCAACCTCCCTCCCGCCCTCGGCAATCTCCCATCGCTCTCCTTCCTGGACATCCGCGGCAACGCCTTCTCAGGCTACCTCCCCCCCTCCTACTCCAACATAGAGCAATTCCTCTACGATGGCGCCCTCCCCCCCGCGCCTGCAGGCCCCTCCGCCTCCCCTCCGCCGCCCCCCATCCCGCCCCCGCCTCCCCCGTCCGTCCCCCCGCCGTCCCCTGTGCTACCTGGGTTCCCTGGGTCGGGGGATGGAGGGGCGGATGCTCCTGCTTCTCTCCCCTCCCCTCCTCATCCCCCTGCTGCCCCGGGTTCCCTCGCGCCCCCCTCCTCTTCCTCCCCCCCCGCCATTCCCCACGGAAATCACTCCTCCCCCGCTCCTCCTGCGCCCCCCTCCCTTCCGCCTGTCCCCCCTGTAAACTTCCCGAACGGGTCCCACGTTGGGAACGAAACGGGCGGGAGAGGAGGAAAAGGGGGGAAACGGGGGGAAGGGGGAGGTTCGGGGGGAGGAGTGGGGGGAGAGGGGGAGGGGTATTTCTACCTGGATCCGTCAGTGCCTGAGAATGAGACGCAGTCGCTGGTGCCGGTGCCGGTGGGGTGCAAGCCGTGTGCTGGGGGGAGTGTGGCAAGGAGGCATAAGAAGCTGTGTATGTGCTCGTACCCGCTGCTGCTGGAGGTTCATCTGGGAATGGAGTTCTCTAGGTTCAATGACGTCACCAGAGAGGTATGCTTGCTCTTCTCTTCCTCTTCTCCTTTCTCCCCTCCGTACCTTCTCCCCAACCCCCCTCTCCGTACCTCCCTTCCCCCCCACTTCGGGGCTGGAGCTGCACCTGGGCATGGAGTTTCCTAGGTTCAATGACGTCACCAGAGTGGTGAGGGGGCAACAGTGACGTCACCAGAGTGGTAAGGGGGCAACAGTGACGTCACCAGAGTGGTGAGGGTCTCTCGTTGCTTGCATGTCCCTTCTTCTCCCTCCCCTCCCTCGTCCCTTCACCTCTCTACCCCACCACTTCCCGCTGCTGCTGGAGCTGCATCTGGGCTGGAGGGTACGTGTGACGTCACCATACAGGGTACCAGTATCGCTTTCTGAGACGACTCAACACTCGATACTCCCATTCCCCTCCCCATCACCCCAACAGAGCCTAGAGGAACAACTGGCGCTGAGTCTGAACGTGAACCAGACGCAAGTAGCTGTATACGCCACCCGGCCAGGCAGTGTCATTGCCTTGTGCGCGGTGCTGCCCCTTCCACTCTCACCAACTTCCTGTCAGAATTCCCCTTCCTTTTCCCCTTCTCAGAGCCTAGAGGAACAACTGGCGCTTGAGTCTGAACGTGAACAAGACACAAGTAGCTGTATACGCCACTTTTGAGTCAATTCAAGTGGCTGTATATGCCACTTTGAGTCGACTCAAGTGGCTGTATACGCCACACGTCCGGGCAGTGTCATTGCCTCCTGCGCAGTGCTGCCTCCCGGCCACACAGCAGCGCTGCCGGAGGGAGTGGTGGGGCATGCACTGGACGTGCTGCTGGGGAGGAGGCGGCATGTGTCAGTTTTTTTAGAATTCTCAAAAATTATGACCAGTGCTTCTCAGAACTTGATGCTCATACTCTTGCGCTTTCCCCTCCTACGACCGCTACAGAGCCTTGAAGAGCAACTGGCGCTGAGTCTGAACGTGAATCAGTCACAAGTAGCGGTGTACGCCACTCGCCCTGGCAGTGTCATTGCCTCCTGCGCAGTGCTGCCGCCCGGCCGCACGGCAGCGCTGCCGGTGGGAGTGGCGGGGCATGCAGTGGACGTGCTGCTGGGGAGGAAAACTGCTGGGGAGTAACGTGTTACAAGCAGTGCGGCTCAAAATTCAGAAACAACACCACTATCCCCGTGTTTTCCCCATCCCCCAACCCAACCCCCCCACAGAGCCTAGAAGAGCAGCTCGCACTGAGTCTGAACGTGAATCAAACCCAAGTGGCTGTGTACGCCACACGTCCGGGGAGTGTCATTGCCTCCTGCGCAGTGCTGCCGCCCGGCCGCACAGCAGCGCTGCCGGTGGGAGTGGCGGGGCATGCAGTGGACGTGCTGCTGGGGAGGAGGAGGCAGCGCCTGGAGCTGTTTGGCATGGGCGCTGTGAAGGTGCTGGCGGTGCGGCTGCCCGTGGTGGTGCTGGATAGAAACGGAGGTACGTGGGGATGGGTGATAAGTGACTTGGTGATTGTCGGTTGATCGTTGATGGGTTGGTGGTCAATGGTTGATTTTGCCACACTCACTCTTGTTTTCTTGTCTTCCTCTCCCTCCGTTATCCAGCTCAAAGACTTATTGCTCCTCCCTTGAGTGCCCCATCCATCCTTGCTTTGTCTCTCCCACATCGCACCTCTGTCCCTGCACTTCCCTGTGCCATCCCTCCTTCTCCTGTGTATCTCTCCGTCCCTCCTCCCCTTCTCTCCTTCTCTCCTTCTCTCCTGTGCATCTCTCCTTCTCACCTTCGACTCCCCTGTGCATCTCTCCTTCTCTCTCCCCCACCCTCTGACGTCCCACAGTCCCCATAACAGCTAGCAACAGCAGCGGCAGCACCACCAGCAGCACCAACAGCACCACCAGCACCAGCAACAGCACCACCGGCACTGCACCCCCTGCTTCTGGAACCACCAACAGCAGCAATCAGGGCCGCACGAGCAACAGCACCAACACTCCACCGCCTGGTAGCAGCAGCAACGGCACTAACACTCCACCGCCTGGCAGCAGCAGCAACAGCACCAGCACCAGTAACAACGCAGATTTAAGTTCCAATAATAGCAGCAGTGGTAGCAGCAGCGGCAGTGAAGAGAGCAGTAGCAGTGGGAGTACGAGCGTACTAGGCATGTCCACTGCCACAGTGGTCAGTATTGCGGCAGGTATCGCTCTGCTGCTCCTAATCGCCCTCCTAGTCACCCTGCTCTTCTGCTTCAGAAAACGATACATGAGCGTCAGAAACACTGATGACAACGACAATCCTGACTTCAAATACCATACCACCACCAGCAGCATTGGCACCAGCACTGGCATCAGCACCACCGCTGCTCCTGCCGTCACCCCCGCCGCCGCTGCTGCTGCGGCTGCTGCTGCTGCTGCTGCTGCTGGTGCTGGTGGTGGTAGTGGTACTAGCAGGAAGAAACCTAAGCGCAGCTGGTTCAAATTTGGGCGATCCTCTCCCCCTGCCGCGGCCTATTCGGTCTCCTCGTTTCACGCTGATAGAGCAGCGGCTGCACCGGATTATCGGGGTTCCTGGGCTGCTGGCGGTGGTTGGGGAGAGGGGGAGGGTGGGTGGGGTGTGCCGGCATCGTTCCTGTCGTCTGGAGTGGAGATTGGGGATATCAGCGTGGTGGAGGTGACTTCGGTTGAGGATGAGGAAGAAGATGTGGAGAGCGGTGTGGTTGGGTCGTGCAGGGATGGGGAGAGGTCTCAGGGAGGAAGGGGCGGAGAGGAGTTGATTGTTCGGGAGGGGGCTTTGGTGGCTGTGGTGGGAGCTGGGGGATTGACCCGTGCAAGTGCAGGAGCAGGAATAGGAGGAGGAGTGCAAGGGGCAGAAAGGGCAGGAGGGGTAGGTGCAGTAGGAGGGAAGGGGTATGATGGAGGGGTAGAGGTAGGCGGGGAGGAGGATGAGGGTGTGAGGAAGAGTAGGGAATGGACTGTCATGTCTTTCCTTAGCTTGGGGGGGAGAGCGGATGATGACGCTGCTCCTGCTCCTGCTCCTGCTGCTGCTGCTAGCGGTTCTCATGCAGTGGCTGCTGCAGGAGAGGAAAGAACCGGAGGAGTGCGGAAAAGGAGTGAGAACGGGGAGGAAGAGGAGGCACAAGGGGAAGAGGAAGAGGAGGAGGCGGAGGAGGAGGAGGAGGAGGAGGTGGAGGGCGGAGGGGGGGGGAGTGGAAGTGGGGTTAAGGGTGGGAGTGGGTGGGGAGTAGGGGCGATAGGATGGGGAGGAGGGGGGACGGGGAAACGAGCAAGCAGCAACAAGGAACCTCCTGGAGAGAGCGGGTGGAAGCTTCCTCGTCTGAGCATGAAGTTTTCCTGTAAGAAGCCGTTTCTTCTGTCTTTCAGTAAGAAAAATGGATGTATGCAAGGGGAAACAAGACCTTCATCGCCACAAACCGCCTCCCATCTCCCACAACCTCTGACTTTTCCCCTCTTCTCCCCGTTTCCCCCCACACTCCCGCGTTTCCCAACCTCCCCGCTTCAATCCTACCTCCCCTGCGCACAAGCTGCAACCGCGGTCAGCACAGCAGCAGCAGTCGCCGAGGCGAGGGGTGGCAGTGCCAGCCAGGGGTGCGGAGCAGAGATTCTCCCTGGCGGAGCTGCAGATGGCAACAACGGCTTCTCCCCTCATTTTTCCCGAATTCCATCTTCTTATTCCCTCCCCCACAACCTCCGACTTACCATCCCTGCCTCACTGCCTCCTCTACCCCTCCCCCCTTCCAATCTCCTTCCCGTCACCCCAGCGCCCAAGCTGCAGCCCCGGCAACCCCAGCAGCAGCAGTCGCCAGGGGGGGGGGGCGGGGGGTGGCAGTGCCAGGGGTGCGGAGATTCGCCCTGGCGGAGCTGCAGATGGCAACAGACGGCTTCTCCCCTCATTTTTCCCGAATTCCATCTCCTTATTCCCTCCTCCACAACCTCCGACTTACCATCCCTGCCTCACTGCCTCCTCTACCCCTCCCCCCTTCCAATCTCCTTCCCGTCACCCCAGCGCCCAAGCTGCAGCCCCGGCAACCTCAGCAGCAGCAGTCGCCAGGGGCGGGGAGGCGGGGGGTGGCAGTGCCAGGGGTGCGGAGATTCGCCCTGGCGGAGCTGCAGATGGCTACAGACGACTTCTCCCCACACACCAAGCTGAGGGACCACCCCCTGGGACCAGTTTACTGTGGGGATTTGCCTGATGGCACGGTGAGTGGAAGGGTTTGTGGTGTGTTTGAGTGCGGTGTGGGGGCTTTCAGGTGGGCTAGAAACATGCCTGCGAGGTGCAGATGGCTACAGACGACTTCTCCCCGCACACCAAGCTGAGGGACCACCCCCTGGGACCTGTGTACTGTGGGGATTTGCCTGATGGCACGGTGAGTTGGGTGAGGGATGAGATGAGGGTTGAGTACGGTGCATCGGAGTGTGGAGGCTTTGTGGAGGGCTGAGAAGGCGCTTCTGAGCTGCAGATGGCAACAGACGACTTTTCCCCGCACACAAAGCTGAGGGACCACCCCCTGGGACCAGTTTACTGCGGTGACCTGCCTGATGGCACAGTGAGTGGAGGGGTTTGTGACGTGTTTGAGTGCGGTGCAGTCTGGTGTGGGTGCTTTCAGGTGGGTTGGGAACATGATGGCAACGGGCGACTTTTCCCCGCACACCAAGCTGAGGGACCACCCCCTGGGACTTGTGTACTGTGGGGATTGGCTGATGGCACGGTGAGCTTTTAGTGCGGTGCAGTGCTGTATGAGTGTGTTTGCGTGCGGTTGGTAACATGCCTGCGAGGTGCAGATGGCAACGGACGACTTCTCCCCGCACACCAAGCTGAGGGACCACCCGTTGGGACCTGTTTACTGAGGTGACCTGCTTGATGGCATGGTGAGCTTTGAGTGCGGTGCAGTGCGGTATGGGGGCTTTGGGTCCGCTGAAACGGGCTTCTCCCCGCACACCAAGCTGCAGGACCACACTTTTGGGGTAAGACCCTTTTGAGAATTCTTAAAAGTGATTCCAACAGTGATTCTCAAAGGCGATTTCAACATGTGCCCCGATGGCACCGTGAGTGCAACTTCCTCCCTCCCTCCCTCCCTCCCTCCCTCCCTCCCTCCCTCCCTCCCTCCCTCCCTCCCTCCCTCCCTCCCTCCCTCCCTCCCTCCCTCCCTTCCTCCTCCCTCTCCTCCTGTCTCCCCTCTCCTCCCCTCCACCCTTCCCCTCCCCCATCACTACCAGGAGGTAGCAGTGAGGAGGATAGAGGCAGCAGTGGTAGAATGCAATCGGATTCGGACTTTGAGGCAGTAGCAGCCAACATGGCGCGGCTGCAGCACGCCCATGTGGTGCCTCCACCCCCCCCTTCCCTGCCTGCTCCCTCCCCTCCTCCATCATCACCAGGAGGTAGCGGTGAGGAGGATAGAGGCAGCAGTGGTAGAAGGCCAGTCAGACTCGGATTTCGAGGCAGTAGCAGCCAACATGGCACGGCTGCAGCACGCCCACGTGGTGCCGCTGCAGGGGTACTGCGTGGACGGAGGGGAGAGGATGCTGGTGTTTGAGCACTTCCACCTGGGCAGTCTGTACGAGCATCTGCATGATGGCAGCAGGAGCATGCTCATGACTTGGGATACTCGTGTGAACATCGCCGTCGGCTGCGCTCAAGCGCTAGAGTGAGTGAAAGGAAGGGAGACAAGGGATAGGACGGGGGTGGGGAGGGGAGAGAGTGCCAGTACAACCATCTGCATGATGGCAGCAGGATAGGAAAGTGGTGTGAGGTGGGGTACTGCGTGGAGGGCGGGGAGAGGATGCTGGTGTTTGAGCATTTCCACCTGGGCAGTCTGTACGAGCATCTGCACGATGGCAGCAGAAGCATGCTCATGACGTGGGACACCCGTGTGCACATCGCTGTTGGTTGCGCTCAAGCCTTAGAGTGAGTAGCGGGTGGGGGAAAACGGGTAGTATGAGTGTCTTAACGAAAGTGTTTGAAGCAAGACGATGTGTGTCTTTTGAGGCGCCTCAAAAGTCTAGTTTTGTGCCCAGGGTAGGATTTTCTTGAGTAGATCTCGAGGCTTGGGTGTTCTTTTAGACCCCTCGCCTGCTCGCTCTTTCATTTAGAACTCTTGCACTGATGAAGGCCTAGCGGGTACAATCCCCGTGCGAAGCCGAAACATGTTTGCCTAAGTCAGAGTTTTGAACAGAGCTGTGCTTTCGGTTCCTACTCTAATTTTTTACAGGGTTACTATTTTTCAACAAGTGACTATCGTTCTTTGCTAAAGCGATCCTTCACGCTGCAGCTCTTCTTCATGACCAGTGACCCGTGAGACGATGTGTGTGCAGCGATTTCACCCTAAACTCCTACTCCCCTCCCACTGTCCCTCTTCACAGATACCTGGATGAGGAGTGTGTGCCGGCCATAGTGCATCGGGGCATCTCATCGTGCACCATCCTGCTGGACGACCACATGAGCCACCTCTTTTCCTTCCTTCCCCTGTCCCTTTCCCCTTCCACTTTCCCCTTCCCCCCGTCCCCCCCAGGTACCTGCATGAGGAGTGTGTGCCGGCCATAGTGCATCGGGGCGTCTCATCGCGCGCCATCCTGCTGGACGACCACATGAGCCCGCGCATTGCCGATGCCGGGCTGGCAGTGCTCAACCCCACCGACAATGAGGCTCAGGTATGCTCAGAGCTGTCCAGGTATGGCCGCCGAGGCTCAGGTACGGGTGCCGAGGCTAAGTTATGTGTGCTACTCAGTTCGTTGAGGCCAAGGGTTTTTGTTCTGCTCCATCCTGCTGGACGCCCACATGAGCCCGCGCATTGCTGATGTTTCCCTTGCTTTCCCCCCTCCCCTCCCAACCCCTACAAATGCAGACATTGTCCGAGCAGCTGGTGGGGAGCTACGCATACAACGCACCCGAGTATGCCATGTCAGGGGTGTACACAGCCAAGAGCGACGTGTACAGCTTCAAGTCATCAGACTCCCTTTCTTCCCTCTCCTTCCAACCCTTCCCAACCCCTCTCGACCCCTCCATCTGCAGACACTATCTGAGCAGCTGGTGGGGGGATATGCATACAACGCACCCGAGTATGCCATGTCGGGAGTGTATACGGCCAAGAGCGATGTGTACAGCTTCGGAGTGGTGCTGCTGGAACTGCTTACAGGAAGAAAACCTGTTGACCCGTAAGTGTCACCACCCCCCTGACCCACCCTGATGCCATGACTGCTGAGGCATGTCAAAAGGCGATGTGTACAGCTTCGGAGTGGTGCTGCTGGAACTACTCACAGGCAGAAAGCCCGTCGACCCGTAAGTATAACCTCTGCACACCCCTCAATGCACTGTTACCACTCCACACCCCCTGATGCATTGACTGTTGAGTGTCAAAAGTGACGTGTACAGCTTCGGAGTGGTGCTGCTGGAACTGCTCACAGGCAGAAAGCCCGTCGACCCGTAAGTTGCCCTTTGGACCTGTGATGCCTTGCCTCTCCGCTTCCCGTTAAATGAATCAAGTTTGCACCAATCTTCCTGCCAACCATCCCAGCCCATCCTGCTCCAACGCTACCACCCGTGCCCCCCTCCCCCACCACCACCTCCCCCTCCCCCCGCCTTCCCCACTTTTTTTAACCAACTACTCCCCCTCTCCCAGATCCAAGCCCAAGTGGGAGTCATCGTTAGTGTGGTGGGCAGCCCCTCTGCTGCATGATGTGGTGGAGCTAGAGCGCATGGTGGACCCAACCCTGGCTGGACCTGTACCTGATCCGCAAGCTTCCCGTACCGCCTCCCTTCCCCCCCACACTCTTCTCTCAGCGCCAAGCCCAAGTGGGAGTCATCGTTGGTGTGGTGGGCAGCCCCTCTGCTGCATGATGTGGTGGAGCTAGAGCACATGGTGGACCCAACCCTGGCTGGACCTGTACCTGATCCGCAAGCTTCCAGTACCGCCTCCCTTCACCCCCACACTCTACTCGCAGCGCCAAGCCCAAGTGGGAGTCCTCGTTGGTGCGATGGGCTGCACCTCTGCTGCATGATGTGGTGGAGCTAGAGCGCATGGTGGACCCAACCCTGGCTGGACCTGTACCTGATCCGCAAGCTTCCCGTACCGCCTCCCTTCCCCCCCACACTCTACTCTCAGCGCCAAGCCCAAGTGGGAGTCATCGTTGGTGTGATGGGCAGCCCCTCTGCTGCATGATGTGGTGGAGCTAGAGCACATGGTGGACCCAACCCTGGCTGGACCTGTACCTGATCCGCAAGCTTCCAGTACCGCCTCCCTTCACCCCCACACTCTACTCGCAGCGCCAAGCCCAAGTGGGAGTCCTCGTTGGTGCGATGGGCTGCACCTCTGCTGCATGATGTGGTGGAGCTAGAGCGCATGGTGGACCCAACCCTGGCTGGACCTGTACCTGATCCGCAAGCTTCCCGTACCGCCTCCCTTCCCCCCCACACTCTACTCTCAGCGCCAAGCCCAAGTGGGAGTCATCGTTGGTGTGGTGGGCAGCCCCTCTGCTGCATGATGTGGTGGAGCTAGAGCACATGGTGGACCCAACCCTGGCTGGACCTGTACCTGATCCGCAAGCTTCCCGTACCGCCTCCCTTCACCCCCACACTCTACTCGCAGCGCCAAGCCCAAGTGGGAGTCCTCGTTGGTGCGATGGGCTGCACCTCTGCTGCATGATGTGGTGGAGCTAGAGCGCATGGTGGACCCAACCCTGGCTGGACCTGTACCTGATCCGCAAGCTTCCCGTACCGCCTCCCTCCCCCCCACACTCTACTCTCAGCGCCAAGCCCAAGTGGGAGTCATCGTTGGTGTGGTGGGCAGCCCCTCTGCTGCATGATGTGGTGGAGCTAGAGCGCATGGTGGACCCAACCCTGGCTGGACCTGTACCTGATCCGCAAGCTTCCCGTACCGCCTCCCTTCCCCCCCACACTCTACTCGCAGCGCCAAGCCCAAGTGGGAGTCCTCGTTGGTGCGATGGGCTGCACCTCTGCTGCATGATGTGGTGGAGCTAGAGCGCATGGTGGACCCAACCCTGGCTGGACCTGTACCTGATCCGCAAGCTTCCCGTACCGCCTCCCTTCCCCCCCACACTCTACTCGCAGCGCCAAGCCCAAGTGGGAGTCCTCGTTGGTGCGATGGGCTGCACCTCTGCTGCATGATGTGGTGGAGCTAGAGCGCATGGTGGACCCAACCCTGGCTGGACCTGTACCTGATCCGCAAGCTTCCCGTACCGCCTCCCTTCCCCCCCACACTCTACTCGCAGCGCCAAGCCCAAGTGGGAGTCCTCGTTGGTGCGATGGGCTGCACCTCTGCTGCATGATGTGGTGGAGCTAGAGCGCATGGTGGACCCAACCCTGGCTGGACCTGTACCTGATCCGCAAGCTTCCCGTACCGCCTCCCTTCCCCCCCACACTCTACTCTCAGCGCCAAGCCCAAGTGGGAGTCCTCGTTGGTGCGATGGGCTGCACCTCTGCTGCATGACGTGGTGGAGCTAGAGCGCATGGTGGACCCAACCCTGGCTGGGCCCGTGCCTGACCCCCTCACTCTCACGCGCTACGCTGAAGTCATCGCACGATGCATCCAGGTGCGCGTGTGTGCGTGTGGGTGGTGTGTGAATCGGTGAGTGTAAGGCTGCATGAATAGGTGTGTTCATGGGTGTCTTATCTCCTTACTCTCACCAGCGATGCCAAAGTAATAGTCAGATGCATAGTGCGTGGGTACATAATAAAAGGTATGTGGGTGTCCACATGGGTGTGTGCATGTGCACATGGGTGCGTGGGTGTGCACATGGATGCATGCACACGGGGGTTGAAGGGTGCATGGGTGGATGGGTCTGTCTGATCCTTTTCCACTTGACCTTGCTTGCTTCCTCCTGGCCCCTGTCACTGGGTGCAGCCTGAGCCGGAGTTCCGCCCGTGCATGTCCAAGGTGGTCAGGGACCTGTGCCGCAGAGTGAGGAAGACTCCTGGTGTCACCATCTATTGCCTCTGATCCTTTCCCACTTGACTCTGCTTGCTCCTTCCCGCCCCCTGCTTCCCCTGTGTGCCTCTCTGCTTCCTTTCCAGCCTGAGCCGGAGTTCCGCCCGCGCATGTCCAAGGTGGTCAGGGACCTGTGCCGCAGAGTGAGGAAGACTCCTGGTGTCACCATCTATTGCCTCTGATCCTTTCCCACTTGACCCTGCTTGCTCCTTCCCGCCCCCTGCTTCCCCTGTGTGCCTCTCTGCTTCCTTTCCAGCCCAAGCCGGAGTTTCGCCCGTGCATGTCCAAGGTGTCAGGGACCTGTGTTGCAGAGTGCGGAAGACCCCTGCTGCCACCGTCAGTTGCCTCTCATCACCTCCCGCTTGACCCTGCTTCCTCCTTCCTTATTGCCCCCTGCTTCCCCTGTGTGCCTCTTTGCTTCCTCGCAGCCTGAGCCGGAGTTCCGCCCGTGCATGTCCAAGGTGGTCAGGGACCTGTGCCGCAGAGTGAGGAAGACCCCTGCTGCCACTGCCGCCACCAGCAGCAGCACCAGCACCCAGCTCGGGCCCAACGCACTTTGATGGCGTTTGTTAGGCTGACTTGTGTGGCAGCTCAGAAATGGACCGTAGCCGGAGAGATTGCAAGGTCAAGGTCCATATGGCCTCGACCATCACTACCGCCACCGCCACCACCACTGCCACCGCCACCACCACTGCCACCGCCACCACCACCATAGCCATCACCACCGCCACCACCAGTAGCCAGCTTGCCCCTGATGACTTTCAAGGTGGCTCTGAATAAATAAACCCGGCAGTGCCGGCAGCACCAGCACCACCAGCAGCATCGGCAGGAGGCAGCTTGCCCCAGATGAATCTGTTCTGACCCTCTCATACTCCCAACCTCTCAGTTCTCTCTTGTCCTTAGCCTATGCATGGCTCTCGAGTCTCGACCCTACTAGCGACATGTCTGATGATGCCTCGTGACCATCCAACAGCCCACACCTATAGTGGAGCGATGGTGGAAGAAGGCATCAGGTTTGAACATGAACAATGTGTGCGGAATATATGGAGCGAAAAGCTTAGGGTATGTGCATCATGCATGCACAAGCTGTCTTGTTGTTGTGCATGTGCTGAGAAGTTCGTGATTGTCTGTGAGCATGTGTATGCATTGGTGATGTAAGATTGCAACCTACTAACATGAGTTGTCTATTATTAATCCTGACATCTTTAGTATCACGTTGACTTGCAATGATGTTATCGGAAGGAAGATGCTTCTTAGCGAGGATTCGTCCTTTTGGCATGGCGGGATGAACCCTTTCACTTCTGGCATGGGTCAGCGCTGACGTGGCTGTGCGTCAGGGGCCTGACAACCAACCATCCGCGTCCTGCGGCGGACAATTGTACGCACACCACCACCATGCGTTCTCAAATACTCTTCGCAAGTCATCGTAACTGTCGCCAAAGTTCCTCCAATCAGCTTCGTCGCTTCAAAATATGTTTTCGTTCGATCGACTCTCGGAACTTTGCCACCCTTCGATGTACAGTACAAATTTCCTGGTCAACTTTCGTCGGACCCAGCCCTGAACATCACCTTCCGTCAAAACTAGCCGTTATCAATGGCCGACTGTTGGAAGCTCATGAATTCAGTTGCGTCGGTGCATTTGTATTCAGTTCGGCATAAAATCGTTTTGCTTCGGTCTTCGATGTTTCAGTGCGGCTTCCTGACACGGAAGATAGGGCTTCTCCCCTCCTCACTCGTCTTTCTGCCATCAGTCCGAGTTCACTGCGTTTGCCCTGTTGTTGACACACTCTGAGAAGCTACTGCGTTGTCATCAGCAGTTCCAAGTCGTCGTTCTGCTCCCGCAGCAGCGTATCGCCATAGGTTCCGCTTAGCAGTTCAGCCGCAGGTGTTTTTTGTCCGCCTTGGTGTAGCTGTTCTTCTTAGTACGAAATATAACAACACAGCTTCACTCTTATCCGAGACACATCCCCTCCTCCTCATCGTTTTTCCATCCATCGCGTTTTGTAACGGTTCACTTCGAGCAAGGTTCTCTCGTTACTCTAGAGACGGAAGAATCCATGATGGACAGTTGGATGGATAAAGCATGGTTGGTAGATGCGTGGAGCAGGCAAGGAATCACCCCTCTTGTGTTCGCCGGAAATGGAACAGACGGCGATGTCGGAGAGCTCGAGAAGGACGCCTATGAAGGCCTGGCAGCATCGTACGCGTTTGTGGGGATCGTTGCCTTGGTGCGTGCTGGCTTTGTTGTTTTTTTTTAGACGCTGTTTTTTTCTGATTTTGTTGTCATGCACGCTTTTAATATTTTTAATTCGACGATAGATTCACGCAATAATGCCGAGAAATCTATCGCCTAGCCCAGGTTCAAGTGACACTACTGGGAGTTCCCGAGTACGCCTTTATTTTGAAGCACCTTAAAATCTTCTCCATTGCAATGCTTCTTATACGTCAACGCTGCAGGTGCAACTGGCTCGGATTCAACTGAGAGTTCCTGAGTACGGCTGGACGACACAGAAGGTGTTTCATCTCTTCAACTTCGTTCTCTGCGCAGGTCAGTATCTAGTTACCTCGCCACACTGCCACATGTTATGCTTTATCCCGGATTGCATTGGTGAGACATGCAAAAGCGAGTACGGCTGGAAGACAGTGACTAGCTTCCTTGTTAAAGCGAGGCATCTGATCATTTTCTTTGTGTGCGAAGGTCTGTGTCTTGTTATCCACGTGTCTAACCCTGACCATGTGTGTGTGTGTGTGTGTGTGTGTGTGTGTGTGTGTGTGTGTGTGTGTCTGTGTGTGTGTGTGTGTGCGTGTGTGTGTGTGTGCGTGTGTGTGTGTGTGCATGAGGTGGTGGTTGTAATGTTCTCTGCTTTAGATTATCTGCATATCACGGGGTTGTTAATACAGTGTACACAAATGCGCCTCCACTTTTGCAACATCTTTTTGAAACCTCTGCACATGACACGACATGGTCATTCGTTTCTCTTTCCCCTTTTCACCTTCCACCCGCCTCTCCTCCCTCTCCCTCTCGTCCACCTTCCCTTGTGTCTGCAGCCAGGTGTGTGGTTTTCCTCTTCTGGGAGCAAATCCTGGGCATCGATGACTACGTGAGCTCCATCCCTTCGGTGCCAAAAAAATAGACGCTTCTCAAATGGTTTTCCCTTTTCGAAGCAAGTGCAGGGCATTCAAGAGCATGTGAGCTCCATTGTTTAGCTCGCTTTTCTGTCGCGGAATTTTGCATCAGCTTTCATGTCATTTCATGCCATTTAGCTGGTTTTAGTTTACAATCTTGCCTAACTTTCCTGTTGCAGGTGTTAAAAGTGGCCATCTTGGACGTTCCGAGTCTCTTCTTCTTCACCACGTACACACTGCTCATCCTATTCTGGGCAGAGATTTACCACCAGGTGTGTAGCTTTGCTTTGATGAGACTCAAAAGTCACATCAGGTGTTACTAGTTGCAAACTTGGAATCACTGGGTCCTTTCTTTTTCACCACGTACACGCTGCTCATCCTCTTTTGGGCGGAAATTTACCACCAGGTGTGTACAAGCAGCAAGGTTACCTTTGTGTTGACTTTTCTCTAGACTTCTGAATCGTCAAGGAAGTTATTTGTTACCATGCACACGCTGCTCGTCCCCTTCAGGGCGGAAAATTACCACCAGGTGTGTATCCTCAGCATGTACTTTACTGCTCTGATACGGGACAGTAAAGAGGACGGTGAATGCAAGGAGGAGGGACGGGTGAGCAGGGCAGAGAAATGGGAGAGGAAAAGGAAGAGGAGGACGTACTTACTTGGGGAAGGAAAGCATTGTCAAGTATGTACCGTCAGCATTGTATTGTCAGTTAACTACCGGCTATACACCATCACTGATGACAAAAACCCTTTTGAGCCTTTTGAGCAGACGCGTATTTTACCTCCCACTCGACTTCCTTTGCTTTTTCTCTCTCTCTCTCTTTTCGTTTTTTTCTTTTGTCGCTTGTTCCCCCTTGTTCCCTCGAGGCCCGAGACATACAATCAGCGGATCTCTGCCGAACGTTCTGCATCTTGAAGCGCCTCAAAAGCACTCTCCCCTTCCCCCCCCTCCACCCCCCGCGGTTGCTGGTCTCCCCTAATCCCTCAAGGCCCGAGGCGTACAGTCGGAGGATCTCCGCCGTACATTCTGCATCTTGAACGCTGCAATCTATATCCTACAGGTGCGTACAGTAGCAGTGCAGGAATCTTAGTTTGTGTTCATGCATGTCGTTGGGTTTCCTAGTGTTTTAGCAGGTTGCTCGTGGCTGTGGTTTAATTTCATGTGCTCCAGTCAGTCATTTGTGGCTGTTGTGGTTGGAGAAGCATGTTCTAATCACATGCTTGCGAAACCATCACATTATCTGCCTGCTATGCCTACTAAACCACACAATAATTTTGTGGTAAGTACCAACCCTTGCCATATTTCTCTGGTACGTCCTTGTATAAATACATGTCTTTATCGTACATTCATGATTCACATTCATGCTTGCCTGCATGCACACATGCCCACAATCCCTCGCTTCAGGCTTGTGCATGGATCTACATGGAATTCGTGCCACAGCATGCAGAACCACTCATTCTCCTCACCAAGCTCTTTCGAGCAGGTAGCAGGCAGAGGAAGTGAGAGAGCAGGTAGCAGGCAGATTTTATGTGGCTTTTGAGTCGGCTCATAATATACCTCCTTCGGCACTGTTTCCGCATTTCCTCCATACGTGAGGCCTTGTTGGCTGAATTCTCAGAATTTCCTCCCATGCTTGCCCTCACTTCCTCTTAACCCCATCATTCCTTCGTTACCCCCTTTTTTTTTTCTCCCTGTCTCCGTCCAGGCGTGGCATTCACTGCGGCATTTGGTTTCATGCTTTATGGAGGACGGTGAGCCTAGCCGCAGACAGATTATCTTTTTTCTTTCTTTCTTTTTTGTCCCTTCCGTTGCCTCATACTAAAGCTGCCCGTCTTAATTGCAGAATCAATTTTATGGTTATGATTTCGTTCGTGTGGTTGCAGGCTGTTTGTCACGCTCAACACACTTTTGAGTCGACTCAACAGCATGTCATTCTGTGTGGTTGCAGGCTGTTTGTCATGCTCAACACGTTTCCAGTGGAGTCGAGAGGGAGAAGAAACAAGCTGATGGAGGTGGGTTGTGGATGTATAATGGTGGGCGGGATGAATGCTCCTGTGCTCCGAGCTGACTCTTGAGTTGACATAAGAGTTACCAAGTTGATGGTGGTGGTTTGTGTTTTTGAGACGTCTCAAAAATACACTTTTTACACCAAGTTGATGGAGGTGGTTTGTGTTTTTTAGACGTCTCAAAAATACACTTTTTACACCAAGTTGATGGTGGTGGTTTGTGTTTTTTAGACGTCTCAAAAATACACTTTTTACACCAAGTTGATGGTGGTGGTTTGTGGATGTTGAAGTTATAGGACGATTGCTCTGTGCCTCAAGCTGACTTCTGAGTCAATGCATCCCTTACCCCGCTATTGTAGGTGAGCTTTGAATGATGGAGTGATGGGATGAATGCTCCTGTGCTCCAAGCTAACTGCTGAGTTGACACAGCAGTTCCCAATATGATGGATCTAAGATCTGTGTGTATTGAGACCACGAGTGTTGCTTCGCTCCTGTGATGTGATTTGTTGTCTGGATGGCGTTTTCTCTGTCCGTCCTTTCCCTCTTGCTCCGCCCCCTTTTCCAGGTGGGCTGCGTCACAGCCATCGGCTTCACGAGCTTCACGATTCGAGCATTCATCGTGAGTTCGGGAAGCGTCATTACCATTATATGACAGCGACTGTCGTGTAGGAATGCCTCTGAGGAGTGGGATTGGGGGATTCATCGTGAGTTGCTGCTATTCATGGCATGTTGGGGTTTTGAGGCGAGTTGAGATTGTGGCGTGTGATGTGTTGGGGTTTTGTGATTGTTGCTGCTTCTATCTATCAATCTCTTCTCTCCTTTGTCATCTGGCTTTTTATATATAAATCTATATGTGTGCTGGCTGGGTTTTGTGGATAGCCGAATAACAGGGATATCTCAACGTCTCTTTCCGTGTGATGGCCATTTCAGGTCGCTTTCTCAAGCATCAGTGAGCGAGTTCCGCTGGATGAAGTCAAAGCTCCGGTCTTCAATGTGATCTACTACATGGTATGCACATGAAGATTTGAGTATTTGAATGCATGTGCGCGCTTGGGTCTGGGTCTGTTGCGAGGTCAGGTCAGCTTTGTCTGTTTATTCCGAGCTTTTACATAGGCTATTTGCAATGTACTGTACTGATGTCTGCTACTCCGCAGGCTGTGGAAGTCGTACCAACCATCCTTGTGTTGTACATCCTTAGGAAGCTTCCTCCCCGGCGACGTTTCAACACACAGCCGTTGCAGTAGATGCTAAGTGTCTGGGTTCGTGCTTATTCGTCGGGGGTTTAGGCTGAAATCTTTGTTTTCGTTTTGCACTCTGGATAGTGCATCCGCCAGCATGTACAGCAAAATGTATTTGCATAATGTAAATATGTAGAGGTGCATGCATGCACTGCATAGTACGGTATTGTATGTCCACCGGTGTACATCATGGTTTGAGGGCATCCAATCATTGGTTGATGCAAACCAGAGTATCATGATTAAAGAGATGGAACTACAAAACCATGAACGCAAGTCCAGAGTACAGTAGTCAATAATGTAAGTATTGCACTGTAGACCCTCTGTCCCTACAATCATGACCCCTACACGTTCCCTAGAAGCCCTAGTAGGGGCTTCACATTCTTGAACTTTTATATGCGAGCATCACCAGCAGGGTCTTCCTCCTATGAAACACGAAGCCCTTGTTGCTAGTGCAAGAATGGCCAGAGTACGCACCTCTCGGCCAACCTCACACACTCAGACCCCACCCTCATCTCCTTCCATCCAACCCCACCTCCCTGGAGCCAGTAAGGACAAACAAAGTCATTCAATCAGTGAACCTAAGCTCCAACCATCCTTCCACCCTACTGTCCTTCCACTTCCACAGCCCGGAACTTCCTTCCGTCTACTCTCCCATCTACCCTCGACTCGACCCTTCCACCTGCAAATGCTAACTGCTTCAAGGTTCCAGCTTCAAGGAGCCACATCACCTTCTAGTGTGTGCACCCCCCATTGTCCTTCAACCCCTTCATCTCCACATGCTATCTGCTTCAACATTCCAGCATCAGAGAGCCACAGCACATTTTATTGCGTGCACCCGTCATGCCTCCCATCGTCCTTCAGACCCTACACCTCCACATTCTAACTGCTTTGACTTCCCAGCTTGGAGGAAACACAGCACATGCTAATGTGTGCACCCTTCGCGCCTCCCATCGTCCTTCAAACCCTCCACTTCCACATTCATCTGCTCCTCCTCTGCTCCTGCCTTCCCGCTCCTGTGCGCTATCCTGTCCCACATCCTCTTAGCGAATTTCGTCTTAGCGAGGATGGGAATGAGCGTGAGCACTCCCAGCAGGCAGAAGATGGCGATGGTGGCAGGATCGTAGAGGTCTGAAACGGAGTTGATTGTAGAGAGTACGCACCCAGCCTTCACTTGTATCACATTGTACGGGAAGAAACCCAGGAATGTGCCTATAACAAAGGTTGGAAAGGGAAGTCCGACCACCGGAGCACAGAGGTTGATGACCCAGGAGGGAAGCACGGGTGTGATTCTAAGGAAGATGATATAATAAACGAGGCAGCTCTGGTGGCGCTGGACTTCGCGTCGCAGCCAATCGCAGCGCTCCGTGAAGTACGAGTACACCACGTCGCGAAGAATAAAAAGCGATACGGCGTAGGAGAGGCACGCGCCGATGGTTATAAAGAGCGAGATTGTAAAGAGGCCGAGTGGGAAGCCGAAGAGCGACCCAGCTAAGATGTTGCAGAGGAGGGTTCCCGGAATTAGGAAGGTTTGAATAAAGAGGTAAAAGTTGACGAAAGTGAAGTACACTCTTGTAGGGTATGCTGCCATGTAGAGGTTGAGTGTAGATCGCATGGATTGGAGGTCTGAGATACTGTGGGGGATGTGGAGCGTTGCGTATGCGACAGTTGTCGTATTGCCGTTGGAAGATTCGGAACTAGACGGATATGGATTCGATTCTGTCGAAGATGCGTTGAAGAGAGGATTATCTGGTGCAAATAACGACACGCTGCCCCCGCCGATGCTGCTGGTGGTGGTGCTGCCGTTGGCGGGAAAATCTTGACCTGAAGGATCCACAACTAGGGTTCCGTTGCTCGGGCTGCTCCCGTTGCTGCTAAAGCTGCCCGGAAAATTTCCGCTGTTCATGAACCCGTTCCCGTAAATGCCGCTGAGTTCGCTCCCATTGGCTGCGACTCCACCGAAAGGCGTCGCAGGCGACTCCGGCGACTGCAATGCGATCTGAACGGTGGCGATAGACGGCAGCGTTACGAAGCTAACGACGACGATCAGCGACCACCCGAGAAAAAGCAGCAGGAGGCAGGAGAGCCGGCGACATAATTCCGAACCGACGCCCACGGAAGCAGGCGAAACGTCAGGATAGCCGGAGATTGCGACTATGGCCGGATCTTCAACGGATTTCGGTCGAAGCACGACGGTGCTGCAGTCGCTGCGACAACCCCCCTTACTGCCGCAACAGTCGGAGGTGATGGAGTCGGGAGTGATAGAAACGGGGTCCAGTGTGATAGTAACGGTGTCGTCCCTGATCGGTTTTAACCTAACGTGGGCGGAGTCTACATTAAGACAATGTATCCTGTCGCTGTTGCCGTCGCTGCTGCTTCTTCTGCTGCTGCAGCCACTTCTGCTACCGCCGCCACCGCCGCCGCCGCCGCCGCCGCCGCTGCTGGCGCTGTCGTCGAAGCAGTGACTGGAGTCGAGGCCGAACGGGCACGTGACGAAATCGGCGTGTTCGTCAGCGTCGCTTGCTACTCCGCCGGGGTTCAGCCGCGCGGTGCTCGGCGAATCCGGATCGCGTACGTGCGACATTGGGCTCGGCGACGTGCGACGTGCGACAGGAAGTCCGATGGGCAACGATGATTCGCCTGCGGGGACGTCGGCTTTCTTACAGAATTAGTCGACGTGCAGGGATAGATCGCAAACTTCTACGTAGAAGATGATGAATTATAACCTAGATGAGACCGCATATTAAAGTTCAACAACTCCGCGAGCATAGGGCTCGAGCCAAGGAATGAGGGAAGGACGGAGGGTGGAAATTTGGCGAGAATCCGTGCATGCTGTGTCGAGACTATCGGCCGAAAATGCAACAAGCCGCTGGCACTAACAAGCGAATTAGTCGGGCTTGAAGTCTTCACAGATGATGCCTAGAAACTAAGGAAAAATAATCGAAGCAGACATGTTAGTACTAAAATAGATAAAGACGGGCAAGGAAAGTATTTTAGGCCAAGAAGACGGAAGTGTCAGTGAGTAGGGTTCTTGCGGAGAACTTATCGGCAGGCCAGGTATGGTCGAGGGACCGGCACCGCCGCACAGGTTTGTTTACCGAGCTTGCTTGCCTCGGCAGGGACTCGACAGACTCAGGGAAACTGGTTGGGCAACCACGGTGTGGCTGGATGTGATTTTCTTACCTACTGCTACAGTATTGCAGATACTTTCAGCTAAACAGCGCTGAACATGCAGCTTGGAGTTCGGGCTGGAGGTTGGGCGTTGCGGAACTTGGTTCGGGTGGCTTGGGAACAATGGAACTGGTTCGGGAACATGAGGTGTGGTTTGTTCAGGCAAGCGCGACGAGGCACAAGCCCTGGTTGGGTGAAAGCAGGCGCCGAACGCGGACCAGACCTGCACCGAACCCAGCGGGTAGCTGCGATGGCTAAGGCGCAAATGATGCGGCGGACTCGCGATTCGGAAAAAGAGTGAAAGCGAGCGACAGGTAGGGATGCACGGGTTTGGTTTGGAAAATAGGCAGGGGAAAGGAAGACTGGATGGGACAGGGAAGGGGGAGGGGAGAAAATAAAGGGGAGACGGCTCAGGCTGGGATGTGATCTGTGATGGTTAGGGAACCCTCTCAACAAGGGACGGTGTCAGAGCGTCATTATTGGGCTGTCGAACCTCTGACGACGAACCCAAGTTGACTTGACAGGCTGGGTAACGTTCACCTCACCAAACGCGTTTTGACGAAGCTCAGCCATCATCAACACATCACCAACCAGTGGATTCGACAAGCGCAGACGCTTTGTTCGCGTTAAAATGGCAGCGAAGGAATAATAGCAATCAGGCCCCTTACGTCTCGCGAAAGCTCTACCATCTGAGCGCTGGGACAAACGCTAGTATTGTCAAATTATTTCTGAAGTGAAGCATTGCAACGCAGGGCCGAGGAGGCTCCTACATAGATTTTGCTATTGCCCTCATAAATGACTGGCACAATTGGTAAAATCTCAAACATACAAATATCATCCCTCCATCAAGAACATCTTCTTTTCGCCTATCCATATCGCACGATTGCAGATGCCCACGTAAGGCCAGCACCGAAACCAGCCGTTGCGATAACGTCCCCGGACTTCACTTTACCACTGCGCACAGCTTCGTCAAGAGCGATGGGGATGGATGCTGCACTCGTGTTGCCGTAATTGGCCACGTTTGAGATCACCTTCTCATGAGGAATGCCCATCTTAGTTGCAACAGCGTCCATTATCCGTTGATTGGCCTGGATGGTTCCACAGGGGGAGAACAGCAGTTAGTTGCAGAACAGTGACGCGCACAAAACCAAGTGGCATGGCAAAGAGGGTTCGACACGGACCAGAGGAAATAGGTGCAACTGCAGGGCTTAGCTGCACGGCACAGACAGTGTGTATGCCTATGTTGATACAATGTGAAGTGGTGATGTGAAAGTCTGGAATGCAAGTGAGAGGAACTGCACAATGAGCCGAAGGTGTGGGACATTTTGGCAAGTCCAAGCGATCTTGGTACGTTGGTGCTGATTGAATTTCTCCAACTGCTCTGCTTCCAGACCGTACCAGAAGAACAAGTTACCTGATGTTTTCATGTGCTACTTGAGTGCATACCAAACAAGCCAGCTACCTGATGCAGCAGAAGCCAGTCAATGTCATCCGTTGAAAGCTCTGCCTCCTGAAGCGCTGCTTGTAGGACCTGCAGGGACGAGAGGCAGGGTGTGGTTGTTTGAGGGAAGGAAGAAGATGTGAAGGTGAAAAATGGAAACATACGGTGGGCCCGGAAGCTGCATGTATGGCATGACGGGATGAGGGGGACCAGGGAGAAGGGGAAGAATGGGGCATAATGGGAAGCGATTTCAACAGCACGCGCAACACATCCGTACTTTGAGGGGGGCATGTCACAGTGACGACTTTTGAGGCGCCTAAAAAATCGGGATGAGGGGGACCAGGGAGAAGGGGAAGAATGGGGCAGAATGAAAGAGATTTCAACAGCATGCGCAACACCTCCGTACTTTGAGGGGGGGCGTGTCACAGTGACGAGAGTCACTGTAGTGAAAGCTCCATGAGAGCTATGTTTGTTTGTTTGTTTGTTTTTGGCAACAAACCAGAGGTCATGATTCCTGCCCTTCTCGTTTGGCTGCTGTGGGGCATTGGCAGTGATGCTTGTCTTCGACTTACAGGCCGCATTGCACACCTGGGGCACGCATTGCATACCTGGGGCACGCATTGCATACCTGGGGCACGCATTGCATACCTGGGGCACGCATTGCGTACCTGGGGCACGCATTGCATACCTGGGGCACGCATTGCATACCTGGGGCACGCATTGCATACCTGGGGCACGCATTGCATACCTGGGGCACGCATTGCATACCTGGGGCACGCATTGCATACCTGGGGCACGCATTGCATACCTGGGGCACGCATTGCATACCTGGGGCACGCATTGCATACCTGGGGCACGCATTGCATACCTGGGGCACGGATTGCATACCTGGGGCACGCATTGCATACCTGGGGCACGCATTGCATACCTGGGGCACGCATTGCATACCTGGGGCACGCATTGCATACCTGGGGCACGCATTGCATACCTGGGGCACGCATTGCATACCTGGGGCACGCATTGCATACCTGGGGCACGCATTGCATACCTGGGGCACGCATTGCATACCTGGGGCACGCATTGCATACCTGGGGCACGGATTGCATACCTGGGGCACGCATTGCATACCTGGGGCACGCATTGCATACCTGGGGCACGCATTGCATACCTGGGGCACGCATTGCATACCTGGGGCACGCATTGCATACCTGGGGCACGCATTGCATACCTGGGGCACGCATTGCATACCTGGGGCACGCATTGCATACCTGGGGCACGGATTGCATACCTGGGGCACGCATTGCATACCTGGGGCACGCATTGCATACCTGGGGCACGCATTGCATACCTGGGGCACGCATTGCATACCTGGGGCACGCATTGCATACCTGGGGCACGAATTGCATACCTGGGGCACGCATTGCATACCTGGGGCACGGAGGTGACAGCAAACTTGTAGACCTCCTTCCCGTTCATCACTATGGGCGTCGCCACCGCCCTCCCTGCAATGGACCCACTCTCTATCGGTGCTGGCGTCACACTGAAGCACGCGTGCAGGTGCCTGGCGAGGGCGCATTAGGGAAAGGACAGGGGGAGGTTTGCGGGGGACGTATGGCCTAGAGTCGAGCAAAGAAGCTTGCTGCCTCCCTGCTCGAGCCAGCGTAGAGCTGCAGCAGGCTGGTACACTGGAAGAACATGTGAGGAGTCAGTCAGTACATTTGAAATCGGTTGTTAGTAACAGATCCGTTTGTATGCATGCCTGCTCTTTTCCGAGCTGTCGCTTTGCCGAAACATGGTGCTAACCATTACTGCTAGACGCTTGCAGTCCGGTTTCGAGCAGCACACCTCGAGAACCAGATGCCCCTGAACCATGTACCATGAGCCACGCCTGTCACCATGACAATAGAACCCCAGCAAGCCATCACCACTCTTGCTCTGGCCTTGCTTCGAAAGGAGCAGTGTGCTCTGACCAACCTATCCACTCAACACTCTACCTTCGTTCCTCAAGGTCCTGCTGAGTGCTACCCTAGCAAGCCTACCTGTTTTTTAGGAATTCTAAAAAAACAGACTCTGCTACCCTAGCAATCATACCTGGAGCCAGCGCCGTCGCTGTGCATGTCAAACCCCAGCATGCCGTCGCTCTCCCCCTCTGCTGCAGCCTGCAGACCCCTAAGAAAGACTACCCATCCATCCAGCTTACCTTGATCCCCCTAGAAACTGCCGAGTGCGACCCTAGTAGCCCCACCTGGAGCCAGCGCCGTCGCTGTGCATGTCAAAGCCCAGCATGCCGTCGCTCTCCCCCTCTGCTGCAGCCTGCACCAGCACGGCCCCACAGCCATCGCCAAACAGAATGCACGTGCCCCTGTCCGACCAGTCCACGTATCGGGACAGCCCATCCGCTCCCACCACAAGCACTCGCTCATACCCGCCTCCTGCAGAGTTGATTGGTTCAGCGAATAAAAGTGGACAAGTGGGGAGCATAAGCAGAGAGCATGTGGAGCAAGACTTGAGGAGAAGTCCACGTGCTGAGGTAAACTGTGCGACCAGCCCATGTATCGGGACAGCCCATCCGCTCCCACCACAAGCACTCGCTCATACCCGCCTCCTGCAGGGTTGGCTGGTTCAGAGCATAAGATGGGAGACACGAGGGGCATAAGCAGAGAGCAAGAGGAGCAATTAAGAGAAGTCCACGTGCTGAGGTAAACTGTGCGACCAGTCCACGAATCGGGACAGCCCATCCGCGCCTACCACAAGCACTCGCTCATACCCGTCCCCTGCAGAGTAGGTTCAGTGGCAGAATATGGATGGACAAGTGAGGAGAATGAATACGAAGCAAGAGGAGAAGTCACATACTCCATAAAGGGGGAGGGGAATGTTTCGAGTTAACAACAAACACTCACCACGAGCTGCCTCTTGCGGGATTGGATTAATCATAAATGATGTAAAACCTTGTGAGGGGTAGGAGGGGATAATTTCTGTGTGCAGTCAGTTATGTAGCCACAAGTGGGGAATTATATGGACATGACTGCAACTAGCATGAGGCATTATTTTTCTGAACCGCAGTACGTACAAACATGCAAGGACTCAGGTGGTACCTTGGATGAACCGGGAGGCGGTGACAAGGCCGAGGACAAAGCCACTGCACGCTGCAGTGAGGTCGAACGCCACAGCTCGTTTGCAGCCCAGGTCCCGTTGAACCTGGCAGCAGGGGAGTGAGAGAAGCAGATAATTAGCAGTCAGATTTCTGAGTCGACTTAACAAAGTCTCTAAAGCCACTGCACGCTGCAGTGAGGTCAAACGTCACAGCAGCCCAGGTCCCGTTGAACCTGGCAGCATGGGAGCAGGAAATGGCTGGGAAAAGGTAATCAGCAAACAGGGCTCAAGAGCAGATTGACAGAGGGGTGGTTGAAACCAGAACGAAGAAGGGGTGAATTGCGAAGGGGACGCGATACGGCATAGCGGAATCTATGCACGAACGATGCTCACCACGCACATTCCACGCTTCATGTTTTGAAGGTTGATTTGCAGACTTTGGCAAATCGCCGCGGAGACTCGACTCTACAACAATGGTAACCCGCGGGTACATCAGCAACTCACAATGCATCTGTGACCGCGTCTTAGATTGAGCTCGTGACGTGTGTTCGAATACGATCGTCTAAAATCTCATCGTCGGGGGTTGACTTGTGAGTATCATGGTAACCAGCAATCGCAGCTGCAATCCACGAAATTGCGCATGAAACTCACCAGGCAACCACGGCTTAAGACATTGTCGTTGTCATCGTCGCAAATGACGAGCAAAAGAAGATCATGGTAACCAGTGCCGTAACAAAAAATCTTCAAAAATTCCGCATAAAACTCACCAGGCAACCACCGCCGAAAATGTCGTCGGGCGTTGATGTGCAGAAGATGATCAGGTCCACGTCAGCAGGGTCCACGCCAGCCATCTCCAGAGCCTTTCGCGAAGCCTCTGTAGCCAGGCCGGTCATCGACTCGTTCTCTGTGCCACCGCAATCATGAAGGGAGAATCAAGAAGACAGAAAGAGACAAGCGCCGGGAGAGGGGGACAGGAGAGTGAGGGTGGTGGCTTTCGGAGTTTGTGGTGAGAAAGCGCGACAGAGAGCGGATTCAGGGAACTGAATTTCCAGGAAATTTCTTTCGCGTTGTTTCTTTGGTTCGGTCTTTTCGTAGATATGACATACGACACTGGTATAGAGCATGTTACGGGTGCTGGTTACGCCAAGATTCAACAGCTTACCAGAGAGGACATGGCGATTCCGAATGCCGGTACGGGTGGCGATCCATTCGTCAGACGTTTCCATCAGGGTTGCGAGGAAATCATTGGTGACGATCTTCTCTGGCACTGCGGAACCAGTTCCGATGATTCGAGAACCTCGGCCAGTCTTCCTGCGGGATGGACATAATAATTTGGAATCGCACGGTTGTGCATGAGTACAAGTGGCGAAAAAATCACAAATAGGATTCGCAGATGAGGGAAGGAAATGTTGATCCGTTCTGAGAGACGACATTTGGTGACGAGTCATCGAAATGTGTGATTCATTAATGTTACACTCCGCGCTGTTGCAGATTCTCCTAGATATCACCTATTTCTATGATTCACCTCTTCCGAGTTTTTTTCTCGCCGGAGTCAGCAGCCGGAGGCTCTGCGGTGGCTGAATTCACCACATTCAATGCTCCTGTGGAAGAAGCTTTCAAGGCCTGGCGTTGCCATGTTCTGGAGCTCGATCCAGACAGAATCAATTTGCCGTTTCCGCGAACAGCAGCAGACGACGAGAATCTGTTATTCTGACTAATGAGATCGCTGCCTCTCTCAACAGACGCACAGCGTATGGAGACAGAGGAGGCGGCACTAACGGCCTGGGCCATGTCTGCTCGGCTAATCGGGAACACCTGTTAGTGGATACTGGCACAGCACCACTCAGCGAAGCATAGGACGGCTGAACGGTTTGTCAGAACCGTGAAGACGGAAGAACGAAAGGATCAATCTAGGAGGCTATCTAAAAAGTTGAAGAGATGGCTACGCTGGAAGGTATTGTGCCTGCTGTGGCTGCCTTGGCCTGCTATGGCTGTCCAGACCAGTCTAGGAAGCACAGCAGATCTGTGCTAACAGTATGATGTGTCTATTGTCTAGCATAAGACCCACACGCATATGCCTCCAGGATAACCAGCTTGATCAAGAGGACCAGAGTGGTTACCAAGTCCGGATCAGGGTCAACGGGCTCATCTGGCTTTCATCCATCGGACGGTGATTAACACCAAACTGGGACTACCGAGGAGCATCCGGCCGTCAACAGAAATCCTCGAAATTTGCTGTTTCCACGGTCAGGAGGTTGGAGTGACGTCGGAGACGACATCCGTGACATGGCGACAATCGCGAGATTCGTATGTACGGCTCGTGTGTCGCTTAGGGATGATCACTCTTGCGAAAGCCATGATTGCGTGGCAAAGTTTTGATCAGATCCACGTCGGCACGCACCGCTACTGGGAAACTCGAGTCCCCATAAAAGTCCACAGGAAGGAAGCAAAGATACAAGCTCAAGGGTGCACGCAACACCTTTATAACTTCACAGTACAATCCATGTACATCAAATGTACCCTAACCAGTCTAGACAAACCTACAAATCACTTGCCCTATTGACAATTGTGAAACTGGAGAAGGAGAATCCCAACCTTCTCTTTGGAACTGTAGGTCTGGACGAGCTTTGCCCCTTCAATGTTGCTCCGTCACTATCGTTCTCAACTGTTGCCTGCAAATCACCTCCCTGAGAATTTGCTGCAGATGGAATGCCTATCATCCCACCACGATCCCCACTGTATTTTTGTTCGTGTTTTCTCACCTCAACAGTCCCAGAAACACCAGCAGAATCACCAACGCTTCTGCTCACATCACCTCCAGCACCACCAACACCAGCACCACCAACACCAGCACCACCAACACCAGCACCACCAACACCAGCACCACCAACACCAGCACCACCAACACCAGCACCACCAACACCTGCACCACCAACAGCAGCACCACCAACACCAGCACCACCAACACCAGCACCACCCAGACCTCCAGAGCTGAACGCATTAAAAGCAGCAAGCGCGTGGGTAGCAGCAGCAGCGGCAGCGACATTCCTAGTCGGCGTAAGCGAGAGACTGGTAGCAGTGGAGGTTCGGCTGAAGCTGAAGGCGCTGGTGGGAGTGTAAGAGGCCAGGGAGGATGCTAAAGAGGGAGGAGTGGAGAGAGAGGAGGGGATTACAGGACCGTCGGGAGTGGCAGAGGCCGTGGTGGTTGCGGTGCTGGTGGTGCTGGTGATGTGGGTGGAAGGTGGATGGGGTGGGCTGATGGCTGTTGTGCTGACCGTGTGCCGCAGGGGAGGAGGCCTGGAGAACGACGCACCGTCAGAGGGGAGGAGAGAGGAGGAGAGGGGAGGAGGGTAGCGGTGAGGAGAAACGCGAGGAGGGAATTGATGCATCAGCACTGTAATCGAATCCAGAGAGAAAAAAATCACTAGGCGATGACACTTGAATATAAAAAGGCTTATATATAGGGGCAGAATAACGAGCTGCAAGCCATGTAGGTGTATGCATTCAGGTGTGCGCAAAGTCACACTCATTGCACATCGCACACATACACAAATGCACATCGCACACATACACAAATGCACGTCCCACACATACACAAATGCACATCGCACACATACACAAATGCACATCGCACACATACACAAACGCATATCGCACACATACACAAATGCACATCGCACACATACACAAATGCACATCGCACACATACACAAATGCACATCGCACACATACACAAATGCACATCGCACACATACACAAATGCACATTGCACACATACACAAATGCACATCGCACACATACACAAATGCACATCGCACACATACACAAATGCACATTGCACACATACACAAATGCACATTGCACACATACACAAATGCACATTGCACACATACACAAATGCACATCGCACACATACACAAATGCACATCGCACACATACACAAATGCACATCGCACACATACACAAATGCACATCGCACACATACACAAATGCACATTGCACACATACACAAATGCACATCGCACACATACACAATTGCACATTGCACACATACACAAATGCACATCGCACACATACACAAATGCACATTGCACACATACACAAATGCACATCGCACACATACACAAATGCACATCGCACACATACACAAATGCACATTGCACAAATGCACATCGCACACATACACAAATGCACATCGCACACATACACAAATGCACATCGCACACATACACAAATGCACATCGCACACTGCACCATAGATCAAATATGCACGTTGCACAAGGCACACGCACCTCTCACTGCTTGCTCCTGTAGCCTCTGTCACCGACACACTCCTCCCACTACTGCCCAAATAATGCCCACCACTCCCCAACTGACGCCCACCACCTCCCACCCTCTCCTCTCCCTCCTCTCTCTCCTCTCCCTCCTCTCCCTCCTCTTCCTCCTCTTCCTCCTCCTCTTCCTCCTCCTCCTCTTCCTCCTCTCGCACACTCACGTCAAGCATGCTTTCACTGAAGCTGCTATTACCAGGAAACCTACTCTCGACAGAGCTGCTACCAGAAAACCTGCTCTCACAAGCATTGCTACCAGCAAACATGCTGTCATTGAAGCTTCTCATGCCTTGCCCCCGCAGAGTCTGCCTGGACAGCTGTCCTCTCCTGGACACTCCAGGGGAAGGGGTCCCTCTAAAAGCCCCGCCCCCTCCTTCGTTATAAGCACCCTCGCTGGTAAAACCAGGCCCTGCCTCGCTATAAGCACCACCAGCCAGTGCTAGCAATTTTGACCTAGAGATTGCTGCCTGTGGATCCTGCCCGAAACCCGCTGCTTGTGAGTCTTCTCCAGAGGAAGATGCCTGTGGATCTGCCCCACCCGCAAAGTTTTCAGTATCTGCCCCACCCGCAAAGTTTTCAGTATCTGCCCCACCCGCAAAGTTTTCAGTATCTGCCCCAACCGCATCCCTCTGTTGTTCTTCTGCCCCAGCCACCGCTCTCTGTGCGTGTGCCGCAGTAGCAACCCTCAGGGTTTCTGCCGCACGCGAAGGCAAGCTGGGCCTTGGCGATTGGGACCCCTCCTCCAAAGCCGGGCCTTTGCCTTTGTCTGAGGAGCATAGAGCTGCTGCTGCTGTAAGCACATCTGCCGATCTTGTATCTCTGACCAGCACATTCCCTGATCGTCCATCCCTGATCACCACACCTGCCGATCCTGCACCTCCATACCTGGTGAGCGCATCCATCCCATCTGCATTGGTCCGAGGGTTCATCGACAGGTGCCGAGACAGACCCCTTCCAGGTGGAACCTGGTGGAGGGCTCGACTGGGCAGGTCTGTGCCCTGCTGCAGAGGCAGACCGGACAGGTTCCCGCTAGACAGGTGCTTTCTGGGAGGAGGTTTGGACTGGCTTCGGCTGGAAGGGCTGGTGAGGCTAAAGGAGGGGCTGCTGTTGGTATACTTGAAGGTTTTGCTCTTGGAGAATGGGCGTGTCGTGGGGGTTTGTAGAGTGGGGTTGTAACGAGGGCTGTAACGGGGGTTTGTTGCAATAAGGGTTGGCGGGCGGTGGTGTTGTGGCGCGTGGAAACTGGATGGGCTCGTGCTGGATAGGTCAAAAGCAGCAGGGCTGCGCTTGAAGGTCCTGCTCTTGCTGAAGGGGTGTGGAGAGCGGGGAGAGAAGGCGTCTGGAAAGTGTGAGTGGGTCGCACAGGTAGCGGCAGAAGCAGCAGCAGCAGCAGCATCAGCAGCAGCAACAGCAGCAGCAGCAGCAGCAGCAACACTGGTAGGTGTTGAACCAACGGTGCCAATGGCAATGCCACGAGCATTGGAAGCAGCACCAGACGATACTGCTGCCATTGCAGCCGCAGCTGCTGATGTGCTCATGACTGTTTGGCTGTAACTAAGAACCCTTCCACTGTGGCTCTGACGTTGTTGGAATCTCATAGCATCAGCTGGGTTATTTGAGAGCATAGCCTGGATATTAGGGGTGTCAGGGATACTTGCCGCACTCCTGGTGTGTTGAAGGTTCCGGGAAGAGTCCAACCAGCGAAAGTTCCGTGAAGATTCGAACCGACGGAGATTCTTCTTGGAGAAATTGGGGCGCTGAAGGTTCCGGGAAGATGCGAGGCGCTGCAGGTTCCTGGAAGGCTCCGGGCGCTGAAGGTTCCTGGGAGATTCCATGCTCGGAAGATTCCCAACTGACCCGCGCCGGTGGTGGTGGTGGTGAATGCTGCTGCTGGGAGAGTCTAGTTGCTGCAGGTCCGGAACAGACCGGTTTGAGGCAGATCGACGGAGCAGCCTATCCGAACCTGGGGATGGTGATGTCATTCTGGAGGACGGTGACATCATCCCAGGGGATAGTAACGTCACTCTGGGGGCTGGTGACGTCATCCTAGGGGATGGTGACGTCACTCGGAGGGATGGTGGCATCATCCGAGGGGATGGTAATGCAAGTCTGGGGGATGGTGATGTGAGTCTGGAGGAGGATGGCGTGGGTACAGCGAGAGCCGGGAGATCCTCGTAGGATGCTAGGTTGCGCACACGGGTCCATTCCTCTCCCTGCCAGACCAATGAAAACAAGTGAGTGTGAGCATGTGAGTGCGAGTATGTGTGAGTAGGAGTGAGTGTGAGCATGTGAGTGCGAGTACGTGTGAGTACGAGTGTGTGTGAGCATGTGAGTGAGAGTACATGTGATGTGAGTACGAGAGTGTGTGAGCGAGCATGTGTGAGCGTGAGTGTGGGGAGGAAGAAGAGGGGGAGTGGGTGGGGAACGGGGACGAGAAGAAGAAAAAGGCAAGATAGCCACTCTGCTCTGCATGTGGAACTTCTTTTTGACTTCGCAGATTCTGCTCAGGCTGCTCCAATTTTTTTTTCCGGAGACACATGGCAAGCAATGTCAACAGAAGCTCCACAAACAAGCACCAACCAACCCACTCACCAGCTGGAACTTTTCCTTCAAGTTTGCCATTTTCGCTCGAAATGCCTCTAGCAGCGAAACAGGGGGGGCAGCAGAACCAGCTACCCCAGCTGCTGCCCCTGCTGCTGCCCCTGCTGCTGCCGCCGCTGCCGGCCTTGCTCCTAATCCTGCTCCTACTGCTCCTGCTCCGCCATCTGATGCAGCTCCCATATCCCTTCCTGCTCCTAATCCTGCTCCTGCTGCTCCACCTGCTGCTCCTCCTGCTAACCTCTCTTCCCTGGATAAACCTTCCCGAGATAAACCTTTCCCAGAAAAGCTTCCTCCAGATAAGCTTTCCCCTGCAAGACACTGCTCGTGGTTCCGGGATGAGCTGTTGGTCGGCAGATTGGCTGGAAACGGCACTGTGTATATCCCTGTTGCTGCTGCAGTAGCCACTGCAGTGGAGGAGGAGTAGGAGGCGGGGGCGGATGAGGAGGAGCAAGAGGAGACGGTGAAGTGGTGAGATGTCCCAAATATCCCTGTTGCTGCAGCAGCAGCTGCAGAGGAGGAGGTGGAGGAAGAGGAGGTGGAGGAGGGGAGTGGGGAGGGGGCGAATGCAGGTAGAGATGGGAGCGAGATGGGGAGCTTGAAGCTCAGATTGTGGTGTAGAAGGGAAGGAGACGGCTTCTTGGAAGCGTTTGAGAAGCTCTTTAACGAGGATAAATACTTGTGGGGAAACTGGTGGAGGGGAGAGGCTGGTGCTGGTGATGATGGGACTGCTGCTGACCCTGAAATATCCGGTGCTGCTGATGCTGCTGCTGTTCGTGGTGATGGTGCTGTTGCTATTGACGGTGATGCTGGGGCTGCTGCTGACCCTGAAATAACCGGTGCTGCTGATGCTGCTGTTGGTTCTGATGCTGCTAACAGTGCTGAGAGTGGTGATGGTGGTGATATTTCTGCTGAGCCTGACAAAGCTGCTGCTGATGCTGCTGCTGCTGCTGATGGTGGTGGTGACGAGGCTGCTATTGAAAACGATGGTAATCCTATCAAAGCTGCTGCTCTTGGTGCCGAAGCTGCCGATGCCTCCTTGCTTTTCGCCTCCTCCTCTTCCTCCTCTTCCTCCTCTTCCTCCTCTTCCTCCTCCTCAACACCTCCGTCTTCTCCATCTATTTTGCATGAATTGCTTTCCGTATCATCCCTTGCTGCCACGTCACACCCTTCCTTAGCTCCACCTCTATCTGCTTCATCCGTCTCTCCACCTGCTTCACCCGTCCCCTTATCTACTTTATCCTTCCGTCTGTCTGCTTCGCCGTTCTGCGTACCTGCTTCATCCTTCTGCTTCTCTGCTTCAGCACTGTTATCTCCACCTTTCAAATCAACCACACCATGCGACTTACCCTCACCCTCACCCTCACCCTCACCCTCACCCTCACCCTCACCATCGCCATCGCCATCGCCATCGCCATCGCCATCGCCATCGCCATCGCCATCACCACCACCATCACCACCACCATCACCACCACCATCACCACCAGGAGTATCTGCATCCTGCCACACACCCTCCGTCTCCACATCTGGTTCCCGAGCATCGCCATCGCCACCCATTGCCTTGCTGCTCAACCCCACCGGCCCTTCTGCTTCCTCACGCGCTTGCCCACCACCAACTGCCCTTCGATCCAACTCCACCACCCCTTCGGAATTCTCAATATTTGACCATTCAGCTGACTCAAAAGTCACCTCCTCAGCAGCAACCACCCTCTGGCTCAACCCCACCAGCCTTTCTAACTCCTCGAGAGTTGACCTTCCAGTCAACTCACCAGCCACCTCCCCACCATCCAATGCCATTCGATCGAACCTCACGGCCTCCTCAGGTTCGGCACGCCACGGGCCCCCACCGTTACCATCAAATCCGCCAGGCTGATTTGAGGGAGTGAAATTGCCCTCTGCCCCCACCTCCCTGAAAGCATCAGGCTTCAGCTCCCTGTCATCCAAACAGGGATTCCAAACGAAAAAAAGCAACGAGGCCAACACATGCGCAGAAAGGAAGAGAGGGGTTTTGAGTCAAGTTTTGAGGCGCCTCAAAACTATGGTAGAGGGGGGTTTTGAGTCAACTCAAGATGCAGAAGCACCTGGAAGTTCCAACAACCTGAGTCGACTCAAGATGCAGTCGAGTCGACTGGCCGCGTGAAGTGAGATGATATTCATGGCGCCCCAGATCCAACCCTCCATATCCAGTTGGGAACCACAAAGGAAATGATAAAAGAGATGTATTGAGACGTCTCAAAACGCCCCAGATCCAACCCTCCATATCCAGTTGGGAACCACAAAGGAAATCATATTCGCACTGCACACTCACTCACCCACCCACCCAGCCACCCAGCCACCCACCCAGCCACCCAGCCAGCCACCCAGCCACCCAGCCAGCCACCCAGCCACCCACCCATCCACCCAGCCACCCAGCCACCCATCCAGCCAGCCAGCCACCCAGCCAGCCAGCCAGCCAGCCAGCCAGCCAGCCAGCCAGCCACCCACCCACCCACCCACCCACCCACCCACCTACCCACCCACCTACCCAGCCACCCAGCCACCCAGCCACCTGTGCGCGCGGTGTCCTCGGTGTAAGATGATGGCGATATACGCAGCGCAGCACAGCAGGGAGAAGGCCCCGTAGACGATCATAAGGCCAGCCATGGTGGTGGCTGAGATCTGCACCTTCTCCACCATCACCGACGCTGCGTTGTCACAATTGGACGTGTTCTGATGTGGGGGTGTGTGGGGTGGGGGGTAGGGGGTAAACGCATGTTGGGACGGCATCAGGCCTGCCATGGTGGTGGCTGAGATCTGCACCTTCTCCACCATCACCGACGCTGCGTTGTCACAATTGGACGTGTTCTGATGTGGGGGTGGGTAGAGGAAGGAAGTCGGAAGGGGGTAGGAAGGGTGGAGGGTGAGAGAGTAGGGGAAAATCAAGGGAGGATGGGCTGTTGTAGTACGCAATATGCCTGCACCTTCTCCACCAACCAAAAGCAACACATCATCAGCACGATCAAACTACACGTCAGCAGCAGCAGCAGCAGCAGCGCGACAGTGCCAGGTCAGCAGCAGCAGCACGACAGTGACATGTTAGTAGGAGCAGCAGCGCACCTTAATGTATATGCTACGTATGCGCTGCATATGAGGCACCGAAAAACACACACACGTCAGCAGCAGCAACAGTGACACGTCAGCATTAGCACCTTGATGTACATGCTGCGAATGCGCTGCAGCTCCCCATTCTGTGCCAGCTCCAGCAGCGCCTGAGAGATGTCCGCGCCAAAGAGAGAGCCCTTCTGGAAGGCCTGATACGGGCAGAGGTGAAGACAAAAGCGGGCAGAAGAGGTGGAAGGAATGCAAAGGTCCGCTCCAGCAGCGCCTGAGAGATGCCCGCCCCGAAGAGAGATCCCTTTTGGAATGCCTGATGGGGGTGTGAAGGGGGAAAGAGCAGCAAAGGTCAGCTTCAGCAGCACATGTGAGTTGTCAGCCCAGGAGAGGGCAGAGAGTAAGGTGGAAGAAGGCGGAGGGGAGGGGCGACTTGGTTAAGGTGAATGTGGGGGTAGAGAGAGGCAAAGGTCAGCTTTAGCAGCGCATGGGAGTTGTCGGCCCAGGAGAGAGAACCCCTCCGGAGTGCCTGATGGGGGCAGAGAGGGCGAAAAAAAGGTGGAAAGGTCAGCTCTAGTGCATGCACCACCTCAGCGTTTGCCCATGCGCCGCCACTCACTTGGCAGTTGTGCGAGGCAAAGACGCTGAGGTAGGGGTCTCCGTCCACAATGATGGCCACCCGCTGCCATCACAGTGGCCTTTGTTGCTCACTACTATTGTGCCACGAGCTGCGATGAGAGCGTCTCTTGATGCTTGTCCAAGTCCATGCACCACCCAATGCTCACCCAAGAAACCAAGTTCCCAAGTCCCCCAGTGCCCCAAGGTGCCTGCCCCTAGTCTCGGTGCCTCCCTTGAGGATGTTGAAGGGATGGAGCTTTGAGCATGTTGAGGATGTTGGAGTGACGAGCTTTGCCATACACGCAAGAGGTTACAGATGCCCTTAAATGCCCCCAGGTGCCCCCGGCGGCTCACAAAGGCGGAGTTGAGGACGTTGAAGGCCTGGGAGGCGCGGAGCACTTGGCAGTACTGCGAGGCAAAGACGTTCAGGTAGGGGTCCTCGTCCACTATGATGGCCACTTGCTGCGATGAGAGCGCCTCATAGTAGTCCTTCTCGCTGTTCAGCGGCACTAGGCGGGACTGTGGGAGAGGGGCGGGGCAAGAGAGAGGGACGGGAAGGAGAGACGATATGAGGGCGGAGTGAAAAAACATGCAGGAAGCGACGAGATGAGAGCGCCTCATAGTGGTCTTGCTCGTTGTTCAGCGGCAGCACTAGCCGGGACTGCGGGAGAGGGGACGGGAGGAAGGAACGCGAGAGAGAGAGCGGGACGAGAGGGATTGGAAGGAGAGAGAGTGAAAAGAGGCCCGATGTCGCCCTGATTCTACTGACCCGGTGACCCGGTGACTTTTGAGACGTCTCAAAAGTCGGTGACCCGGTGGTCACGTGGGGCCCCACGTGAGCACTCAACTAGAAGATCAATACTCGTGTCACGTGGGGCTATCAATACTCGTATCTAACACCCACTCAAATGTCGTACCGGAGAAAAGCCAAGCTGAACGAGATAGCCGTAGACAAAAGAGCCGTACTGATAGCCCACCATCACATCGGACCCTGCCGCGTCGTATATGCTCTGGAAATATCAGTGGGAAACAGGGAACGCGGCAGAAAAAGAGAACAAAATACGAGAGTGTATCGCTGGCCTAAGTGAAAGAGCCGTACTGATAGCCCACCATCACTTCGGTTCGGACCCTGCCGCCTTGTAGATGCTCTGTGAGAGAGGGAGATGGGGAAGCGGGGGTGTAATGGGTAGCGTGAGAGAGAAAGGGGTGTCAAAACTCGGAATGACACCTGGAACGAACAGATATATTGGGAGCCGCAGCTTCTTTTAAATTGTTTCGCAGCTCGGAAAATTCGAGGGGGGGGAAAAAAACAAAGAAAGAGAAAGAAGAAAAGAAAGAAAAGCATGGACGCACGGATATTGGGAGCTGCAGCTTCTGGAGAACGAGAGCAGCAGTGAGGGCGGCGATGTAGGAGCTGGAGACGACAATCATGAGCGCAAACCACGTGACTGTGAGTATCCGACCGAGAGACGTCTTGACTATGCCCCTCACTGATCGTGGCAGGGGGATATGGGAGGAGGGTTGACGGGGAAGGGGGGTTAAGGGAGGAGAAGAGAAGCGGGGGAGTGGAGAATGAGGGCTGCAGTGAGGGCGGCAATGTAGGAGCTGGAGACGACAATCATGAGCGCGAACCACGTGACTGTGAGGAGCCGGCCGAGAGACGTCTTGACTATGCCCCTCACTGATGGCAGGAGGAAAGGAGAGGGCAGGAGGAGAGAATGGGGGAGGAGAGAATGAGCGAACCAGGTGACTGTGAGGAGGTGACCAAGCGACGTTTGACTATGCCCCTCACTGATGGCAAGCGGAAGGGGTGGGTGGGTGGAAGGAGGAGAGAATGAGCGAACCAGGTGACAGACTGTGAGGAGGCGGCCAAGGGCCGTCTTGACTATGCGGTCTTGTGACATATTCTCAGCGGTTATCTAAGTTTGCAGCTCGCTGAGAATATGTCAGAAGACTGACTGTGAGGAGGCAGCCAAGGGATGTCTTGACTATGCCCCTCACTGATGGCAATTGGAAAGGGTGGGTGGGAGGAGGGAGGAGAGAATGAGTGAACCAGGTGTCTGACTGTGAGGAGGTGACCAAGGGACGTCTTGACAATGCGGTTGTTATTTTACACGAGGTTCACTTCTCAGCGGTTTTCTAAGTTTGCAGCTCGCTGAGAATATGTCAATAGATTGACTGTGAGGCGGCGGCCAAGGGACGTCTTGACTATGCCCCCCCCCTCACTGGTGGGAGCAGGGGTGGGGTGGGGGGAGGGTGGTGGCCGGAAAGAAGAGGAGGGAGAGAGTAATGAGAGCGGCAGTGAGGGCGATAATGTAGGAACTAGGGAGGACACGCCAGTCGCGAGGGTGAGGTGTATTTTGAGGTGTATTTTAAGGGGCATTTCGAGGGGCATTTTGAGGCGCCTCAAAATACACCTCACTGCACGCGGGCGACAACGTAGGAACTATGGACGACACGAGAGTCGTGAGGGTGAACCAGGCAACTGGAAAAAAAAAAAAAAAAAAAAAAAAAAGGCAAAGCTTTTCTTTTGTGCCTTTTGATCGAATCAGACAGCTGGTTACGGCTGGCTTATTGATTCATTCATACCTTTTGCGAATCCAACTGGCGCAAAGGACATCCTGCACTCACACACCAAAAGAGAGCGGAAGAGGAAGAGAAAGCGAAAGTAACTTAATCCAGGTCACATAAGTATCTACAACTCATAGACACATATGTACAGGTGACTAAAGCCAAGTCTCTGATTGGACCTTGTTTTGAGTCGACTCAAAACGTAGGTATGCACTTTTTATGGACACATATGTACAGGTGACTAAAGCCAAGTCTCTGATTGGAACAAAACCCTCTCCTCATGCAAACCATATGTCCAGTCCATAACACACACCCACCCACCCTATGTCCTCCCATAAATCACCCATCATACCCCCTCCTCCTCCCATACTTCCCTCACCCACCATATGTACGACATGACTTTTGATTGAGGTGCCTCAAAAGCACCCACCACATGCAACCCACCCACCAGATGTACGACATGACTTTTGATTGAGGTGCCTCAAAAGCACCCACCACATGCAACCCACCCACCAGATGTACGACATGACTTTTGATTGAGGTGCCTCAAAAGCACCCACCACATGCAACCCACCCACCAGATGTACGACATGACTTTTGATTGAGGTGCCTCAAAAGCACCCACCACATGCAACCCACCCACCAGATGTACGACATGACTTTTGATTGAGGTGCCTCAAAAGCACCCACCACATGCAACCCACCCACCAGATGTACGACATGACTTTTGATTGAGGTGCCTCAAAAGCACCCACCCACCATATGTACGACATGGCTTCTTGGTGTGGCCGGTCGTAATCCCGCCGCAGCAGATGCGCGGGGTGGGAACTTTCCAGGAAGTAGAGAACAAGGCCGGTGAACACGATGAGACAGGCGAGCAGCAGCCACATTTGCCAGGAGAAGGGGCGGTAGGAGATCCAGGGGTTGTCGTTTGGTGCCACGTAGGAGACCAGGCTCAGCCCTGATTGCTGATTGGGTGGTGAAAGGGGAGAGGGGCGGGGGAAAAGGGCAGGGGAAGAGGAAAAGGGAACAGGGAAAAGTGAGAAGGGGAAGGGGAAGAGGGGAAGGGGAGGAGATCAAGAGGTTGTTGTTTGGTGCCACGTAGGAGACCAGGCTCAGCCCTGATTGCTGATTGGGTGAAAGAGGGGAGGCGGGAGTTGGGGTGGGTGGAAAGGAAGAGGGGAAGGGGAGGAGGAAGCTGCAGAAGGGGAGGAGAAGGGGAGGAGAAGGGGAGGAGAAGGGGAGGAGAAGGGGAGGAGAAGGGGAGGAGAAGGGAGCAAGGGAGAAGGGGGGAGGAGGCCAGTGAACGAGATGAGGCAAGCGAGCAGCAGCCACATTTGCCAGGAGAGGGGGCAGGAGAGGGGGCAGTGGAGGGGGCAGTAAAGGGGGGAGTAGAGGGGGCAGTAGGAGATCCAAGGGTTGTGAGAGTGATTATAAGAGAGTGACAATGTGGGTGCATGATGCCGTGCGGAAGTGAGAAAGTGATAGGGAGACGAGTATGAGGCAGCATGAGATAACGTACTTGGACAGGGACGGTGAACGAGGTGACGCTTGAGCCAACTCAGCTCAGAGGGTACCTGTATGAGGCAGCATGAGGCAGCATGACGCAGCATGAGATGTGATAACGTAGTTTTGAGTCGACTCAAAACGTACTTGGATGGGGGCAGTGAAATCGACGGCTTCGCTGCGGAAATTGAGCACCGCAATGTCGCCTATGGCACCGTCGTATGTCTGCAGTGCATACACACATTCATGCAAGTGCACAGCACACGGCAGCACACAGGCACACAGGCACATGCACATGCAAACAACACACATAGGATGGGGAAATTGAGCACCGCAATGTCGCCTATGGCGCTGTCGTATGTCTGCAGGGAACGCACAAACACACATGCACACATGAGGCGATTTTTGTGTCGACTCGGAGATTGAGCAATGAGCACTGCAATGGCGCCTATGGCTCCGTCGTATGTCTGCAGTGCATACACCCCAACACCCACACAGTGCACGCACACAACAGACATGGCACACATGACACATGCAGCAGCACACATGGCCCCATGCATGGCCCCATGCATGCACGCATGCACACAAACACGCGCACATCAGGAAATGGGAGCAGCTGATAAGAGAGTGATGGTGTGCGAGCGAGCGAAGCTGCAGGCAACCCCAAACTGCAGAAACTCGTGTGCGAGCACGACTGCACAACCTCACATGCGAAATACACATGCATGCTGCATGGGCATCCCTCACTCACATGGTTGGCCACAGCATACACCATCTCAGTGTAGCTACGAACGGCATCGCCCTCCCCAAACTGCATAAACTACAGAAGTATACATGCATGCATGTACGTTGCATGCTGCATGGGCATCCCGCACTCACACGGTTGGCCACAGCATACACCATCTCAGTGTAGCTGGGAGTGGCATCGCCTTCCCCAAACTGCATAAACTACAGAAGTATACATGCATGCATGTACGTTGCATGCTGCATGGGCATCCCGCACTCACACGGTTGGCCACAGCATACACCATCTCAGTGTAGCTGGGAGTGGCATCGCCTTCCCAAACTCCACACACGTGCGAGCATACGTACATGCACGCTGCATGTGAGCACGCTGCATGTGAGCATACTGCATGTGAGCATGCTGCATGTGAGCATACTGCATGTGAGCATACTGCATGTGAGCATACTGCATGTGAGCATACTGCATGTGAGCACGCCGGTGCAACCCTCACTCACATGGTTCGCCTCGCCACAGCATACACCATCTCAGTGTAGCTCGGGGTGGCGTCTCCCTCCCCAAACAGCAGAAACACATACAACAGCTCGCATGCAGACCTACATGCACGCATGCATGCTTCAAAATACACACATGCAGGCTGCATCCTGCACACGCATCCCACTCACATTGTTCACCACAGCATAAACCAACCATCTCAGTGTAACTCGGAGTAGCGCGCCCTCCCCGAACTGCATAAACCACAGAATCTACAAGCATGCATGCATGTACGTTTCATGCTGCATTCTCATCCCACTCACATTGTTTGCCACAGCATACACCATCTCAGTGTAACTCGGGGTGGCATCGCCCTCCCCAAACTGCATAAACTCGTATGAGAGCTCGTAAGGCAGCCGTGCCACTGCCGCCCGGAACAGATCCAGACAAAACCCCGTGAAGCGGTCGTTTCCCTGGGCGGCAGTGGGCGGCAGGATCTCAACAAACTGGTTGTAGCCCTTCTTGTTTGGGACGGCTATGCGCAGCGGGTCCTGTTGGCGTGCCAGCCACCCGGAGGGAGCCTGCAGGGAAGGAAGGAGAGAAGTAGGGATCAGATGAAGGGATGAGCTCATGGCACGGCTATGCGACAATGAGGCTGTAGCCTGTAGGATGGCTCATAGCACGGCTATGCGACAAGGAGGCTGTAGCCTGTAGGATGGCTCATGGCACGGCTATGCGACAACGAGGCTGTAGCCTGTAGGATAGCTCATAGCATGGCTATGCGACAACGAGGCTGTAGCCTGTAGGATGGCTCATAGCACGGCTATGCGACAACGAGGCAGTAGCCTGTAGGATGGCTCATAGCACGGCTATGCGACAAGGAGGCTGTAGCCTGTAGGATGGCTCATAGCACGGCTGTGCGACAAGGAGGCTGTAGCCTGTAGGATGGCTCATAGCACGGCTATGCGACAAGGAGGCTGTAGCCTGTAGGATGGCTCATAGCACAGCTATGCGACAACGAGGCTGTAGCCTGTAGGATGGCTCGTAGCACGGCTATGCGACAAGGAGGCTGTAGCCTGTAGAATGGCTCATAGCACGGCCATGCGACAAGGAGGCTGTAGCCGGTAGGATGGCTCATAGCACGGCTATGCGACAAGGAGGCTGTAGCCTGTAAGATGGTTCATAGCACGGCCATGCGACAAGGAGGCTGTAGCCGGTAGGATGGCTCATGGCACGGCCATGCGACAAGGAGGCTGTAGCCGGTAGGATGGCTCATGGCACGGCCATGCGACAAGGAGGCTGTAGCCTGTAGGATGGCTCATAGCACGGCTATGCGCAGCGGGTCCTGTTGGCGTGCCAGCCACTTTTTGAGAATTCTAAAAAAATCGCTCAAAAGTTGACTCAAAAGTCACCTCTGAAGAGTCCCACGCTGACCTTGTCAAGGTTGCCTGGGAACAGCAGGTTGAGTGTTGTAGAGCTGTTGGCCTGCACGGCTGGGGCTAGTGGGTCCTGCGGCAGGGAGGGAGAGAGGCCGGCAGGGAGAAAAGGGGGCAGGGAGAGAAGGTGGCATGATGGGATGGGATGAGGCGCATGATCGTGAGAAGGTGTGTCTTTGGAAACTCTGGAGATTATTACTGCGCGGACTCACATCGGAGGTGGTGAAGCCCTTCCCCATGCACCAGTAGCCTGCAGTCACAAACTCACTGCCCCGCACGTTCAACAGCTGCATTCTCCGACCCGTCCTTCACGTCGCCCTCTGGGGTGAGCCGCACCCTGCAGTGCACATGGTGGGTGGGCGGGTGGAGGAAAATGAGCAAGTCAAGAAATGTCTGAACAGAAGCACGTCACAAAGTCAAACTAGCTGCCCCGCACGTTCAACAGCTGCACCGACCCATCCTTCACGTCGCCCTCCCGGGTCAGCCGAGCCCTGCAGTGCACATGGTGGGTGGGTGGGAGGGTGGGGGGAAAAAAAGCAAGTCCTGAGACTTCTCATGCCATGCCATGCCATGCAATGCCATGCCATGCCATGCCATGCCATGCCATGCCATGCCACACCACGCCATGCCATGCCACGCCACGCCATGCCATGCCATGCCATGCCATGGACACTGTGGGTGGGTGAGGACAAGGGAGCAGCAAGTCTCGAGACACCTCAAACCCAGTAACTGATGGCCATGAACCTGCTGCTGCTCCTCAGGGGCCAGCTGCACTGCTCCCTGCCTCACCCTGCCTCACCCACTCACCTGCCAGTGGCGCCCATCACAGACGCCTGGAGCAGCGCATCCCGCAGCACTGGCCCAACTGAGGAGGGAAGAGAGGTGGTGGGTGGGTGGGTGGGTGGGTGGGATGATGGTTGGGATGAGGTATGCATGAGGGGTGAAGGAACAGGGCCGGTCGGTGGCTAGAGGTTATGCGTGCGTGCATGTGGTGGGTAAGTGGGAGAGGAGTACGACATGGGTTTGGTCAAAATAGGGGGAGAGGGGAAAGAAGGAGAACGAGGCAGGACGAAGCCCCATTCAAGCCGACCGCACCGCACTCAACCCCACTCACAATTGCTCCTTTGAGGCGTCTCAAAAAACTCACCCATTTCACGTAGACACTCACAGTTGCTCCTGGCCGCGCCAGCGAGAATGGGGATGAGAGAGCTGGCAGGATCACCAGGGGCCACCACAGGCATGGACACATGAGTCCACGTGCCAGGCTCCTGGCCAGCAGCGGAACTGTTACTAACGAGGACAGAACTTGCTGCAGCGCCACTCCCACCACCAGCACCAACATCACTGGCAGCACCACCAGTGGTACCAGCAGCACGAGCAACACCACCACTCCCATCCCCAGGGAAACTCCCACTGCCAGCCCCATCCTCGCTATAAGCTCCTGGGCCTTGGGACGGAGGTATGGGCTCGACAACAGCGTTCTGGGAGTCGGCGCTGTCGGTGGCGTCCCCAGACAGCACATTGTGCACTGCCTGTGCCACCAGCAGCAGGGCATCGTATGCTGCTAGTGAATAAACGTCCGCCTGAAGTGAAGGGGGGAATAACCAAGGGGGGAGGATGGGGGAACGGGAGGGCAGGGTTTCAAAAACTTAGTCACTACTCCACTGGGATAAAATGGCTTGTTAAGTAACGGGTTAGTGCGTCCATAACTCTCTCGGCAAACGTGCCTGGAACCTTTCTTTAGGATGAATCGGGGATTTCCGGTGCATGTCTTCTGACATCCCTCCTCACTTGGATGTCATAGGACAAGCGGCAGTGACACAAGGGCGCCAGCATGTGCGCACATGGGGATTCGAACTCGAGACCTTTGCTCTGATACCATGTCAGAATCTCAAGCACTACACCACTAGGATGAAATGACTTTTTAATTTGCGGGTCAGTGCGCCCATAACTCCCCGGGTAAGCGTGCTTGTAACCTTCCCCTATGGTCAATCGGGCATCCCCAATGCAGGTTTCTGACATAGAGAAAGATAGAGCATCAGAACAACGAAAATAAAGGGTTGCTCCTTATACAACCCGCACATTTGATTACTCTCACCTTCCTCTACTCTCAAAACTGTCTTAAATACTCCACTCACTCAACACTTACCTTGAAAGAGGTGGGTCTCTCCAGCCCCGACATGTGCTCCTTCCACTCTGCTTCTACCCCCTTTCACCTTCCCTTCCCTAAAAGTGGCCTGGAACCCCCACCACTTACTCGTTACTCACTCACCTTGGCAGATGTGGGTCCCTCCTGCCCCGACATGTTCTCCTTCCACTCTGCTCGGAAGACCGTGAGGGCCGGCGAGGGCGGGACAAAGGACGCCATTGATATGAGGCCCTGCCACGGATGAGAGAAGGAGGGTGGGGGGGGAAAGGGTGCAAGGTGGTGAGACAGATGTTCTTTGAGGCACCAAAAAAATCCTTCCACTCCGCTCGGAAGACAGTGAGAGCAGGCCATCGATACGAGGCCATCGATATGAGGCCATGCCAGGGAAGAGGAGGAGGGGAAGTTGGGGGGGTTTGGGGAGGATGAAGGTGGGTCATTGGGTGGGGTGGGACCTATCAAAAGACGCCAAGGAAGGATATGAGCCCTTGAGAGGGATAAGAGAGGGAAGGGGAAGACAGGTGAGGAAGAACGAATGAAAGAAAGAGAGACCTTTAGAGTCGACTCAAAAGAAAGAGAGGTAATATGTATGTATCCCAATGCTTATATCAATAAAGGACCATTCGAGGCATGGAAGCGGGATGCATGTGCGTACCTGCACTTGAGGCATGAAGGAGGCGGTGGCGCCATCGTATGTGAAGGACTGCAGGGAGGTGGGCTCCGTGGTGATCCACACGTAGCCGCGGCTGAACATGCCCAGCTCCACCGCTGGTGGGGGGGAGAGAGTGGAGGAGGCAAGCAAGGTTTGGAGGAGGAAGGTGGTTTTAATAGCTAGGCGTGAAGTGAGTGAGCGTTCGGAAGAAGGAGGTGGGCTCGGTGCTGATTCACACGTAGTTGCGGATGAACATACACATATTCTATGCCTAGCCTAGCCCGCACCTGCTTTGAGCACGGCGTCAGGGCCGTCGCCCCCAGCATGGATGATCATGACTGACGTGCGCACTTGCTGCAGCTTCTCGAGAGAGGAACGCGCGTCGTCATACTCCCTCCCCCGCTTCAGTGCCACACGCGCCACTATTGGGTGTTGCCAGCCCTGGTGGAGAAGGAAGAAAGGAGAGGGGAGAGGGAGGAGGGGAGAGGGAAGATGGGGGACGGCAGGGAAGAGAAGAGAACAAGGGTGTCCATTGACCATCAATCGAATCACTGACGTGTCTCTCGAATCAAGAGTCTTACCACCTGATCTAATGATTCACCCACCTGATGATCCACCCATCTGCCTGAACTAACAATTCCTCTTTCTTTTTTTCGTTTGGTTTAAGGAGCCTCAAAATCCCATCCCCATGTATTGACCCACCCATCGGTTCTGCAGAATGTTCTCGAGCACGCTGATGCCGTTCCGCCCAAACCGGTCGTCTGTGAAGATGGCCACAAAGTGCTTGTAGCGGTACAGCGCCAGCAGGTCTGGGAGAAGAGGGAAAGGCGAAACGGGCGGGAATAAGGAAATAGGGTGGGAGGGGGGGGGAAGGAAACCGGTCGCCTGTGAAGATGGCCACAAAGTGCTTGTAGCGGTACAGCGCCAGCAGGTCTGCACGCAGCGACACGAATGGCCGAGGGGGGGGGGGGTGGGTGGTGGGATGGGGGAAACAAATGGGGGAGGGGAGGAAGTGATGAGCCCGAGGGTTTGGGCAATGAAGTGGTTGTAAGTGGTGTAGCGCCAGGAGGTTTGAGAGCGACAGGAATGAATGACCAAGTGGGGTGGGGCGAGAAGGGGGAGGGAGGGAGAGTGGGGGCGGGGAGGGGGGTTGGGGTAAGAAAATAAATTAAGGCAGATTCGTTTGGGTCACGAAGTGCTTGTAGGGGCACCACTAGGCACGGTGCGTGCATGAAGAAGGGCCACTGGCGCGAAGTGGTGAGGAGGGAGGGAGTCTTGAAGGCGCCAGAAAGAGCCGGAGCAGCAAGCACATGCTATTCCCCCAGACCTAGCTGATTCTATCCCAGCAGGGAGCGCCACTCACCAGCGATTGCTTCCATTTTTGTAGCGTCACTGGGAACAGTGCGCATGAAGAAGGGCCACTGGCGCGAGGTGGTGAGGAGGGGGTCGGTGGCGGAGTAGGAGAGCAGGGGGATGCGCGTTGTGCCTGCCAGCCCGCTCAGCAGCGCCACCTGGCTGCTCGTGGTGGGGCCGATGATGGCTATCGGCCTCTCCTGCAGCATCAAATGCAGGCCTGTTGGGGGGAGGGAAGGAGGTGAAGGTATTTTGAAGAGCCTCACTCAAAGGCTGCTCAGCAGCGCCACCTGGCTGCTCGTGGTGGGGCCGATGATGGCTATTGGCTTTTCCTGCAGCATCAGGTGCAGGCCTGTTGGGGGGGGGGGGGGGGGGGGGGGGGGGGGGGGGGGGAGGAGAGGAGAAACGGAAAAGAGATATGAGATTCCTGGCTGCTAGAGGTCGGGCCGATCATGGCTATTGGCCTCTCCTCCCTCCAGCATCAGGTGCAGGCCTGTGTGGGGGATGAGGAGGGGAGGGGAAGAGGGGAGGGGAGGGAAGGAGGGACCTTAGAGTCGACTTGACTTGATGTATGTATAATGCCTCCATTGCCTACTTCTTCTTTCTTTCTTTCAGTTTTGTGTTTCCTTCACTTGACATCTGAGTCGGCTAGACTTCTGTGCGTGTGATTATGTGCTCTGCTGCGCACCTGCCATTTGGCCGGGGAAGGGCGTGTATGTGCAGTTGGCTGCGACCAGCTTGATTTTGACGCCGGGGAGAAGCGAGGGATCCTGGCTCACATGATGAACCGCCAGCTGAATGGCTGCAGAGGGGCGGTCAGAAGGGCGGATGGAAGGGGAGGTGGCGGGAATGAGCAGAGGGAAGGCGTGTATGTGCAGTTGGCTGCGACCAGCTTGATTCTGACGCCGGGTAGCTAGCAGCGAGGAATCGTTGCTCACATGATGAACCGCCAGCTGAATGGCTGCAGAGGGATGGCAAGCGGTTCAAGGCGGTGAGCGTGAGGCATTCTTGAAAAGAAAGGCATGGGTGGAAACCAAGGGGGGCGAGGGATGGGTGGAAGACGGGGGGAGGAGGAGAGAGATGGGTGGAAGGAGGACTCATGACTGCAGGGAGGGGGGTCATCATGCGCAGAAAGGGACGACGAACGCGGGGCTATCGGCGGGGGGATTCAAGTCTGGCGTCAGATTCAACGAACGACTGAGCGTGACGGAGCGTCTTATCAAAGCCGCCAGTGCAAATGAGCGTCGGTAGGAGCAACGGCTTAACGTGCCGTGCGAGAGCTGTCGTCGGACGACTGACATGTGGATGATAGGTTACATTTGCGAATTCTTAAAAGTAATACCAATATTGCTGTCGTCCGACGACTGACACGTGGATGATAGTTTACATTTGGGTGAGTGTCTTTTGGGTCGGCGACTCTTACTAGGTCCCATTTTGACCTTGAGGACGAGATACTCATGATTTACGCGACGAGAAATTAAGCTTATGATTCACAGCCTGCATGATTTCGATCAGTCCGAAAAAGAATACGATGGTCCGAAACGACGTTCACGCAACGCGATCTCATCAACCTTAAACCGACAAGATCTATAGGACCTGATCGCTAACCCGGTAACCGAAAATGCGCCGAAATGCACATAATGGAGTAGCTCTTCTGACCGGGAAGCGCTAGAGGCCAACCCGACCGGCATAATCATGCCTAGATGGTGGCCAATAAAGCCTAGATGCAAAGAAAGCTCGTGAGCTCAAAGGAGACGTTGTTACTGAATCTGACATCGTTACTGCAAGACTACATTGGTTCCTGAATCTGGAGCCGCGTTGGGTCCTCGCGTCTCACCGGAAAAGAAGGAAACCCCGTCGGCCGTGTCGAGCGGAACGAGGCATCCTATCGTTATCTCCGACGGAAAATTGTTCTTCTTGGACGGTAACTTTGACGGAACGGTATCGTTCCGCGTCTCAGGTACCCCTTCTCGCTGTTGCCTGACAGTAACGTCAGCCGATACGGCCTTGCGATTCGAAGCAACGAGGAGAACAAGCGTTATCTGGAGCAGAAGGAACCAAGCCTGCGGCGACCCTGAAGGTCGACTCTGTCGTCTTGACATTCTGGCATTCTCCTGTCACAGCTTGTTGGCCGGCTTGGGATAGACTGACCCAAACGGGCGAAAATAAGTTATCGATTAAATACGACGGCCAGTCCTTGGTAAACTCGCTACCACGAAACTAAGAAAGGTGAAATTGAAAGTACAAGGTTGCTAACGCAACTCGAAAATGTGGTAGCACTACGACTATTCTGAGAAAACTACAGCATGTTCGCTGTTCCAACCACCTCTCGCTAGTCCTTCGCATCTTATTTGTTTCTTCTCTCATGGTCGTGCTCCAAGCGCGAAGTGAAGGTGGAGCTGGGTGGATCCTAGTAGTATTTGATGGTGCTACTATCATATCATGGGAGCCTGCACTGTGGTTGCTGGAAACATCGAGTTGAGGAGCCATGAACAGTTCCCGTATCGGGGATCTGAACGGTTCCCCACGGTGGTAAGCGGTTAACATTGTGTACCGTTTTTCACCGTGGCGAAACAAAGTTGACCGCATTGAGAGCGCCCTGAAACAAGACAGCAGGCGAACTGTTCCCGAGAATCGAATTGTTTGGTACCCAGGAACACGACGAAACGAAACCGAAGTGCAGTCGTTTGGAGCCTGGACAAGTTCGGTGTCTTCGCTAGTAGCAACCGCGTTTCCATTTCTGTACCAATCCAATTGTTATTCGTACACCAAACCAGTTTCTGGAGGCACAAATGGCATGCTCTTCTCTGGAGGTGAATTTTCAAGGGAGCCACATCACTAACACCCCCCTCAGTCACCTCCGCCAGGATTTGCTCGAACAACAGATTGAGTGCGATGCTGTGCAGTTCAGAGGAATTCCAATTTGTCACCGTTCTGAAACCTTTTGAACCTTTTGAAACACTGACACAACCTGTATGAGGGCAAATCATTCATCTGTAGGCTCGTGTGTGTGGTGAAGGGAAACACACCGTGGCGTCGCCATGGCCTATCCCTCGCTCGACATGTCCGATTCCACGTATCCCAGATTCTCATTGCTCGTGTCTTTACTCCCCATGGGCCATCACTCATGGCCTTTGCGAGCACGAAGAACACCAGATTCCTACAGAAAGCCTCCCTTGCCAAATGCAAAAAGGCTGTCTCCCGAGTGGAAGCGTGCAGGGACTGATCGAAATAGCGTCTGGAAATTTCTGTTATTTCCAAATTTGCGGGCTAGCATAAAAATTCGAGCATGATAATTGTGATATGAGAGCCCTCGCGTCGCTGCACTTCGAGATTGCCTGCGGAGCATTTCGCCTCTCTCTTTCCTCCATCTGCTTCCGCTTCCCTCCGTGCATCTCTCTCACGACACACAGGTCCGGCCGAAACGCAAACTTCTCACTGCCTCCACACCGCCGTTCCGTTCCGCCACCGCGTCTGCCCGGCGTGCTTAGAACCCTGATCGCCGTACAACCGTTTAATAGTACGGCTGCCGCGTCTCGAATTGCCTCAGTGACGCACGAAGCTTCTGAGGGAAGTCCTGGTCAGCGACTCGCCATGGCGAAGGCGAATGATTTGTCGGAATCTCCTCAGCGGGAAACCGCGATTCTGTGGTTTCGAAAGGGCTTGCGACTGCACGATAACCCCGCTCTGCTTGCTGCTTGCGGACTCGACAAAAACGGAAACGAATTAGATGAAGAAAGTAACAAATCATTATCAATTTCACAAACGCTTCGCCCGGGGTTCGCGAAGGCGAGCGGACTGTTACCTGCCGATGGCACGAAATCCGGCCCTGCTGCCACTACAAACAGCACAGTCAAATCCGAGCCTGGCAGCTCCAGCATCAGCAACCTTGATTCTGCCGAGCGAGCTTCGAATGCCACGTCAGCAATCCGTCAGCTCTGTCCCGTGTTCGTCCTAGACCCATGGTTTCTGGCTCCCGACCCGTCCGCTCCTTCTCCCGGGTCCACGCGCGTGGGAATCAACAGAATTCGATTTCTGCTGGACTGCCTAAACGACCTAGACAGGTGATTGCCTCTAAGTTGTTTTTGAGAATTCTCCTAAGTGACTCTGATCTAGACTGGTGGTTAGGGCTGAAACTATGTGTCCTAGTTAGGTGAAATTTCGCTTCATTCGTTCCCACCCACGGTTTGCCTCATTCCCTCTGTTTCCCTCACCAGCCAGCTAAAGGCTGGGGGATCTCGGCTTATACTCGTTAAAGGCGACCCGACCATAGTGATTCCGAAGCTCGTGAAACAGGTAGGCAGCTGCGAAGGTCAAAGAGCAATTATTGGATGTTTTTCTAATGTCAAGATGTCGCTAACAATATATATTTCTTTCTTTTGTGCTGCCTCTCTCCCTCTTACAGTGGGGAGCGAATACGCTGTGCTTTGAGTTTGACACCGAGCCATATGCCCTGGCTCGGGATGGCAATATCAAGGTGGGTGGGATGGCATAGCATAGCATGGCATGGCATGGCATGGCTTAGCACGTTTTTGCCTGCGTCCCTTCTGCCTGCATTTCCCCTGCCTGCACCCCTCGCCCAGTCTCACCCCAACTTGACCCATCCTCCTTGCATCTTCCCCTTTCCCTCCAGGCGAGCATGCTGGAAGCGGGGGTGCGGGTGGTAACCCCAGTCAGCCACACCATCTTTGACCCAGCTGAAATGATCACCAAGGTGCTTGTTTCTGTGTTGGACAACTATGTTGAGTTTACTTTTGAGAATTCTCAAAAGTAAACTCAACCCAGCTGAAATGAGGAACAAGGTGCTTGTTTCTCTGTCGGACAACCCTTTTTTCCATTTACACAACCTTCTGATGTCTTGGCAGCCACAGAATGGGTTGCCTAGAAGCAGCGAGCGTCCACCCACCCTCGTCCTTTGATCACATGTACAGAATTTTTACATTTTTTGTAAGAAAGAAGCGATTCCTCTCTCATGTCTTCCTGTTTGGTTATGTTTTATCCTCCCTTCTTCCCTCCCCTTCTCTCCGCTCCCTCACTCTCTCCCCACTCCCTGTGCTCTCTCAGAACGGAGGCAAACCCCCTCTCACCTACCAGGCTTTCTGCAAGCGAATAGGACAACCTTCACCACCCGTCGGATCCGCTCCAGACAAATTACCGCCCCTGCCACCCCACCTCGCTCATCGCGTGACTATAAAAGCGGAAGTGGACTCAGTTCCAGGAGAAACAGTAGAGGAAGCTGGGATGTGTGACTATACCGAATTCTTTGAAGCGGTGCCTACATTGAGCGAGCTTGGTTACTCGGATGCAGAAGCTTTCCCAAAAGAGGTGAGAAGGTATTGTTTGAGAAGAAAAGTTGGGCAGGGGGGCGAATCAGTTGAAGGAAGTGTGATTTGCACCTGTACGCCTCGTCTACAGAGCTTCACTCCTTTCTGAGGAGTTTTCTGCGTTAACAGAGTAAGTCATTTACGCATCCCCCTCTTTCCGCCTCTTCCCCCACCCCATCCATTCACTCCCCCTCCTTCCCACCTCCTTTGCTACAGGACGTCACTCCGTTGCGAGGGGGGGAGACAGAGGCTTTGCGCAGACTTGACGAATGCCTTTCACGAACGGTATGGTATGCCATGCACTCCACAGCAGCAGCACCACTATTCTAGGTGACTTTTGAGTCGACTCAAAAGTCACCTCGTTACTATGGCACACGACATCCTTTCACGAACGGTATGGTATGCCATGCAATGCACTGCACAGCAACACCACCACTATTCTGCAGCTCCTGCGAAGTTTCGAATGAAGACCACCACTCCTTTTCAGCCCAGCCCACTGCCGTTGACCGCTCAGGCTTAAAGGCTGCTGCGGGATTAGCTGTGAGTGACGTGCTTCGAGCCAAGACTAGGTGCTTGCCATTGTTGATGCATTCCTTCGTGTGGGTCACAAAAATGGGTGAAGGAGTTTGAGAAGCCCAAGAGTGATTTCTCTGCACACACCACGTTTGAACTACTTTTGAGAACCCATGTGACAGACAGCAATGCAAATAAAGCCTATCATTATCCATCCATTCCCTCTGTGTGATACAGAAATGGGTGAAGGGAGTTTGAGAAGCCCAAGGGTGATCCTTCCGTACTCTTCTTGTGAGGGCCATTTCACTTACGAGATGAGCAAAGCCATCTATCCATTATCCAACCCCTCCTTTCACAGAAATGGGTGAAGGAGTTCGAGAAGCCCAAGGGTGATCCGTCCGCACTCGCTCCTCCTGCCACCACGGTTCTCTCCCCCTACCTCAAGGTAGTACAATGGCCTTTTCAATCGTTTCCTTTTCCCGCAACCCCCTCTCCTCCCATCCCCTTTCTTTCCCGACTCTTCCTGCCTGCATCTTCTCCTTCACTTGCGCTTAGTCCCAATCCCTTTTCTTCTCTAGTTTGGCTGCCTCTCCTCTTGCCTCATGTATGCACGCATTCAGGAGGTGCTTGCCAAACTGCCGACCCTGGATCCCACTTCTCTTCTCCCCTCTCTCTCCATCCTCCCGACCCCACCCCATCCCCAACACCAGTTTGGCTGCCTCTCCTCGCGCCTCATGTATGCACGCATTCAGGAGGTGCTTGCCAAACTGCCGACCCTGGATCCCACTTCTCTTCTCCCCTCTCTCCCCATCCTCCCGACCCCACTCCATCCTCAACACCAGTTTGGCTGCCTCTCCTCGCGCCTCATGTATGCGCGCATTCAGGAGGTGCTTGCCAAACAGCCCGGCCACACAAAGCCGCCGGTGTCCCTGATAGGGCAGGTGAGAGTGGGCATGCCTTTATGGACTGGGAATGATGAGATGTGAGCCATGGGTGGGTGTTGAGTTGAGACGCAAAAAAAAAATCATGGGATCATACAGGACTCCTCATTTTGATCGCATACAGGGTGGAATGGGCCGTGTTTTGGGTCGTCTCAAAAGACTTTGATCGCAAACAGGGCATCGGCATTGGATGCTTCAGACGCCATGCCCTCATGTGATGAGTCTGTTTTTTTAGAACTCTCAAAAAACACATGTGTTGAGTCGATTTTTGCGTCGACTCAAAAATCTACCCATCGCACGACGCGGGCATCAGCATTGGATGCCTCAGACGCCATGTTCTCTTCCTTCAGCCATCCTGTTCTCCCTAACTCCCTCAGTATCTTGACTCCCTAACTCCCTGCACCAGCTGCTGTGGCGAGAGTTCTTCTACAGAGCAGCATACGGCACGCCCCATTTTGGCCGCATGCAGGGCAGCGCCATCTGCAGGCATATTCCCATTCCCCCTCCCACCCATCCTTGTCCCTGTCCCTACCCCTGAAACCCCTTCCCACTCCAGCTGCTGTGGCGGGGGTTTTTCTACACGGCAGCATACGGCACGCCCCACTTCGATCGCATGCAGGGCAGCAGCATCTGCAGAAACGCTCATTGCCCCACTCTCCCACCCATCCCTGTCCCCATTCCTCCCCTCACCCCCTCCTCCCCACACCAGCTGCTGTGGCGCGAGTTTTTCTACACGGCAGCGTACGGCACACCCCACTTTGACCGCATGCAGGACAGCAGCATCTGCAGGCAGATCCCCTGGAAGGTGGACTCGGAGCTGCTGGCTGCGTGGCGGGACGCTAAAACCGGGTTCCCTTGGATCGATGCTATCATGGTGCAGGTAGGATGTGGGGGAGGTGGGGTGCAGGCAGCACCTGGTCCAGGCAGGTTCCCTGGAAGGCGGATCTCGAGCTGCTGGCTGCGTGGCGAGATGCCAGGACTGGCTTCCCTTGGATCGACGCCATCATGGTGCAGGTAGGTGGTAGCTAGTGCAGGTAGGATGTGGGGGAGGCTTTATCTGGTGCAGGCAGTATGTGGTGGAGTGATGTGGTCAGAGGATCTCTATGGAACCGCCATTTTTGTGACTGCTGGCCTCATTCCCCTGCTGTTTTCACTCCCTTCTATCTCCTCCACCTCCCTCCCAGCTCCGCCAGTGGGGGTGGATGCATCACCTGGCTTGCCATTGCATTGCAAGCTTCCTCTCTCCCTTTTGTGATGGACTCACTCCTCCACTTTTTCCTCTCTCCCCCACCACACCCCCCTCCCAGCTCCGCCAGTGGGGATGGATGCACCATCTCGCTCGCCACTGCGTTGCATGCTTCCTCACTCGAGGCGATCTGGTGGGTTGTTGCTATCAGGTTTTGCTGTGGGATTGGTGCTTGTCGCTTAATGGTTTTTTTTTTTTTTTTGGCACCGCATCTACTCCCCTGACAGCACCGCTCTGCAGGATGTGTGTGACTAGCTGCTGTGCTGTGGTGGCACTCGAAACACCCACCCAAACTGTGCTCCACTCCTCCCAACCCAACCCCTCCCTCCTCCCCATCCTCACATGGCAGTTGGTGCACTGGGAGTTGGGTCGCGATGTGTTTGACAGGTTGCTGCTGGACGCAGATTGGGCCATCAACAACGGCAACTGGCTCTGGCTCTCCGCCTCTGCCTTCTTCTCCCAGTTCCACCGCATCTACTCCCCCGTCACCTTCGGCAAGAAATATGACCCCTCGGGAAAATTTATCCGTCACTTCCTGCCTGTTCTGAAAGGTATTTACCCTGCATTGTTCTGCTTCATCTTTTTTTTTTTTGGTAGTTTCTTTAAACACTTACCACTGCAACATTGTATCAATTGTGCTGAATCCCGTGTTGAACCTGTATATTCACCCGCCAGAGATACCGTCACAAGCCATAGAAGCACCACATATTGCCAAACCCAAACCCTGCCCCCCTTCCACCTGCACACTCACCCACCAGACATATCTTCGCAGTACATCTATGAGCCATGGACGGCACCATTGTGACTTCTGAGTCGACTATCCTTTCCCCTCCTGACCTCACATTCGTCCTCCCAACACCTGCACACTCACCCACCAGACATGCCATCGCAGTACATCTATGAGCCATGGACGGCACCACTGGCAGTGCAACGCCGAGCCAACTGCATCATTGGGAAGGACTACCCAAATCCAAGTGAGCCATTATTTCTCCCATTACTGTCAAGTTTGTAACACGTTTTTACAAGTTTTGTTGTGGGTGTAATGTTGTTGACCCAGCTTGTGTTAAGTCGCTTTTGCGCTAGAGAATCATCTTGATGTGAGAGTGGACTTTGATTCGACACATCATTATATGACTGCTTTCCCTGCCTTCCTTTTTCTCCATCCCCTTTTGCGCCCAGCTGTCGACCATGCAGAAGCCAGTACGCAGTGTAGAGATGTCATGAGTGCAGCCTACGCTGCCAATTGCTTGGCTGTTAATCCATGCTTTCCTTGCTGTCCTTGCTTCCCTCCATCTTTCTTCCTCACCCAGTTGTTGACCATGCGGAGGCTAGTAAGCGCTGTCGTGACGTCATGGGTGCAGCCTATGCTGCAAACCGCTCGGCTGCAAATGCAAGCACATCGGGAAATCAGCCAGTTACCACTGCAATAGATCATGCTATATCAAGGGATCGTGGAGCATCAAGGGGGCCTACACTGCCTCGTAGAGGAGGCAGTGGTGGCGATGTGATGGATAGAGGGGGAGGCAAATCAAGGCGGACGAGAAGAGGGGGTTCTGTTCAGAAGGGTGATTCTGGAGAGATGGAGAGAGGCGATGGCAAGCCTGGTCCGACGAAGAAAAAGCAGAAGAGAATTGATGACATGCTAAAAGGCTGATTTGTAAATAGAAAATGTTAAATTTCGAGAGTGCATTTGTTCTCGCATTGGAATGCAATGCTCAATAACCTGGTTTGGAGTGAGATCAAGTTTCGGGACATTCCAGCCAACCCCCGACAATCCCCGTCTTCACTTCTGCTGTTGGTTCGTCGCGTCGGCTTCTAGCAGCGTTCTGCTCTAGGGAGCTGTCAATAGCGCACGCTTCGCTTCTAGCGTCGTTTTACTACAGAGAGCCGTCAATAGCGCACGCGTCAGCTTCTTGCAGATTTTACTTAAGAGAGCCGTCAGTAGCGCACAAACAACTGCGATAGCAGCAACCAGGAGTCGGGAGGACATAGAAAGTACCGGTAAACCTGTCCCGGTCATTTCCAGCTTGAAACAATGCCGATCGCACCGCAATGCAGCGCGGGAGCAAGCCACGTGTCAAACACACAGACTTGCCACGTGTCGCTCGAGGGTATGGTCTTCCACGGGTTTCACGGGGTTCTCCCCGAGGAGCGCGTGTTGGGGCAGAAATTCGTCGTCGACACGTGGATGTGGCTGGCCGATTCGCCGCATCATCAACAATCGTTACAAGAAGATTCGGTACAGGCAAAGGCGTCGAAAGATCATTTGTTGCAAGAGAAACCGTTTGATTACTCGCACGTCTACAAGTAAGATTGCCTGCTATCGAGTATCTACCTACTCTCCTCCGAACTCACTTTCCCTCTCCTCTACCCTCCCCTCTCCCCCTCCTCCCCTTCCCCTCCCTGTCCCTTCTTTTCCCTCTTCCTCCCCTCTTCCCTCCTCTGCGCGTCTTTGCGCCCATTGCTCTCCACCTTTCCCCGTATCCTTCCCCATCCCATCGCTGTACTTCCCCCTCCCCCCTTTTTCCCCCTCCCTCTCCCCCTCGCATCCTCCCGCTTCCCCCTATTTTTCTCCGTCCCAGCATTGTGCGTGTGGAAATAACGGCCACCACTCACTTCGTATCCTCTGCTGCATTTCTCAGCGCCCGTCCCTGTCCTCTGTCCCCCTTTTCCATCCCCTTCCCCCTATCCTCCCTCCTCTTCTTCCCCCTATCCTTCCCCATCCCAGCATTGTCCGTGCGGAATTTACGGGGCCCCCTCGCCTCCTATTGGAGAGCGTGGCGTATTCCGTGGGCCGCCAGCTGCTGCTGACGTGTCCTGAGCTGGCACGCGTGGCTGTCCGCGTCAGCAAGCCACATGTCGCCTTCACAGGGGTGCTCAAATCCGTCGGAATCCAGCTGGAGTGCAAAAGGCAAGCTCTGTGAGTGCTTGATGCTGCAGATTGTTTTTTAGAATTCTCAAAAACAATCTGCAGCTCTGTGAGTGCAGAAGGCAAGCTCTGTGAGTGCAAAAGGCAAGCTCTGTGAGTGCAGAAGGCAAGCTCTGTGAGTGCAGAAGGCAAGCTCTGTGAGTGCAAACCAAATGAAGGCACATTTTGAATAATTAGAAGAAGAAGAAGACACACACACACACACACACACACACACACACACACACATACACACACACACACACACACACACACACATCCTACACACACACATTATTTTAACGGTTTTGATTCCAAAGGGTAAGAAAGAGGGTCTGCTCACTTGGGTCAGATGAGCGTCCCTTCATTCGCCCATTTCCCATCCCTCCATTTCCCTCCACCCCTCCATTTCCATCCACCCCTCCACCCCTCCACTTCCCTTCAGACAGAAGGGAAAATGAACAAGTGGACGGTTCTGAAGGGGAGGAGGGAAAAGAAGAGGAGAAAGGAAAGGGGCAGCAGGGGCAACAGGATATCGAGACGACATTAAACAAGAGGGAACGCGAAGAAGAGGGCGGAGGAGGGGGAGAGAAAGGGGAAAAGGAAACGACGGCAGTGGTGGTGGATGGGGAGAGCAGTAAGCTCGTGCTGGAAGGACTTGTTTTTCATTGCCAGGGCAGTGGGGTGATAGGAGAGGAGGGAACCAGTGAAGAGAAGGGAGAGGCTTTTGAGAATTCTCAAAAGAAGGGAGAGAGAGGGTTTTCCAGTACAGGTGGAGGTGGTCGTGGACGTGGGTTTTCCAGTACAGGTGTTGAGAGTTCTCATGCAAATGCTAGTTTTGAGGCGCCGCAAAACAGTACAGGTGTTGAGAGCTCTCCTGCACATTTGGAGACCCCGTATGCACGTGTGGAGGTGGACGTGTGTGCGTGGGTGAACCTGGCTGCTGCAGCGCACTCCGATGAGCTTCAAGACTCGGTGGACTACGGGGAGATTTACAAGTGAGTGGCTTTTTAGTCAGACGAGGACCACAAGAAATGAGTGTGTATCAGGTGCTGCTGCAGCGCACTCAGACGAGCTTCAAGACTGAGTGGACTATGGGGAGATCTACGAGTGAGTGTGTTTCTTTGGACGGTGGTGGTTGTGACTCGTTACAGTCCACATGCATACACTCTCGGCCATCTCTCCGTCCTCTTCTCCCCCTCCTCCCTCTCCTCCCCCTCCTTCCTTTCCTTCCTCTCCTTCCTCTCCTTCCTCTTCCTCCGTTTCTTTGCCTGATATCTCTCAGCCTCTGCGGAACCCTCTGGCCTTTTCTTCTCTCTCTCTCGCACACCCTTTTGAGTCGACTCAAAAGTGACCTCTGCAGCACCACAACCCTCCGACCTTTTGTTTTCTCTCTCACACCCTCCACGTCCACAATTTCTCCTCCCCATCATTCCAATCTGCTCCTCGCCTTTCACTAACCCCCGTATCCCTATTCCCCTCCCCCTCCCCCTCCCCCTCTCCTTTCTCTCTCAGCATTGCACGGAAGCACGTTGAGAGCCATCAACTCCCCCCACGCGCCTCCCTCGCCCTCCCTCTTCTCGCCCATACCATCGCCACCACCATCCGCACCTCTCTGCCCCGTGTGAAGAGAGTTTGGGTGCGACTGGCTGCTCCTGCCCCTGCCTCCCTGCCCGGGGCTGTTGGGTGCGCTGCAGCGCAGGTCACCCTCTAGGCACACTCCACAGCTGCAGCAGAAACTGTAGCAGCAACCCTAAGCCGGGCCGGCAACCCAGTAGTCCCCCCTCGCGCCCGCACCATTGCCACCACAATCCGCTCCGCATGTCCCTTCCCCGCGTGCATAGAGCCTGCACAGAGGAGCAGGGGAGCATGTCCCGCACCAGGGGGTCCGCGCCCCGCAGGGGAGCAGGAGCCTGGGTGCGCCTGGCTGCTCCTGCTCCCGCCTCCCTGCCCGGGGCTGTTGAGTGCGTTGCAGTGCAGATCAGAAACTGTAGCATCGGCTGTAGCAGAGTGCAGAGAGCCTGGGTGCGCCTGGCTGCTCCTGCTCCTACCTTGTGGGGTGTGCTGCAGCGCAGATCACCCTCTAGTCAGAAATGCACTGCAGCAGAAGTCACCACAGTACAGGCGGATGCAGTATATGATTTGATTTACCGTATATGGTATCATATATCATCCCATATTGGAGCATTATCAACAATGTGCCCCATATCATATACATTGCAGCCAATCTTATTCATGTGCATGGCAATATACATTACGTACTCCTTTGTGCCTTGTATCGGAGAGCCAGTATGGCGTGCTTCCCTATTATTCACTACATGAAAACATATACAGTATTATCGTATCAATCCTTGCTAGAGCCCCATGAAATACATGGATCCTCGTCCTTTAGTTGTGCTTTCTTCCTCCCCTGAAAGTGTACTGCCAGTAATTGCACCACTTCCCCTTTGTTTTGCCCCCTGCCCACAAACGGCTTGAAATACTCGTAACGCACTGATGTTGGGGTCTTCATGCCTTCTTTCGGGCAGAAGTGAAACTTTCTCTTCTTGCCCTGGGATCAGAACAGAAGAAAAGTTCTGTCAGAAGGGACGGCAATAATGCCAGGATCTTGAAATACAATGTCATTCAAAACAATGCAGACAATGCTGTGCAATGCCAGACCACGCAGTATGTTGCACAGCTTTGCAGCACACTCACAACGGAGAAGTTGTTATCGAAGGCACACCACCCGGCATCGCTCCAAGCACTCGCCCCACACTGCCTGGGCGCACACAGCGACTCCGCCTTGAAGGCCGGCTTGAACTTGCCATGCAGGCGCGGGTACTGGGCGGATCTCTCCTTGTCCTTGCACTGCCAAGAAGGGGGGAACGAGTGGAAGAGGGAAGCACTCAGCAACTCAGTCTTGAAACAGGCAGGGATGGAATGAGATGGTTTGAGACGTCTCAAAACATCACTTGTATCACAGGCAGGGATGGGAAGGCGTTGATCGAGTTTCTTGCAGAAAGCTGCCGGGGGGGTTGCTCCAAGCACTGGCCTCGCACTGCCTGGGCGTAGCGCACACACGGACTCCACCTTCCATACCACCCCATTCCATCCCACCGAGGTGACTTACGAGTCGACTCAAAAGACTTTTGATTCGACTCAAAAAGCTGTCGGGTTTGCTCCAAGCACTGTCCTCGTACTGCCTGGGCGCACACTGGGACTCAACCTTGCATACCACCGCATTCCACCGCACCCCACCCCAGCGTGCTCACACTGAGGCACTCACCGTTTTGGGCGTTTGGTCAGGAGGAGAGGTCCAGCCGGTAGGGCTGGCATAGCAGACCACCCCAGCTGCACCACCCCACCCCGCCTCACCCCACCACACCCCATCCCACCCCTAGAGCTCACCGTTTTGGGCACTTGGTCAGGAGGGGAGGTCCAGCAGGTAGGGCTGGCATAGCACACCACCCCAGCTGCACAATGTCGTTTGTATGGCGGCAGGGAGAGCAAGGGAGGGGAGAGCAGCCGGGTAGCACACCCCTAGAGCTCACCGTTTTAGGTTGCTCTTCTGGAGCGGAGGGCCAGCAGGTAGGGCTGGCATAGCACACCACCCCAGCTGCACAATGTCGTTTGTATGGCGGCAGCTGGGGTAGAGCGGAAGAAAGGGCAGGGAGGGCGCGAGGGGACGTGGAGGAGCGAGAAAGTCGGGTAGCACATGCCTAGGGTGCACATAAACTCACTGTGTTTTAGGCGTCTGATCAGCCACGTGTAGCGAGGGTGTTTTTGAGACGTCTCAAAAACACCCTCGCTACACGTGAAAGTCGGGTAGCACATGCCTAGGCTGCACAGAAACTCACTGTTTTAGGCGTCTGATCAGGGGGGGAGGTCCAGCAGGCAGGGCTGGCATACCATCCCAGCTGCACCATGTCGTTGTATGTGCGCTTCTGAGCGGGCAGCGAGGCGTCTCCTGGGGTTCCCCCTGCCACTGCCTCCTGTACAGCAGGGGGATGAGAGCAAGAGAGGGAGGAAATGCGTGTGAGAGGGGGGATGAAGCAGCACCCCTGGCATGCCAGCTGGCATTCCATCCCAGCTGCACCATGTCGTTGTATGTGCGCTGCTGAGCCGGCAGCGAGGGGTCTCCTGGGGTCCCCACCGCCACTGCCTCCTGTACAGAGAGAGTGAGATCAGGAGAAGACGTGCATGATGAGAGGGAAGGGAGAGCAGAATGACAGCGGACACATGAGTATACATGAAGCACAGCAGCTGACACGCCAACACTCCGCCCACAGCTGAGCCGACGACAACACAACAATACACCCACCCACGGCTGGAACTGGCACTTGCCTGGAAGAAGATCACGAAGAATGCGAGGAAATCCGCCAGGGCTTCGACGGACCAGAGAGAGACGTGGCCGCTGACCAATGCGCACACTGTGAGACGGCATGGCCAGTGCTAGCCTTGTTTCCGACAGGTGTGACTGTAAGAACTGTAATAGACCCAGAGCTGCCACTCACCTGGAAGAAGATCACCAAGAATGCCAGAAAGTCCGCCAGAGCCTCCACGGACCAGAGGGAGACGTGCCCGCTGACCGCCCTGATGCGCACACTGTGAGAATGCACGTTCGGCAATGGCACACCCAGAGCTGCTTCTCACCTGAAAGAAGATCACCAAGAATGCCAGGAAATCCGCCAGGGCTTCCACGGACCAGAGGGAGACGTGCCCGCTGACCGCCCTGATGCGCACACTGTTGGATCGCATGGCCGGCAATGACCCACCCAGAGCTGAGACACTGGCACTTGCCTGGAAGAAGATCACAAAGAAGGCCAGGAAGTCCGCCAGAGCGTCAACCGACCACAAAGAGACGTGCCCGCTGACCGCCCTGATGCGCACACTGTTGGACCTCATGGCCGGCAATGACCCACCCAGAGCTGAGACACTAGCACTTGCCTGGAAGAAGATCACAAAGAAGGCCAGGAAGTCCGCCAGAGCGTCAACCGACCACAAAGAGACGTGCCCGCTGACTGCCCTGATGCGCACACTGTTGGATCTCATGGCCAGTGCTAGCTTTGTCTCCGGCAGGTGTGACTGTATGAACTGCGTGACATTAACGAACAGCAGCACGTCGCAGTCGGTGTAAAATACCCGGGAAATGTTCCTCCGCACCATCATTTCATGTAAAAAAAACCAGCGGATATGGTACGCCATGACCCTCCCTATCCCCTTCATATACTGCTCCTCTATCCGTGCGGTCTCTTCATAATCCTCGTATGCTTCCAACTCGATGCCTAGTTCGGTCATTTCTTCCCGGCACGCGCGCGGGCCAATGAGAATGACCCACGTGTTGTGCAGCAGTGCTTGGCGGAGGGAGGCCTGCATGTACCTGCCCCGGTTGCAGCCTGCCTCCCCCCGCAGAAACTGCACCACTGGGATCAGGCCTGCACGGCTGGCGCCGCCTGATTGGGCGTGGGCATGAGCTGTGCCGCTAGTGCTGCTAGTGGCGCTAGTGGCACTGCTGGCGCTAGTGTCGCTCGTGGAGGTAGGGAGGATAGGGAGGATAGTTGCACCAGTGCTGCTACCAGCAGCAACCACAGCAGCATAATCAGCCGCCCCTAGCGCCGTCATGGGAACAATGTCAGCATCTGCATCAGCTGGAACAGCAGAAGCAGTGGCAGCCACAGCAGGAGTCGCAGAAACAGGGTTAGCAGCATCAGGCTTGGTAGGAGAAGCCGGGCTATCAGGAGAAGAAGTGGCAGCAGGATTAGCAGCTACTGCCAAGTTCATATTTACAGCAGCAGCAGCCATCCTAGGAGCCTGCATTGCCGGGTCGCCGGTTTTAAGGAGGAGGAGGGTCAGCATAGGAAGCTTCTCGTTTCTTTCCTGCTGCTGACGCAACTGCTGCTGATGTAGCTGCTGCTGACGCGCCTCCTCCTGCTGCAGCAGATCTGAGATGACTGACACGTTGGCTGCTGACGTGGCTGCTGCTGACGTGGAATGGAGGGCAGATAGGGCCCCATCGGCTGAGTGGCCTGGAAAGCGCTTGAAAATGCCGATCAGGATCACATCAGCGAAAAGGAGGAACACTATAGCGAGTACAACTGCCCTGTAAGGATAGGAGCAGGGGGGCCCGGCCAGGGGGGAAGGTATGGGGAATGAGCAGAAGGTCGAGAAATCGCATGGCGTGATGCGGTGGGATGTGGTGCGTAGTGGTGAGGAAAAAACGGCAGGGGAAAAATAGGCCTGGCTAGAATATACCATGCCTCACGCCACCCCACTACTTATTCCAACACGGTCAGCAGCAGCCATACTGTACCACACCGCACCGCACAGCACCACACTATGCCACGCCCTGCTACTCACGCACAACGCGGTCAGCACGAGGAGAACGGACGCCGGCCCACTCCGCGCCGCCATCTAGGCTGCTTGATACACCTTCAAGGCGTTAATCGAAAAGAGCTATATTGGAGATGGCTTTTCATCGCAGGCGCCCTCTAAACGCGTCCTCTCAACGCGCCCGCCCTCCTCGCCGCAGACGTCACGGTCACGGCTTCCGCACTTCAGCCCTGAGCGCGCGGAAGGGTGCGCCTTTCCGCCATTGTTTGCGCTTCGGTGAGAAGCTGATTCCCGACGGGGCGACAGACGTACGGCGAAAGCGCAACGCGGGAAAGGACTAGCGGTAATCCCGTCTAGGTCAGCGTCGCGCAGTGCTTGCAGTCGGATAGGTTCCTGGTTGGTCGGTTGTACGGAATATGATTTAGCGCCTTCACCTGATTCGATTGAGGAGCAACCAGAAATTGTTACATATTGAGAAGTACAAAAAAGTGTTTTCAAAGTTTTACACACAAATTAGCATCTACACATTCATCATAAAACGTTTTACATTTGTTGATTCAGCGCATTCGTTAATCAGGGCTCGAGCCCCAATGGCGTGTAGGATCGGGTTGCATTATCATCGACTTTCTGGGACCTTGGAAATGCACGCAGAGGAATTGTACCGGTTTGTCTTGCGGTTTGCCGACCCAGTCTGTGAAATGGTCGTAGTGCATCGATGTAGGGGTCTTCATTTTCAATGGATCGTAGTGGAACGTTGTGTGGTTGATCTGTGCGGTGGGGGAGGCAGGACACAACAAGAGAATCGAATGTTTGTGGGGAACAGACACACAGGGGAACTGCACCGGCTTGCCGTGCCGTTTGTCGACCCAGTCGGTGAAATGGTCGTAGTGCATGGATCTAGGGGTCTTCAATTTCAATGGATCGTAGTGGAAAGTTGCGTCTAAATGGGGAGGACCAAGAGCACGATGGTGGATAATAGGAGCAGACAGACAGGCAGACACAAATGAGTGAAATGGCAAAAATTGTGATGCATGATGTACGGGTGAACCTGCCTCGTATCCTTGCACTTGCTGTGCTCCCCCACACTCGCTCTCTAATCTCACTCACCCCGCACTCACTTTGCGCCTCACTTCACTCCCCACACTAACTAATGTTCCCCACACTCACTAACATCCCCCACACTCACTAACATCCCCCACACTCACTAACATCCCCCACACTCACTAACATCCCCCACACTCACAGTGAGCGAGAAGTTGTTGTCGAAGGCACACCACCCAGCATCGCTCCAAGCACTCGCCTCACACTGCTTGGGCGCACACAGGGACTCCGCCTTGAAGGCCGGCTTGAACCTGCCCCGTATCCTCGCACTCATCACCCGCATTGATGGCGCCAGGCACTGAAAGGTGTGGGTAAGGGGGTCAGTGTTGGGGGGGAGGGGCTTGGTGAGGGGGGGGGTGGCCTTCACTGCCGGGGTGAACCTGCCCCGTATCCTCGCACTCATCACCCGCATTGATGGCGCCAGGCACTGAAAGGTGTGGGTAAGGGGGTCGAGGTGGTGGGAAGGAGGTTGCTTGCTTGTTCCCTCCCTATGAGGGATTGATTCACGTCTTTCCCAATGGCATCGAAGTGTTGTCCAGCATACAGGTGCAGCGTACCACCCCAGCACCACCATGTGATTGTATGCCAAACACGCGCCTGAGCTGCCCTTCAATACAATCACATGCACCCTTGCCCCGCTTTGTTGCTTGCTTGCTGCCCACTCACGTCCTGCTAGTGACCGACTCCCGTCTTTAAGAACAGAGTCCGTGGGGGTGTTGGCCCAGCACACAGGAGCAGCATACCACCCCAGCACCACCATGACATTGTATGCCCCACACAGACGCTGAGTTGCACGATAACACAAGCACATGCGCCCCCTCCCCGCTTCCCAGATTGCTTGCTGCCAACGCACTCACATCTTTGGGAATGGTGTCCTTGGGCGTGTTGGTCCACAGCACACTGCAGCGGCATACCACCCCAGCACCACCATGTCGTTGTATGTGCGCTCACATGCCTTCTAACACAACATACGGTTCTCCCATTCGCTAGCTGCCAACTCACATCTTTGGGAATGGTATCCTTGGGAGCGTTGGTCCAGCACACGGGAGCAGCATACCACCCCAGCACCACCATGTCGTTGTATGTGCGCTGGGCTGGCAGGGACCGATCGCCAGGCGTGCCCCCCACCACACCAAGCTGAATGCATCAAAACAGTGGTTGTGAGGAAGAATGGGCGGAGACGGGGAGAGCAGAAACGGGGGTGGGGGGAGGGGGGTGGGGGTTGTGGAACTTGTTATGGAAGAGGGAGAGGCATACCACCCCAGCACCACCATGTCGTTGTATGTGCGCTGGGCTGGCAGGGACCGATCGCCAGGCGCGCCCCCCACCACACCGAGCAGCTCGCATTGGGGAGAAAGGGGGAAGGAGACTTGGGCAGGAGAAGAAAGGGTAAACGGCAAGAGAACTTGTTGTTTCAGATGGGGGAGCAGCGTACCATGAGGTCGTTTTTGAGGCGCCTCAAAAACGACCTTTTTGAGGCGCCTCAAAGAAGAAAGGGTAAACGGCAAGAGAACTTGTTTCAGATGGGGGAGCAGCGTACCACCACCCCAGCACCAGCACCACCATATCGTTGAATGTGCGCTGGGCTGGTAGGGATCGATCGCCAGGTGTGGTTCCCACCACAGCAACCTGCTCGGGTTGGGGGAGGCGGGAGAGGAGGATGAAGAAAGGGGAAACGGGAAAAGAATTCGTTTCAGAAGGGATAGCAGCATACCACCACACCCAGCGTCACCATGGCCCTGAGAAGAAAACGCTGATAAAACCGGGAAAACCGGGAAAGCAATTCTTTTCAGAAGGGATTGCTGCATACCACCACACCCAGCGTCACCATATCCCTGAGAAGAAAACGCTAGTGAAACGCGGAGATCAAAGCAAAATGTTATGTCCATATACATCAACAACAGCGAAAAAAAAGAGAAAGAGAAAGAAAAAGAAAACGACTGAGCCGAAAGTGCCAAGTAAAATGCTAAGTATGATGCTTGCTATGTAAAATGCTAAGTATAATGCTTGCTATGTAAAATGCTAAGTAGGCAGCACGACGGTTAGGACCATGCCTGAAAGAAGAGGCGGAAGAAGGTGAGAAAATCCCCCAGTGCTTGCTGCGACCAGAGAGACACATGCGCACTCACTGCCCGCACGTGAATGCTGCAGACGGGGGGGGTACGGTTGGGAGAGGGCGGGCGGGGGGGGGGGGGGGAAGTTCAGCTGGTTGGTTGGGAAATGGTCGAGGTGTGAGTCGTGCGACAGTGCGACCAGTGAGGTGGAAGAAGGTGAGAAAATCCCCCAGTGCTTGCTGCGACCAGAGAGACACATGCGCACTCACTGCCCGCACGTGAATGCTGCAGGGTGCGGGGAAGGGGTTGGGGTGGGAGGTTAAAGAGGGGGGAATAGGAGGAGGGGAGGGGGTTGATTGATCCACCCAGCACAGCCCACATGAGGGGTTCATCTTGCAAAACACTCGAAACAGGTGCGATTGGTATTGGGCCGGGCTGGGCACTGACTCACGTGGGGTTGCGGCTAGAGAGGTGAGTGTGCATGAACTGGGTCACGCTGGCAAATGGCAGCACGTCACAATCACAGTCCATGTGGGATATGTGACGGATGAACTGAGAGAGGATGAAGGCCCATTGCCACAGAACATGTACAGGAAGTAGATCATCTGATACGAGTTGGTTTTTGAGAATTCTCAAAAACCAACTCGTATGAAGGCCCATTGCCACAGAACATGTACAGGAAGGGGCAAGTGTACACGCCCATTACCCACAGAAGTAGATCATCACTCACGTGGCAATGGGCAAGGTTGGACCCACAGCGACCGAGTGCAAGGTTGGACCCACAGCGACCGAGTGCAAGGTCGAACTTGGGCAAGTGTGCGTGCGCGTGCGGGGGATGAGGGATGAAGGCGCCACATCTTCGTGAACTGAGCCACGTTGACTCAGTGCCTCATCACCAACGTGACTCAGTGCTGTCCATGTAGATTATGCGGGGGATGAGGGATGAAGGCCCATACCACCCCACCCCACAGCATCACTGCAGTACATGACTGGCTGGGCATTCACTGTGACTCACGTGGGTGTACGCATAGCAAGTGCAAGGTCGGTGTTGGGCATGTGAGCGTGCACGAACTGGGTGATGTTGGCAAAGAGCAGCACATCGCAATCCATGTAGAATATGCGGGGGAGAGACCAGCGGCGCATGAACTCGTGTAGGATGAACCACCGCACCTGATGGGGAGAAGAAGTGGGGACAGTTCGATGGGGGCAGTGGGTGGAGTGGGGCAAGGAACGGAAGGGAGAGCAGCACGCGGCAGTCCATGTAGAAAATGCGGGGAACAGACCAGCGCCGCATGAGTTTGTGTAGGATGAACCACCACAGCTGATGGGGAGAAGAAAAGGGAGTTGGAGTGTGACAGGGCAGCAGTAAGGCACTGGGGGATGGAAGAAAGAGCAGCACGTCACAGTCCATGTAGAATATGCGAGGGAGAGACAAGCGACACATGAACTCGTGCAGGCACGTGAAAAAAGAAGGGTTTTGAGACGTCTCAAAACACTCCTTTTTTCACGTGAATATGCGAGGGAGAGACAAGCGACACATGAACTCGTGCAGGATGAACCACCGCACTTGATGGGGGGGGTGATTTTTGAGAATTCTAAAAAATCACTCGCATGAACCACCGCACCTGATGGGGGGGTGGGGAGGGGAATACGACGAGAGAGGGGCGTGGCATGTGAGTAGGAGGGAGGGAGGAGAGGGGAACACAACCCCGTCCTCACACAACCCCTCTCTCTCAGAAACTGTACCACAGGTCAGAAACTGTCCCAGTACCTCTCAATACTGACCTGGTATGACACGACTTGCCCAATGCTCTTCTCAAACTCCTCTTCCACGCCCTTGTACTCGTTATAATCCTCCACCTCCACCCCCTCCGCCCCCAGCACCCCCCATTCCCCTGACATCTCCCAGTACTGAACTCACCTGGTACGAAACCACTTGCCCAACGGTCTTCTCAAACTCCTCTTCTACACCCTTGTACTCGTCATAATCCTCCACCTCCACCCCTTCCGCCCCCAGCACCCGCTTGCACACCTTCGGCCCAATCAGAATCACCCGCGTGTTCAACCGTCTCGCCTGCTTCAGCGTCTCAAACGCGTACCGGCCCCGCCCACACCCCGTCTGCGCTCTCAGGAATTGAACCACTGGGATATCCCCAGTGGTACCCGCCGCTGCCGCGCCAGGCTTACCACCAGACCCGCTTCCGGACCTGCTTCTGTACCTAGTTCCAGAGCTGCTTCCGGACCTGCTTCCGGGGCTATCGCCTGGGCCGCCTTCTTTTGCTTCCCTGCTGCCTTTACTACCTGGCCTTTCACCTGAGGTTCCTCTCTCCTGCGGCTCGTCTTGTCGTATCCCCTTGCTTCCTCTCTCCCCGTCCCCCCATGCACCTGGACCAGACTCGTCAGCCTTCCCCCCTCCCCCGTCCTCCCCCTCCCCTTCTTCCCCCCACCATCCGCGTTTCCCGGCCAAAAGCTCTCGAAAAGCTGAGGGATTTCGGAGGACGTCGCTACTGCTAACCAGACCGTGCCTGGAGGACTGCGATTGGCTACCCTCCTCTGCGGAAGTTTTCTCTGCTGCCTGTGAGTCACCACCAGCTGCCCGGAAAATTTCTGGTGTTTGGGCGTCAAATGGAGCGTCGGAATATTCGTCGAGTTCGGCTGCGGTTCGCATTTGCTGCTGCTCCTCTTTGGAGCTCTGGAGTCCAGAGTGGAGGAGAGGGGAGATATGGAGGAGGTAGAGTAGGAGGAGGAGAAGCGACCTGCGGGGAGGGAAGGGGAGGGGGGGGGTGGACGGGAAGAGACGTGAAAGAGTGGGCAGCAGGGAGGGATGGGAAAGGGTCGGGAATGTGAGGGGGATGTGAGGGGGATGTGAGGGGAATGTGAGGGGGATGTGAGGGGTATGTGAGGGGGATGTGAGGGGAATGTGAGGGGGATGTGAGGGGAATGTGAGGGGGATGTGAGGGGGATGTGAGGGGAATGTGAGGGGGATGTGAGGGGAATGTGAGGGGGATGTGAGGGGGATGTGAGGGGGATGTGAGGGGTATGTGAGGGGGATGTGAGGGGGATGTGAGGGGGATGTGAGGGGGATGTGAGGGGAATGTGAGGGGGATGTGAGGGGAATGTGAGGGGGATGTGAGGGGTATGTGAGGGGGATGTGAGGAAGATGTGAGGGGAATGTGAGGGGGATGTGAGGGGAATGTGAGAGGGATGTGAGGGGAATGTGAGGGATGGCAATGGGTAGGGAACGAGGAGACGAGAGATGCGTCACTCACAGCGCGCCGATGACAATCAGCGGAATCGCACGGCGACCGGACGCGAGTAGTGCCGCCAATCTCTCCGCTTTTACCGCCCCTTGGATCTGACTCACTAGCTGACCTACTACGTCGCTCTTCTTGCATCTCTCCGCCTTCGAGCCTTTCTCTGACTTAAAGCCTCGCGAGTCCGTCTTCGAACTTTTCTCGCCTTTCTCCGACTTCGAGCTTCTTTCCGTCTTAGACACTCTTTCTGTTTTGGAGCCTCGCTCCGGTTTCGACGCGCGATCCGCCTTCGATTGCGCGGCGATCGTCATTGCGCCCAGAATCCGTCGAGATTAGCGTATCAAAACACGCCACCTCACACACAAGTCAGAATGCGAGAAGGCGCGTGCGTAAAGGTTTTCCCTCCAGGCTACGGGGGAGCTGTCAAGGGAGCTCCTCTATCCACGGGCATGGCTGCCAATGCGCGCCCCTCGTCACAATCATGGGCGTGTTTATCAGCTTTTCGAGTCAGAGGACCAAACTGGTTCGGCTGAACTGTCGCGAGCAACCAGCAGATAATACCGACATGCGACTCAGACTAGCGAGTTTCGCACATCTGGTCCCGCGAATCAGATACACCGACATGCGTCGCCTTCGGACTTGGCGAAACTCCCAAGCTTGATTATCGAGGTTCTCGCCTACCTAGGATTCCTCACTGAACTCGTTTTATGACCCGTTGTAAGCAAACTTTCATTTCCTGACGTGTAACAAACATCAGAAAAGCCATATGGGTTGAAGATAAGGCAAAATTCTAGCCAGAATGTTGGCCTAGCCTACACCAAACACAAATGTTGCTTCAGTACCTGGTAATATTGAAACAACAGAAGTATTGGAGGAATATGTCAGAGTTGGAAATATAATATGGTAAATTTTCCAAACATCTCTGAAGTAAACGGGCTCGCACACAACATGGAGTCCTACAACTGGTACATACTGGAACTGATATGGGGTAAACATAATTAAAACAATGTCCGTTAAAGTGGTATTCTATGAGAAGAATGTGGCCGCTGGAGCAATTATTATGTCGAAAGCAGGTGGACCGCAAAAGATGGAAGCTGGTTGCTGTCAGACAAAACATGAAAGGCCAGGCGGGAAAACGTCTGCTGAGTTGGAGAACGAGTGGCGTGACATGTGACGCTAGCTGTTGAGCTATTGGTGCACTGAAGAGTCCCGAATGAATCCTGCCCGTGGATATTTCGGTTTCGACGTTCTGTACACTTTACTATATCGTGCACACCGGAAGCTGCAGTTTGGCTTGATGCTCATTTGGGCAGCTACTGTATTTTTCCTACCATGACCCCACACTGTACATTACAGTTCATCACATCCCTTCTCTTCTCACGGGCAAGCCTCTCTGAACAAAAATACAGTTTTCTAAATCATATCCCACCCCTTCCACCTTGAATTCGATGCGTCTGGTAAGCACTGCCCCGCTGCGGGCTGCGCGGCCAGCTAGGTTGATGGTGTAAATCACATCGCATCCAGCGTCACCAATGTGAGAATTTCAGCCACCCTCACGCTCCCTCTCTGCCCAATCCATCCAGCGGCTCTTTCCCCCGCCAACCAAAATGACAAACCCTAGAGTGTGGAGCAAGATGTCATGTCATCCATGTGCGAAAAGGTTGTGTTGGATGAGGTGTGTGCTGGCCGATCGTAAGGTCAAGGTTCGTCGGTGGGCACGAGGGCAAGAGGATCCATCCATTCATTCCATCATCAAACCCTCGTGTTCGCTGATGGCAGCCTTGGAGGGTGTACTGTACAGCTGATGCTCACCCCATGCACGCGAATTTGCCTTGCGCCGGATGGATACGCTGCACCCGAGGTTGTTTCCCCAGCTTCATGCACCTACATTACAAGCGCGTCGCGTGGTTATCAACCAGTAGTAACGAACAGACCGACGTCAAACTAGGTACAGACCGAAGTCAAGCAGAGGAGACTGAAGTCAAACTAGGTTACAGATCTTGTTTATAAGCACATGCGAATCATTTTTAGCTAGCTGCGAATTGCCGAAACTTATGCGAAATGCTCGTGACAGCTTATACGCCCCCTTCGTAAGGCAACCGGGAGGGGCTCAAACAGGCATCAGGTGTACTGTATGAGTGAGCTTCCAAACCCCCAAAGTTTCTCGTCAGAGGATCAACACGAACCTATCTGTATTCACCGCAACTTTCTTAACCGTGCCGTTTCCTTCCCAAACCATTCTCCCCACCAGCATCCTGCATTAGCTGATCTGATCACACGTCAATCCGAATCCACCACACCGGATCTGACCCCATCTGGCGGGTAATCTCCGCTGGGCAACTTTTGCGAGAACAACTAGGGCGAGGGGCAGCTGGGCTGAGCGGGGAACTCTAGGGGAGGAGTGGACAAGCTTGTCGGGTGGAATCACGCATGCCTGCAAGTCCACCATGAGCAGATTCTCACCCACCCCATCCTATCCCCAACCCAACCATCACCACCACCTGTGAGAGAGCTCCAAAGGCCCCAGGGCCCACATTCCTGTAATTGTATGAGATTTGTTGGAAAATTGTATTCTGGTAAAGGAATCAGATCTGAACATACCACGCTTGCTAAGGAATCATGTGCTCTTGCCGCTTAGTGTGGTTGAGTGCGGCTACTGCTTAGTGCATTTCTCGTCGTTTCTTCTCGCGCTTCGCCTTTTACCATTTTGTTTGTTCTCCAATCATGACAATACTTCACTTTCTTCGGCAATCTCAAGGAACAGCGCAGCTCGCTCTCTCTCCAACCTCCCGCATCATCGCCGCCAGCAGAGGAGCTTTATCCGCGCTTGGCGCTTGCTGCGAAAATCAGCTCAAGGCCCTCCACTTCACCGACATTTTCCTCATAGATTCCAACGGAAATTTTCCAGGAGAGGCAGAAACTCCGAACACCATCAGAAGCAAATTAAAGGGGGATTTCAGCTTCAGTTGGCCTGAAGTTGTTAATCAGTTGCTCTCCCAAAAAGAAAATATTATTACCTTAGAAGGGAATCTCGCCTTGCCAAATTATGACGCTCCAAATTGTCAATGCATTGGCACCACCACTGCTCCTTTGCTGAATAATGGAGCTGCGGATCCCAGTGCTGCCACTAATTCCATTGGAAAATATGCTGGTGTATTTCTTAAGAAAGCTCCAGATGATGAAGGTTCGTTTCAGAAGGCTCCGCTTCCGGTTCAAGTCACCCTGGAGCTCTTACAAGTTGAAGATATGGCTCATACCAGTAATGATCCGGTTACTGAGCCACATGATGGCAGCACAACCGGTCAGATGGGTCCTCCAAGCCTATTAGTTGCCTGCTTTCGTCTGAAGACGTCTGGGGAGCTAAGCCCACAGGTAATTATGTTTCTGTTCACTCCTGCTCTCCCTGGCCTACATAACTTGAGAGGGAAGCGAAATTGCATTGGATGTATCAACGTGTATGACTGTGTGTTGTGTGTGTGTGTGTGTGTGTGTGTGTGTGTGTGTGTGTGTGTGTGTGTGTGTGTGTGGAGGGGGGGGTTGGGGGGGGGGGGGAGGGGGGTGAAGGGGAGAGGGGGGGTGTGGGTGTTGGAGGCGGGGAAGGGAGCTGGGGAGTGTGGGTGTTGGGGAGGGGGGGGATTTGTGTGTGGGAGGGGGAGGGGGGGAGAAGGAGGGGAGGGGGAGGGTGTGTGTGTCTCAATGTGTGTGCGCGTGCGTTGTGAATTATCACCAATGTTTCATTTGTACTTCCTTCCTTTCTATCCTTTTCTTGTCTTACCAAGCTCTGAAGTATCATATTCACCATGGCATCGGTACCTTACCTCTGATCCTTAGAGCCTCCTTTCTCACTCGAATGGCCCTTTGTCCCCTCCCTCCCTCTCTCCATCCCCGCCTCTCTCCTCTTCCACGCATTCATCCGGTGTTCACACACACACTCTTCCTTTCCCGTACCTCTTCTCTTGATTTTTTTTTTCCTGCCCCAACTTTCCAATTTCAGCAATTTATTACCAGCAGAACCACAGCTCACCTTGTCTCAGCTTTAAATCGAGCAGTCCAGACCGTGTGTCGCCTCCGTAAAGGCTCCTGCGCAGATTTGATTCAACCTGCCGCCTTTCCTGCCATAGTAACAACCACTGGTAGTAGTGCTCCCACTTCCGCACCATCCGCTACCACCGCCGCCGCCGCCACTGCTGCTGCAACTCCTGACGGTCCCAGTCTCTTCTCCCCCAGTTGCCACCTTCCCCTGGAAGAGCTGGCCGATTGGGGGAAGCAGCTGGTTCAAGAGATGCAGGTCGTATGTGGGGAAGGCTCTGCTGTTGCTGAGGAGATAACAGGGGGAGGGGATGGGCCAAGCGGAGAGGAGGGAGGCAGCGCAGGGGAGGCGGCAAGAGGAGCTCCAGAAGCAGACGCATTAGGAAAGGGAGCAATAGAAGCAGACGCAGTAGGGAAGGGAGCAATAGAAGCAGACGCAGTAGGAAAGGGAGCAATAGAAGCAGACGCAGTAGGAAAGGGAGCAATAGAAGCAGGAATAGCAGGGCAAGGAGCCGGAGAAAGGGATGGAGCGCCAGTGTCAGGAGCAGGAGCAGCAGCAGCAGGAGTAGGAGCAGGAGCAGGAGCAGGAGCAGGAGCAGGAGCAGGAGCAGGAGCAGGAGCAGCAGCGGCAATGCAAAGAAGTGCTGTGGCTGCGGAAGCTGGCGCTTCAGCGGCATGTGTCGAGGCACCTTATAACGAAGCACATGCTTGTGGAGCTGATGGCGTGGTGCGGTGGGCGAGCAACGCAGTGGGCAGGCTACAAGAGGCCCTGCAGGAGTATGGGCTCTTCAAAAACATCTATGAGAGATCCAAGGTAGGTAACTCTAAAACTTTTGAGTCGACTCAAAGGTGGGCGAGCAACGCAGCGGGAAGGCTTCAAGAGGCCCTGCAGGAGTATGGGCTCTTCAAAAACATCTATGAGAGATCCAAGGTAGGTAAACTCTAAAACTCTGGCTATTAAGAAAGAAACGCTGCAGCAATGCATGCATCTTCCAAGGCATTCTTCTCTTCTCCCCATCCCATTTCCCCCACCATCAACCCTCTGCTCCCCTCTCCCACAATCCCCCATACAAACAGGATCCGATAGTGGTGTACAGCACGCTCCCTCCCACCCTCCTCCTCCTCTGCTACCCCTCCAAAGCGACCCTACAGCACGCCATTGCCCTGGGGTGCGCCTCCCCTCTTCTCTCCCTTCATTCCCAGCTCAACCATTCCCCTCCCCCACTCCCTCTGCCTCTTCTCATCCCCATCCCCACCACCATCCCTCCCCCCTGCCATCCCCACCACCATCCCCCCTGCCATCCCCTCTGTCACATCACACCCCCCCATCCCCCTTACAACAGGATCCGATAGTGGTGTACAGCATGAGCCACCAGCTTCTCGACTGCAACCCAGCAGCGCTGCTTCTCCTCCGCTACCCCTCCAAAGCGGCCCTCCGCCACGCCGTTGCTCTAGGGTGCTCCTCCCCCCCTCTCTCCCCCGAGTTTCAGCCGGATGGGGAGAGGTCTGGGGAGAAAGGGGCGAGGGTGGGGCGGGAGGTGGCGGAGAGAGGGGAGGTGGTGGTGCCGTGGACTTATAGGAAACGAGATGGGGAGCTGTTGCACCTTCGGATTCACTACCAGGTAATTTTATGCTGCACATATCAGGCCTTACAGTGGAGAGAGGGAGGTGGTGGTGACTTGGGACTTGTCTAGATAGGGAGCCTTTGCCCCTTCGGATGCACTACCAGGTACAATATCGTTTCTATCGTTCACCCATGGAGGATTATCATACTGTTCAAGAAGACAATACGTGTGCGCATATGCTGAGGTACTGACGGCATGTGAGTTGGTACTGACAGCATGTCCGTGGCCCCGTTCAAGCCTCCTACGTTCCCCATTCTAGTAAACCCAGGAGCATCATCCCGTCCCTTGTCCCTCCTTTCCCTTCCTCCCTTTCCTCTCCCCTTCCTCCCTTTCCTCTCCCCTTCCTCCCTTTCCTCTCGCATTCCTCCCTTTCCCCTCCCTTTCCTCCCCATGCTCCCCTCTCATCCGCGCAGCTCATGCGTGTGGGCGCGGACAGTGTCTTTGTGGGCACGTGGCACGACCTGACAGAAACTCTCAGGCAAGAGGACGAGCTGCAGCGAGCCAAGGAGGCAGCAGAGGCGGCGAGTGAAGCAAAGAGCCTCTTCCTGGCGAACATGAGCCACGAGATTCGCACCCCCATGAATGGTACGTGCCTGATGGCTGTGTGTGTGTGTGTGTGTGTGTGTGTGTGTGTGTGTGTGTGTGTGTGTGTGTGTGTGTGTGTGTGCGTGCGTGCGTGCGTGCGTGCGTGCGTGCGTGCGTGCGTGCGTGCGTGCGTGCGTGCGTGCGTGCGTGCGTGTGTGTGTGTCTGTGTGTGTGTGTGTGTGTGTGTGTGTGTGTGTGTGTGTGTGTGTGTGTGTGTGTGTGCACGCATACATGTGCGGCGAGGGGGGTGGGGGTCCTCTCAAGAGGCGGCGAGCCAAGGCGGCTGCAGAGGCAGCAGAGGCGGCGAGCGAGGCAACGAGCATCTTCCTGGCGAACATGAGCCACGAGATTCGCACCCCCATGAACGGTGCGTGTGTGTGTGTTCGTCGAGTGGGTGTTCATGTTCATGTGCATGTGTCTATGCGTGCATGTGCGTGTTCTGCATGCATGGTGAGTGATGCTTATGGGGTGTGTGATGGTTGTTGTGGTGATGGGAGTGAGGTGGAGAGGATGGCACCAAGCACCATGATTCCTCCTTTTGAGGCGCCTCAAAAGAGTGAGGTGGAGAGGATGACACCAGGCGCCATGATTTCTCCATTTCACCCTCAACAACAGGCAACAATGGTTCAAGATTTTGAGTTGACTCAAAAGAGTGAGGTGGAGAGGATGACACCTGGCACCATGATTCCTCCGTTCCACCCTCACAACAGGCAACAATAGTTCAACTCTATCTGTCCCTCTCCCTCTCCCTTTCCCCTTTACCTTTTTCCTCCCTATTCCTCCCGTTCCTCTACCGTTCCTCCCTTTTTCCTCCCTTTCCCCTGTCCCTTTTTCCTCCCTACTCCTCCTGTTCCTCTACCCTTCCTCACAACACACCAGGAGTGGTGGTGGTGGCTGAGTTGCTACTAGACACCCCCCTCACAACCGAGCAGCGCTCCTATCTCGACATCATCCGTGGCGTGGCGTGGCGTGGTGGGGGTGGCGGAACTGCTGCTTGGTACCCCTCTTACCTTGGAGCAGCGCTCCTATCTCGACATCATCCGCACGTCAGGCGTGGTGGGAGGGACAACCTCCTGCGAATCATGTGTCTGTGTGTATTGTCTCTCTCTCCTCCCCTCTCACCTCAGGCGTGGTGGGGGTGGCGGAACTGCTGCTTGATACCCCTCTCACCTCGGAGCAGCGCTCGTATCTGGACATCATCCGCACGTCAGGGGACAACCTCCTTCGAATCATTTCAGACGTGCTGGACCTCTCCAAGATCGAGAACCAGTCGCTGCCTCTGGAGGACGTACCCTTCTGCCTTGCTACATGCGTGAGAGAGGCGACTGCTCTTCTCTCTGTTGCCGCAGCAGACAAGGGCCTGCAGGTGAGTGCACGAACGGGCCTAGAGAGGGGCTGATGGGGTGTTAAGGGCGGTCTTGAGGGATAATGCTGTTTGTTGGAGTGGATGGGTGGGGTTGAGAGGAGTGAAGTGAGGAGGATTAGGTCCCCCCCCTTTCCATCCCCACTCCTCCCTCTTCCTCCACCCCCCTCTCTTCCTCTCTCGCTCTCCACTCCCCTATCTTAGCCAAGTTTTGAGGCGCCTAAAAACTAGCCCTCTCTTCCTCTCTCGCTCTCCACTCCCCTATCTTAGCCACTCCACTCCCCTATCTTAGCCACTCCACTCCCCTATCTTAGCCACTCCACTCCCCTATCTTAGCCACTCCACTCCCCTATCTTAGCCACTCCACTCCCCTATCTTAGCCACTCCACTCCCCTATCTTAGCCACTCCACTCCCCTATCTTAGCCACTCCACTCCCCTATCTTAGCCACTCCACTCCCCTATCTTAGCCACTCCACTCCCCTATCTTAGCCACTCCACTCCCCTATCTTAGCCACTCCACTCCCCTATCTTAGCCACTCCACTCCCCTATCTTAGCCACTCCACTCCCCTATCTTAGCCACTCCACTCCCCTATCTTAGCCACTCCACTCCCCTATCTTAGCCACTCCACTCCCCTATCTTAGCCACTCCACTCCCCTATCTTAGCCACTCCACTCCCCTATCTTAGCCACTCCACTCCCCTATCTTAGCCACTCCACTCCCCTATCTTAGCCACTCCACTCCCCTATCTTAGCCACTCCACTCCCCTATCTTAGCCACTCCACTCCCCTATCTTAGCCACTCCACTCCCCTATCTTAGCCACTCCACTCCCCTATCTTAGCCACTCCACTCCCCTATCTTAGCCACTCCACTCCCCTATCTTAGCCACTCCACTCCCCTATCTTAGCCACTCCACTCCCCTATCTTAGCCACTCCACTCCCCTATCTTAGCCACTCCACTCCCCTATCTTAGCCACTCCACTCCCCTATCTTAGCCACTCCACTCCCCCCACCTCCCCACCAATCCGTCTCTCTCCCCGTCTCCCCTCCTTCTGCTCCCACCAGCTGGACAGTCACATTGACTCAGACGTGCCTTGCTTTATTCGGGGAGACCCGGGGAGGCTGCGGCAGATCATTCTGAACCTCGTGTCCAACGCGATCAAGTTCACACAGACGTGAGGGCATGATTGAGTGGAATGTAAAACATCATACACGTGAAAACCACCTTTCTTTTTCCATTTTGTACTCAGACTTTCCTGAAGGAGCCTTTTCATGGCTGCTTAGTTTTCCTGTCTTGCAAATGGGACGTGCTCGTTTCAATTTGGCTCTATCAAGGAAGATCTTGCATAGTAAGATCTTACGTAGAAATGGTTGTGCAAGATCTTACTGCAAGAGGAGCTACCACTGCAGCCACTGCAGCAACGCTTGCCGCTAATCTCTCCCCCTCATCTCTTGATTTCCTCCCTTTCTTCCCACTTGTTACGCAGCAGTGGAGAGGTGCGGGTTATAATTCGGCAATCTACTGAGGAGGAGATACAGCAAGTTATGGCCGCTAGAGGAGCTGCTACTACTGCTGCAGCCACTCTCGTTGATGCCGCTGGTGCCTCTGCTGTTGATGGTGCTGGTGCTGCTGCGACTGCTTCTCCTGATACTAATGCTGCCCCTGCTGCAGTTGGTGACACTGTTATGGGAGCAGGAGGGGGGGGAGAGGAGGGAGTGAAAAAGGGTGTGGTGGGGCATGGAGTTAAAGAGAGAATGGTTGGTTTCTTGGAGGGCTTAGCGAAAAGGGGGTATGAGTCAAGAGAAGGGTATGAGTCGAGAGGAGGGTATGATTCGAGAGCAAGGAGCAAAGGGGAGGCAGCAGTGGAAGGAAAGGGAGAAAAGAGGGTTAGATTTGACACACTTGATTCAGAATGTGGTTGGAAACGGTTGAAGACTGGTGATTCGGTGCATGAGACGGGAGGAACTGACGTTAGGAGTGAATGTGGGTCGCAGCGGCAGCAACCACCACTTCAACAGCAACAGCACCAGCAGCAGCAACTACCATCACCGCGGCCGCAGCAGCAATCACCACCGCAGCAGCATCAATCACCGCAGCAGCAACAGCAATCACCACCGCAACAGCAGCAGCAGCAGCAGCAGCAGCAGCAGCAGCAGCAGCAGCAGCAGCAGCAGCAGCAGCAGCAGCAGCAGCAGCAGCAGCAGCAGCAGCAGCAGCAGCAGCAGCAGCAGCAGCAGCAGCAGCAGCAGCAGCAGCAGCAGCAGCAGCAGCAGCAGCGAGCATGGCTGACATTCAGTGTGTCAGACACAGGCGTGGGCATCAGCAAGGATGCATCAGACCGACTCTTTCGAGCCTTCATGCAGGGCGACCCCTCCACCTCCCGCCGCTACGGCGGCACCGGGCTCGGACTAGCCATCTCCAAATCCCTTGTGAGCCTCATGGGCGGCGATATTCGCCTGGTTAGCGCGGTGGGCGCCGGGTCGACGTTTTCGTTCACGATCAATGTCGCGGTGTCGCCGGCTGCGAGGTGTGCGCTTAAGGAAGACTCTTTGCTAAGAGACGGGATGCTGCACACAGACTTAAGCATGTCTTGCTTAGCTCCTGGTGGCGCTTCTACTGCTGCTGCTTCCACTGGTGCTGCTGGTCCGGCTGCTGGTGTCTCTGCTGCTGCTGCTGTTGCGGCTGCCATTGCTACCCGAACTAGCCACCACCACCACGCGCTCCCAGTGGAGCAGTCTTGCAGGAACTCAAAAAGACTGGGCGGGCCTGTTAGGGAAGGGAGAGAAGGACGAGGAGCAGGAGCAGGAGTGGGTGTAACTTGTGAGGCAGCTGTAGCAATGGCTGTTGGTAGTGACTATCCTGGTGTGGACGAACAACGGGAATTTGTCGCACCTCCAGCAGGAGCGGCGGTAGTAGCCACAGCAGCAAGAGCAGCAGCAGAATCGAAGGGGAGATTGTCAAGGAATGGAGCTTCCTCTGTGATGGGAGCAGCTTCTGTTGAGGAGAAACAAAAATTATCAATGCAGCAGCAGCAGCAGGAGCAGCAGAAGCATTTTCAAGAGAAGCTACATGAAAAACAGCAGCAGCAGGCACAGAGGCATGCGGCATATTCAGCCCTGTCCAGTGCCGCATTGTACAGAGCAGGTGCGGCGTCGCATGTTGCAAAAAGAGACGTCTTTCCAAAAGAGCTCCCAAATAAGCTCCACAGCTGGCGCAACCGGGACGAGCAGAGAGGAGGAGAGGATGAGTTGCTGTTGGTGATGAGTTGCCACAAAGGGGCGGGAAGCGAGAAAGAATATCATCGAATGGAGGGGTTTCCCAGGGATCAGCAGGAGGAGAGGAAGCAGATGGGGGAGGAGGTGAAGGGGAAGGAGGAGGAGGTGGAGGAGGAGAGGAGAAGGAAGAGGCAGGAAGAGGAGAGGAGGGAGAGGCAACAGAGGGAGGAGGAAGGGGAGAGGAGGAAGCGGCGGCGGCAGGGGCTGGCGTGTTTGATAGCAGAGGACAACGCAGTGAACCAGATGGTCATTGAGAGGATGCTCCGAAGCCTGGGGGTTGTCAGTGACGTTGCTTCCAATGGGGCTGAGGCGGTGCGGGCATGCGAGGGCAAGGAGTACGACGTGGTCTTCATGGTGAGTGCGTATTTTATAATCTTCTGTTTTCTGTTTTTTGATTTTTTTTTTTTGGGGGGGGGGGGGGGGGGGGGGGGGGGGGGGGGGGGGGGGGGGGGGGGGGGGGGGGGGGGGGGGGGGGGGGGGGGGGGGGGGGGGGGGGGTTGAATGATTAACATTTTATTATGGCCTCAACTCATGCTTCTCCTCACGCTGCTGCTGCGGCTGCTGCTGCTGATGCTCCTCCTTCCTCCTCCTCCGCCTCCTCCCCCTCCTCCTCCTCCTCCTCCTCCTCCTCCTCCTCTCCCTCCTCCTCCTCCTCCTCCTCCTCCTCCTCCTCCTCCTCTCCCTCCTCCTCCTCCTCCTCCTCCTCCTCCTCCTCCCCCCTTTCCTCCCCCCTTTCCTCCCCCTTCCTGGCTCCCCTCTTCCCTCCCCTTTCTTCTCTTTCCACCCGTTATCTCCTCCCATACGTCTTCTCCCCACCCTCAACTCCCTCGCATCACTCTCAACCGTTCAGGACTGCCACATGCCTGTGATGGACGGTTTTGAGGCCACAGAGAAGATCCGACGGCTGTACTTGCACCGATCTCGAGGCAGGAGGAAGGAAAGGGAGAAGGTGGAGGGGGATGAGAAACCAAGGGAGCAAGAGGAGAAAGAGGAGCAAGAGGAGCAAGAGGAGCAAGAGGAGCAAGAGGAGCAAGAGGAGCAAGAGGAGCAAGAGGAGCAAGAGGAGCAAGAGGAGCAAGAGGAGAAAGAGGAGCAAGATGAGCAAGAGGAGAAAGAGGAGAAAGAGGAACAGGCGAAGCAAGAGGAGATGGAAAGGGCGTGTGCTGAAACACCAGTTGTACCAGCACAAGCACCTGCCCCTTCATTAGTATCACCACCACCACCACAGCCACCGTCACTATCACCACCGCCACCCCCATCGTTGCTACCACGACCGCCACCACCGTCGTCTGAGACTCGTGGGTCTCTGCGTCGGCCATACATTGTTGCCCTCACTGCCAGTGCTCTGCTGCATGAGCGACTGCGGTGCACTCAGGTAATGTGTGGTACAATCGGGTGATGTGTGGTGCTGCCAGGTAACGTGCGGTGCACCCAGGTAGTAATGCGTGATGTATGAAAAGTCACTCCCCTATTTAACATCCTTCTTTTTCCTCCTGCTGTGAGCAGGTCCGTACGGACCACTTCCTGACAAAACTTGTCAAAGCAAGCTGCGAGAAATCTCAAAGTCAATCTCGAAGTCAATCCAGTACTTATCCGTTTCGTCCTCCTGTCTCTCAGGTCGGCATGGACCACTTCCTGACAAAGCCCGTGAGGCCAAGCGAGCTGTGAGACATCTCCAAATTCAATGCTATACCCTTCAATCCCTCTCTTGTGTGAACAGGTCGGCATGGACCACTTCCTGACAAAGCCCGTGAGGCCAAGCGAGCTGGAGACGCTGCTGCGGCATGTGGAGCTGCGAGGGGTGATGATTCGGCAGGAGGTGGTGCGGGGGAGAGATAGAGAGGAGCAGAGAGGGGTGATGCTTCAGCAGGAGGTGGTGGTGCGAGAGAGAAAAGAGTCAGGGATGTTGAGAGGTGGAGGAGAGAGGGAGAACAGATTGAAGAGGGAGGGGAGCGAGGAGAGGGAGGAGAGGGAGGAAATGGAGGAGGGGGGGAAGAGGGAGGAGGCTGAGCTGGCACACAGCCCAGGAGTGCAGCATGCTGAGCTGGCACATAGCCCGGGAATGCAGCATGCTGAGCTGGCACACAGCCCAGGAATGCAGCATGCTGAGCTGGCACATAGCCCAGGGGACATGCCGCCACTGTCAAACAGCCGGGAAAAGGACGGGGAGGAAGGGGCTTCGGGGCGGGCCGTGTCAGAAAGGTGGATGAGAGGCTTGCTGAAGGAGAGGCATGCGGAGGAGGAGGAGGAGGAGGAGCTCTCAAATGAGGATGTGGTTGATAAGAAATACGTACCTGCACGTGCTGATGCACCTGCTGATGCACATGCTCCATCACCACCACCACCGGTGGCTCGTTACAGCCTGAAAAGAGTTGCAGACTCGTTAGAACACACCACCACCACCACCATCACCACCACCACCAATGCTGCAAAAGGTCAGGCTAGGCTAGGAAGAAGTGGAGGTGGGCTTAAGAAGAAAAAGATGGATAGGGATGGGGACAGTGTTGTAGGGGACACAAGCAAAGAAAGTTGTAGGATGTAATTCAACGTCAACAGTTATTGTAGTACTTGTCACCGAATGTGTGCGCATCTGTAGATATTACAGAAATAATTATTCCAGTTGAAGAAATGTAAGTGCATTGTGTGCACTGGTGGTATATTAGTTCTGTATCACATAACAATGTATATTTTCAATTTCTTAATTGGGAAAGACGGTGAAGTTCCAAAAGGAGAAGAGCACGTACAGGAAATGGCCGTACTCCCCACCCATAATAACCTTCTTGAGTGAGATTTCGAACCGCGTAATTGAAACACATTACCGTGTTTCAAGGTCAGCTGGAAACTTTCCTTGGCGAAACCTACGGAATCTAACCCAATCATCTTCGTCCGATGGGCACAGATAATGTGGTTCGGGAACTGCCCGGCCCGCCACGCCAATTGCCCCTCCGGCATCTGCTCAAATTGAAATGAGAACCGCAGGTGGATGTGCGGATTTATCCGAATCGCGCACATCAATGCGCCCCATCACAATGTCCAGATGCAAAACGGACGGTCTGTAGGGGAAGCGCGATTTTCCCACAACACAGAAATGTGGTTGGTTTGGGTTGGAGAATGCAAACTCGATTCGATGTTTTACTTTCTTCCCTGTAGCTTCACCCCATAGCTTCTCTATCAGCATGCGGCTTGCGTTACAATGCGAGCTGCTGGCAGTTTCGACAGGTTTCTGGTTAGCTAGACTGGCCAATGTTGCCGGTAGGAGAGAAGCCAGGGCTGGGCCCAGGGACCAGCGGGGGCTATTATCCATGTGAATAGCTTTTCTATCTGCAGCAGCAGGAGCGGCAAAGCAGCAACAACTTGCCGAATGAAGTAGAGGAGACTACAGTCAGAGCACCTTTCCATCTTTCGTTCCAGTAGAAGTCCACGCCCCTAGGCCGTTCTTTCTCCGTCACATCGCTCTTATTCTCGTACACCAAAACTACCGCCACATCAGACGGTCAACGGGTTTTATGCAAGTGCGCTCACTAATATACACCCGCCAAATCGACGACCACGGCCCAATCTTTCAGTCGACTCAAATACCAAGACTGCCCGCCGATACGACGACCACAGCCTTGATCTGACCCGCCTTCAAAAGAACTGCCAACCAGCAGCGCACCTATTAGAGGCTCCTCACCGCAAGAAATACAAGTTCTTTTCATCACAAGTTCGCACTAGCTGTAGTACTTTTTCCGCGTTGAAGTATGGGGCATTACTGCGAAAAAACGTCCCGTTTCCCCTTCCTGCTCTCCCACTTCACGTGCTCCGCTCTAGGGGTCCTCCTTTTAATCGTCTACTTCGCAACCCTTGGCCCGCCGCTTAAGCTCGTTTCAAGAGCCACCCGGCCCTTCGTGTCGGCCCCTTCCGCCGTTTCTTCCGCCTTCCCGTCCGTCCATGTTACTGAAGCTACGGAGGTGGACGGGCAGTGGTTGGCAACGAGCGTGCAAGTAACGGTGGTGCGGACAAAACGGGAAGCTGGGGCCTCGAGTGGCAAAGAGAAGTATGGAGACAATACGCAGCAGGGCGATGATGATAATACCCAGCAGGGCGATGATGATAATACCCAGCGGGGCGATGAAGATACGCTGCAGCGGGATGAAGATTCGCAGCAGCAGAAAACGGTGCAGCTGGCGCAACTGGCTCCGGAGGCGCAATGGGAGCAGGAGCTGTGGCCAGAACGGGAAGCCGGGGCTTTGAGTGGCAAAGAGAAGCATGCAGACACTATGCAGCAGGACAGCGACGACACGCAGCAAGGCAATGTAGATACGCAGCAGAAGGAATCAGTGGAGCTGGCGAGGGAGGCGCAATGGGTGCAGGAGCAGGAGCTGTGGCATGGGGAAGAAATGCAGGCTCTTCGGAAGCAGGAGCAGCGCGCTCAGCAAGAGGAGCAGCGAACGCGGCAACAAGTGCAGCGCACGCAACAAAAGGAGCAGCACTCGCAGCAAGAGGTGCAGGACTCGCAGCAACAGGAGCAGCGCACGCAGGAACAGGAAGAACAAGGCCCAAAGAAGCATGAGCAGCAGCAGGGGCAAACGAAACGAAGCAAACCAAAGCGGAAACATCGGACGAATGTAGGTGCGCCCCGCAGCAGCAGCACTCGTCTGGACACCTCCCATGCCGCCTCTCAAGCCGCTGATGGCGGGGAAAAAACGGAAGCGCGCGGCCAGGAGAAGGGACGCGGGCGGGGAAAGGGGCGGCGGTAGAGTTGGCGGTGGTAGAGCGGGCAGGGGCGAGAAGCCCACGGCTGCGACGGGCGAGTCTGCTAGTAACACCACCCCGACGGCCACCACAGCCGCTGCTTTTGAGACGAATCATGAGACGTCTCAAAAGTCGGATGCGAAAAGGAGCGGCGATAGAGTTGGCAGGGGCGAGAAGCCCACGGCTGCGACGGGCGAGTCTGCTAGTTACACCACCGCGAAGGCCACCCCCGCCGCTTCTCTTGACATCCCAGCCACGGCCGCCGCGAGAGCATCTGGTGCGGCAGATGCACCTGGTGACATGGGGGCCTCCGCGAGCGTATCCGTGGGGGCAGCGTGCAAGGGGCGGGCGATTTACGTGTACCCGCTATCGGCGCGCTTCAACCAGTGGATGGTGGACGACTGCTTGGAGAGCCGCATCAAGGGGTTTTGCCTCACCAGCCGGCATGGCGGTTTGGGAACGAGGCTCGCGCCCTGGGACGAAGTGGTAGAAGGCGGCAGCGGCGGCAGAGGCAGTGGAGGCGGCAGCAGCATCAGCAGCAACGGCGGCAGCGACGGCAGCGGCAGCGGTGGTGGGAGCAGTGGAGAAATTAGCGGCACTGGTGGTGCGAGTGAGGGCTGGCGGAACCAGTGGTTTTTAACCGAGAGCGTCAATAACGAGGAAATCTTCCACTCGCGTCTCCTGCAGCACCCCTGCCGAACCTCGGACCCAGACTCGGCGGACTTCCTGTTCATCCCGGCGTACCTGGGCTGGTCGACCTGGTCGCTCGTGGAACACGGGCTCTTCGTAGATCGGGACCAGCCGGGAATTGAACTCGAGCGCTATCTACTGGAAGAAAACCCGGATTTCAAGAGGCTAGTGGATCAAGGGAACCATGTGCTGGTGCTCGGCCGGCCAATTTGGGACTTCAGAAGGGTAAAAGAGTGGGGAACGGATCTGTGGTGGCGACCGACCTTCAATAATGTCACACTACTTACTGTAGAGGCCACACGGGAGTGGTACGGGAGAGAGGTGTTTTCCATTCCTTATCCGACATCGTTTCATCCTGTAGGTTTGGCAGAGCTGCAAGGTTGGATGAATCACGTTCGGGACCACGCCCGGCCGTTTTTGTACGCGTTTGTAGGCGGCAGGCGGGCTAAGGAGACGATAGAGGGTGCGCTGAGAGGAGCTCTGCTGCAGGAATGCGAGACCGAACCAGAGAAATGCTTGCTTCTAGAATGCTACAGTGCCGATGCGGAGGCGGTAACTGAAGCAGCAGCCGAGATAGGCCGGGAGGCGGCCAGTCGAAAAGCCAAGGCTGCAGCAGCAGGAGGAAAAGGAGAGGAAATAGCTGAGAATATTGAGGAGGAGGAGCCTAGGGTGGATCTTCCTGGATGCACTGATCCGAGGAGAGTTGCAGGCGCGATGCTGCAGGCAGAGTTTTGTCTCCAGCCAGTGGGAGACAGCCAAACCCGCCGGTCCTTCTTTGACTCGATCATAGCAGGCTGCATACCTGTGGTGTTTTCCTCGGATACTTTTGACAGCCAGTATCCGTGGTTCTTTGACCCTAAGCCGGAGGCACGGCGCAAGATTGCAGTCATGGTGGACCCTGAGGAGGTGATTTCAGGCCGAGTGAAGATTGGGGAGCTGCTGGGGAAGATATCTGTGGAACGGAAAGAGGAGATGAGAAAAGAGATGCGGCTTCATGTTCCAAGGCTGTTGCTGCGGGACCATACAAAAGAGGGAGAGGTGGGAGAGGAAGGACTTTTTGAAGATATGGTTGACATGACAATTAATGGCTTGGTTGAAAGGAAGAAGATGAGAGAAGCTGGAACTGCTGGTGATTACTTCCCTTGGTTCAACAACTAGTGGGCACCCAGCGTTTTTTAGTTTGAAAATAAAGTGGGAGTGAGATATGTTTTGATTTGTTGTTTTGTACTCTAACTATGTAGACGTAGGTAAACTGCTGTGTCTGTTAGGATGTGTAGGACATGTACTATATCCACTAACGCGTTATCGTATATGCTCGTTCTGACACGCTGTCAGGGCCACAAGGTGGGCGGAGAAATGTTGACGAATCGGGCGAACCTCATCCCGTCGATTCGGTAGTACTGCAGTATGATGGAGATGCATGGCATGCATAGTCTGTAACAGTTCGCTCTTGGTCTCAGCTGCTTCGTAAAGTATTCGCAGCACCTTACCCGTTCGCTGACTGGCACGTCTGTGCGCTCCCACAGTCGCAAGCGCGCTGCGGGGACTGACCAGTAAAAACAGTCTCTGATTCAAAGGTTCTCCCAGCGTGAAACAAGGCAGCCTCATGAAGGATATGGAACGGGAGTTCCCTAAGGGAGTTCCCAAAGGGAGTTCCCAAAGGGAGTTCCCCAGGTTGCGTGAAAATCTTAGGTGTCTGATCTCGCGGAATCGCCGATGAGGTCCCTTGGAAACAGTTCCAACAAAGCTCGTTCCTTGACTGATTTCGGTGTGCCTCATCACCAGAATATGACTCGTAGCTCACGAAAATCTGTTGCAAGCGCATGAAGTCGGCCCTAAAGTGCCTTAGCTGAAGTGGGTTCATCCTGAAACTCAGCTCGTAAGATCATTTTAAAATTCTGCTGTACGGCCGTGATTTTTCTAGCTTCCATTCTTGGGGATTTCCTAGCGCTTTCGTGCTTAAAAAAAATATTTTCATTCGAAGACTGTGTCAGCAGCGACGTGTCGCAATTCATGATGGGACATCATCGAGATCGAGTTTCGTCGCTCTGCTTCCCTTCCTCCTCGGCCACATGTTCCACTATCGGGGTGGTTCTGCTGGTCCTCTACTTCGTAGCTCTCGGGCCTTCGTTTAAGTCACCGATCTCGTCTTCGTCTCTCGATGCCAAGGAACTGCACAGAACCACGGAGGTGTCAGATTCAGCCGTTCGTGGAGACGAGGTGGGAGCAAGCTTGAGCGGCCTGGATCCGGAGGAGTCATGGCAACAGAATCAGCAGGAACAGCAGCGCCAGCAGTATGAGCAGGGTGAGCAGGATGAGAAGAATCGGCAGGATCAGAAGGAGCAACAGATTTCGGAGCAGGATGCGCAGAATCAGCACGATGAGAAAGATCAGCAGAATGAGCGGGGTCAAACGGCAACGCCACGCTTGGAGACTCAAGAGGAACGGCAGAAGCGCGAACAGGAGCTTCTTCAGAAACTGGGAAAGAAAGGCGATACGGGAAACTTACGCAGCAGCAGCAAAGGCACGCGAAGCGCGAGGACGGAGACGAGTCGAAGCACCAGTGGGTCGAAGAACGACGCAAGGAACTCTCACCAGAGTAGCAGCCGCAAAGGCGTTGATCTAGGATCGGAGGCGTGCGAGGGTCGGAAGGTGTACGTTTACGATTTACCTTCGAAATTGAACAGCGTGCTGCTGGAAGACTGCCTGGACACCAACATCAAGGGTTTCTGCGCCACCAGCAGGCACGGTGGGCTGGGAACCAGACTGCCGCCCTGGGACGACGCGTTTGAAGGGAAGGAGCGCAGCAGCCGTGCTGGTAGCAGCAGCAGCAGTAGAAGCCACAGCAGCAAAAGTAGCAGCAGGAGCAGCAAGGTGAAACCTGATGGTTCTCGACGGCTTCTTTCAATCGGCAGCAGTAGTAGCAGCAGCAGCAGCAGCAGCGGTAGCGGAGAGCGAGGGTTGGCGAAACCAGTGGTATGCCACCGATAACTCCATGCTAACCCTCATCTTCCACTCGCGTCTCCTGCAGCACCCCTGCCGAACCTCGGACCCAGACTCGGCAGACTTCCTGTTCATCCCGGCGTACCTGGGTTGGATGATCTGGTCGCTCGTGGAGCACGGGCTTTTCGAGAAGCGAGACGACCCGGTTATTGAGCTCGAGAGGTATTTACTCGAGGAGAATGCGGATTTTAAGAGGCTGGTGAATCGCGGCGACCACGTGCTTGTTCTCGGCCGTCCGATCTGGGACTTCAAGCGCGATCAGGATAAGCCTGAGGGGTGGGGGACTGATCTGTGGTGGCGACCTACCTTCAAGAATGTCACACTCCTTACAGTGGAGGCTCCTCCCGAGTGGTACGGGCGGGAGGTGTTTTCTGTTCCCTACCCAACCTGTTTCCATCCGGTAGGCTCGGCAGAGCTGCAGGGGTGGGTTCGGCATGTTCGGGAGCAGCCTCGGCCGTACCTGTACTCGTTTGTAGGCGGGAAGCGAGCGCATGCGACCTGGGAGGGCTCGCTAAGAGGGGTCTTGCTAAACGACTGTGAGAACGATCCTAAGAGGTGCATCTTTTTAGAATGTACTGTTGCTGATGCGGAGGCGGCGACTTCAGCAGCAGCGGAGATAGGCAGGCAGGCACTGAAACGGAAGGAAATGGCGAACAGCATGGAGGGGAAGGGGGAGGAGGATGAAATTGAGCCAGATTTTCCGCTGAGGGGATGTATGGATCCCAGGAGAGTGGCTGGCGTGATGCTCCAGTCCGAATTCTGCCTGCAGCCTATTGGGGACAGCCTCACTAGAAGGTCATTCTTTGACTCGATAATAGCAGGGTGCATTCCTGTAGTGTTTGCTCCGGGCACGTTTGATTATCAGTACCCCTGGTTCTTCGCTATTGGAGATGAGGCTCGGAGGAACGTGTCAGTGATGGTGGCTTCGGACGATGTGATCGGTCGGAAGGTTAGGATCGGGGAGGTGCTGGGGGGGATATCGGAGGAGAGGAAGAGGGAGATGAGGGAAGAGCTTTATAAGCATATTCCGAGGCTGCTTCTAAGGGATCATACGAGGGTGGGGGAGGTGGGAGAAGAGGGTGTGTTTGAAGATTTAGTGGATAGGACCATTGAAGGGTTGATTGAGAGGAAGAAGATGAGGAGATCTGGGGTCGCCAAGAGCTATTTCCCTTTGTAGAGTTGGCTGGGAGGTGGGAGAGGAGGGTACGTTTGAAGATTTAGTGGATAGGACGATCGAAGGACTGGTTGAGAGGAAGAAGATGAGGAGAGCTGGGGTCGCCAAGAGCTATTTCCCTTTGTAGAGTTGGCTGGGAGGTTGGGGGGGGAAGGAGTGTTTGGGGGCATTGCGAATCTTCGCCTAATGGCTCTGTGTCCACAGGATGATGGGGGCATTGGGGGCATGCTGTAGGCGGTTACAGTAGTGGCTTGGAACTCGGCAAGTAAATCGAGGTGACTGTTTTTTGGCAGTTTAGCTGGGATTGGCTTGGACCCCTTCGGGGCTTGCTGCTGGAAGAATTGAGGAATGTGCGGTTAGTTTTGGAGTGACAGAGGGGTTACTGGGGAGCTGTATACAAGTGACGCACGGGCTGTTCTTGCCGTGTAAAGCCGGCAGGGGGGTGAACGGGAGGAGGATGTAGGGGACCAGATTGCTACAGGGAACGTTGCAGATGCAGCTAAGTTGTGGCAATGCATATAAAGAGACAAGGGTACTTTTCTGAAGAGATGATGAAAAATTATGCTCCGCTCCATGGCATCCACATATCTAAGGGCGAGCCTAGCTACGGGATCGAACCAACGCACACCAGAGAGCATGCTCGCCAACAGGGTGTGTGACTGGAAAAGAGAGAGGTGGAAAAGTGGAGCCTGGAAAAGAGACAGGTGGAAATACATCTTGCAGCCTAGCTAGCTAGCCAGCCAACAACGAATGGGCATAGCTAAAAAGTGGAGGAAAGACTTGAACTCTGAGGTATGTACAATGGCTGTTCTTTCCACCACAAGACAGGAACCAGCCTCTCTCGCTTCTGCAGGTGCTGGTGGTGTGACTAATGGTGTGTTGCAAGGAAGCATCTGCTTGCCTACATGCACATCACTACAGCTGTCTTCAACCCCTAAATCTTCTGCCTCTTCCTCCTGCTCCCCCTACTCCCCCTCCTTGTCAGAATCGAAACATTTGACACTCCTCCCCTTCCTGTGAGCAAGCATCTGCCTACATGCGCATCACTACAGCCGTCCCCAACTCCCTACCTCCAACACCCCCTCCTGCTCCTGCTCCTTGTCCCTCCCCTCCCCCTCCCCCTCCCCACCCATCCATCCTGACTCCCTGAAGCACGGGAACCAGTGGCTCGGTCCTCCAAGTGTTCGTCATGGGGGATGTCGCCTGGCACGGCCGCAACCAAGGAGGGAGTGAGTGATGGGGACGACAAAGAGCTCGCTGTTGAGAGCAAAGAACCCCGCTGTGGGGTCGGCGAATGGCAGAGTGGTGAGCATCCCTCCCTACAAGCACATCAACACAGCCGTCCTCAGTCCCCCACCTCCCCCACCTCCTCCTGCTGCTCCTCCCGCTCCTCCTGCTCCTCCTGTCTCCCCCCGCCCATCCATCCTGACTCCCTGCAGCACAGCAACCAGCGGCTCGGTCCTCCAAGTGTTAGTCATGGGGCAGTAGGCGTGCTGCTGGGGGGGAAGGCGCCTGGAACGGCTGCAACCAAAGAGGGAACGAGTGGTGGGGACGACGAAGAGCTCTGAGTTTAGAGCAAAGAACCCCGCTGTGGGGTCGGCGAATGGCAGGGTGGTCACTCGGTGCCATACCCATGGCTCAGCTTGCTGCTTCGGATGCCTGCTGCTGCTGCTGCTGCTGCCAGGGTTGCCAGTGGTGGTGCTGCTGATGCTGCCGCCGCTGCTGCCGCTGCTGCTGCCGCTGCTGCTGCTGCCGGCGGCACTGCTGCTGCTGCTGCTGTTGCTGCTGCTGCTGCTGTTGCTGATAGTGGCAATGCTGGTGGTGATGTGAGGGATGTCCAGGGCAGGGCCAAGGCGGAGGAGGGTGTTACCAGCGAGCATGTACAGCCGCCCTTGCAGCACTGCCACTGGACCTGCACTGCGCCTCTCCACCGGCAAACACACCCCGCTCACCGCCTCTGCTGCCGCACGACTCAACCCACACTCACACTCACCAGCAGATGATAGTCTCGAAACCTGCTCGCCCCTAGCAGCTGCGGGGCTTGGATTCGGCATTGCCGCGGTTGACGGATTTGCGATGTCCGAGGGGTTTGAGACGTCCGAGGGGTTTGAGACGTCCAAGGGGTTTAAGGTGTTGGAGGGGTTTGAGACCCATGCACGAGCGGAGGGGAGGAAGGCCCTGACTGGCCGGACAGGAGCGGCAGCACCCACCACTCCTGCGGGTACCTGCCAGTCCGGTTCCGACCCAAACCCTCCCACCACCACCAGCATCGTGCTATTCTCACTGCCACTGCAGCATTCCCCGCTACCCCTGGTACTGTCACAAATGCTCTTACTACTGTCACACCTGCCCCTGCTGCTGTCACATCTGCTCCCCCTACTGTCACAGTCGCCAGCAGACAAAGACACCAGCGCGCCAACACAGCCCCCTCTGGCCTCCGGCAGTGGCGGGAGAGGATGCCACGTGTCACTTGCTACGTCATACCACTCAGTGGCTGCCAGCTGGACACTGCCGGCCATCGCAGGAGCAGGGCTGTGACTCCCCCCTGCCACTAGAACCGCTCCCCTACTACCCGTGCAATCCATTTCCCCAGCCACCACCGATCTGCCAACTCTCTTAACCGACAAACCTGTGAATGTGCTTTTCCTACTGCTGCTGCTGCTTTTGCTGCCGTTGCTACTGCCGCTGCTGCTGCTGCTGCTGCTGCTGCCGCTGTTGCTGCTGCTGCTGCTGCTTGATGCTGGAAGAAAGGCCAGGAGGAGGAGAAGGGAGCGAGGCAGAGGCAAAAGAGGCTCTAGGCTCCGCCATAGAAGCACACTGACGCCATTGGTTGGAGATCAGATCAAAGGAGAACACTCGAGACGTGGGTACAGGTCGATCGGATGGATATGCGGTGGCGTCGAAGACTGTTCCGCCAATCAGAAAGAGACACGTGTCAGCAGCAGCCAGGCCGTATCCCGACAACCCGTAGGTGTTGAGCGTGGGGGTCATGGGAGGGATGCGCCGGCGGCGCCACGTGGGGCTGCGTGATTGGCTGGATGAGGGCGAGGGACCCGTGACCTTTGATTGGCTGGATGAGGGACAGGTGTTGCGCTGTGATTGGTGCAGCAGCCAGCCGCCCGAAACGGAGGGATCCCCGCGGAAGAGCGCGAGCAGCTGCTCCTGCCGCCCCTCGATTCGCCGGGCGGCAAAGAGGAGCGGCGAGGAGAAAAGCGCGTGCCATGTGCGGGAGATGGCCCTGCAGCTGGAAGGGCGGGGAAGGGAGGAGGGGGGGGAAAAGGAGAGAGCAGAGAAGCATATGGAGGATGTGGAAAGAGGAACGAAGAAGAAGCGAGCAGCGGCGAGGAGAAGAGAGCGTGCCATGTACGGGATACAACCCTGCAGCTGGAAGGGAGGGTATGGGCAGGAGAGGAGGGGGGAAGATAGGATGTGGGGATGTGAGGAGAGGAGAGGAGAAGAGAGGAGAGGAGAGGAGAGGAGAGGAGAGGAGAGGAGAAGAGAGGAGAGAGAGAGGAGAGGAGAGGAGAGGAGAAGAGAGCGTGGCATGCGCGGGAGGCAGCCTGGGCTGTTTACCTGTGGTGACAAACGATCGACACTCGCGCGAGGCATTTTACTGCCACGTCATCAGGCAAGCCCGGAATCAGCTCCGTACGTTTCCCTGCTTCGTGACCGTTGGTTCCGCAACATCTAATTGGACGGCTAGGATTCGGAACCTGCTCTCCATCCCTTCGTTCTAAATTCGACGGCTTGCACGGCCTGCTTGCGCAGCCGCAAGTTGCGGCGGCTGCGGAACCGGCGGGAGATGCGGCGGAATTGGCGGATAATTCTCCGGAAGTGGGGATGGCGGAAACGGGGATGGCGGGATGGCTGTTGCCTACGATAAACGCGACCATGTCGGTGCGCGGAGCAAGGCACGCGCGGAAAATCGATGGCACGCGCGCGGAAAATCAAAGGCGGAAAGGCGTAAAGGAAACGGCGAAGGCGTAAAGACGTGCGAAGAAGGACCAAGGGGGAACGACGCCCGGACAAGGGCGAAGGCAGAAAGGCGACGACGGAACGGCGAAGGCCGGAAGACGAAGTCGGAAAAGCAGAGAACTCGGAGAAGCGAAAACGAAACGCGACAAGGCAGGCGGCGGGATTTGCTATCAATTTCAAGGGCTTGCTGTTTCTTCATACGCGTTTTGAAAGAGATGCGACCCGAATCAACGAGAGGGAGGGAAGAGGGGGGTGGAGCATCACGCAAGTGGGAAGTGTCGAGGAAACCAGAGGACTCGTTACAAGATCGAACCTAGTGGTATCCCCTAGTGTTTCGACACATAAAAAGCGTACGTATTAACCAAAGACTTCGTCAAGCCCGTATGTTTGTTATAAAATGTATCCCTTGCTGTTAAACCCTTGCGTGCATGTGCATGCAAGCCAATGGTGCGTTCAAGGGACGGAGCGGCGTCGAAGTCTCTATCTTTTTGCAGGCGACAATGATTTGCTGGAGTCCATGCCATCACAATTACTCATACCGGTCATTTACATTGTGTACAAACCAAACCAAACCGTTCATTGTGTGTAGTGCCTAAATCTCCGCCATCATATTGCATCTGCTTTCACCTCTTCAATATGCTCGTGGTATTGTTACGTCAATGCGTCCACCTTTTGGCGTGACCATCCGGCATCTGCGGCTCGAGAAACCCTCGGAACTGTTGGACTCGAGTGGTCGGCGGGAACACAGGATGGGTGGGATGGGTGACATGAGTGGGATGGGTGGGATGGGTGGGGTGGGTGGGGTGGGTGGGATGGTTGGGATGGGTGGGGTGGTTAGGATGGTTGGGATGGGTGGGATGGGACAAAGATCCAGGTGGTGTGACAATGAGCAACAGTCCCCACCTGCAAGCCATCAGCACTCCATCTCGCCCCGTATTCTTCTCTCCCCCGCACTTCAAACACCGGCAGGTTGTGAGGCAAGGGAATGCATTGTAAGGGGGTAGTGTGATAATGATTACATGCTGACA